CCCCGGCCGGAAAGCGATGGCCAAAAGTTATGGCCAAGGAAGGAGCCCCGGCCCATCACTTTTGTCCGTCCCGAAAGTGCTCTTGGCCTCCCCTTTTGCACGGCGGGCCCACCGGGAAGTGAGGGCCAAGCTCTTGGCCACCACTTTTGCCCGGCCGGAAAGTGATGGCCAAAAGTTTCAACTTTGCTCGACCGGAGGTGATGGCCAAGGAGCCCTTCGCCGTCTTCACTTTTGCCCCGCCCGGCTGGGCAAGGAGCTTCTGGCCATCACTTTTGCCCGCCCGGAAAGTGGTGGCCAAACGTGACCGCTGCGAAGTTCTTGGCCACAACTTTTGCTTGGCCGGGACATGAGGGCCGGGGGGCTCTTGCCCATCACTTTTGCCCGGGCGAAAAGCGATGGCCAAAAGTTATGGCCAAGGAGCTCTCGGCCACCACTTTTGCCCGATCGGAAAGTGATGGCCAAGGAGCTTTCGTCCCTCACTTTTGCCCGACCGGAAGCAAAGCGATGGCCGCCAAAAGTAGTGGCCGAGGATGGAGCTGCTGTTGGGTGGCCATCGCCTTGCTTGCCCGGGCGGAATGTCATGGACGGCCACGGAGCTCCTGGCCGCCATTTTTGCCCGGGGACGGGAGACGGGGGATAACGTTTGCTCGGCCGGAAAGCGATGGCCAGGGGGCTCCTGGCCCTCACTCTTGCCCGACCGGAAAGTGATGGCCAAGGAGCTCGCAGCCCTCACTTTTGCCCGAGTGAAAAGTGGCGGCCAAGGGGCTCCTGGCCACGCCGTCGCTTTTGATTGCCCGAGCGGAAATTGATGGCCAAGGGGCTCCCTGCCGTCAGTTTTGCCCGACCGGAGAGTGATGTCCAAAAGCGGCGCCCATCCAAGGAGCTCTTCTTGGCCACCAATTTTTCCCGAGCGAGCGAAAACTGATGGCCATGGAACTCTTGGCCAGCCATCACTTTTGCCCGATCGGGAAGTGATGGCCCAGGGGAGGCTTTTGGCCATCGCTTTGGCCCGGCGGGCCGAAAAATGATGGCCCCGGATGTTGAGCGCCGGGCCATTACTTTTGCTGGACCGGCAAAATGATGGCCAAAAATGATGGCCAAGGAGCTCGCGGCCGTCACTTTTGCCCAGCCCGGCCGCGAAGTGATGGCCAAGGACCCCTGGGCCATCGCTTTGCCCGACCGGAAACGATGGGCCACCCAGGAGGCGCTCTTGGCCACCACTTTGGCCCGGCCGGAACGAAAGTGACGGCCAAGGAGCCCGTGTCCCATGCCCGAGTAAAAAGTGATGGCCGAGGAGCTTCTGGCCACCACTTTTGCCCGAGCGAAAAGCAAGGGCAAAAAGTGATGGCCAAGGAGCTCCCGGCCATCACTTTTGCCCGAGCGAAGGCAAAGGGATGGCCAGGGAGCTCTTGGCCATCCCCTTTGCCATGCCGGAGAGTGATGGCCGAGGAGTTGATCCCTGTTTTCGGGCAGGAAAACAGGGGCAGTCGGGCTTGTCGACGCTTTCTGTATCAAAATCCCACTGAAGCGGATGCGCGGCTTTGTTCTGCGGCTCGCCAGGGCGTGCAGCATAACATTCGGCGCGACGGTATGGCGTACAGATACAGGGGAGGCGCTGAATCTGTTACACGAAGCTTCTAGACGAGACCTTCTAAGCACATTCGTTTAGAATTATTTTAGTAGAGGCCTCCTATAGATTATATTTATACGGAGGCCCGGACCAGATTTTGTATTATTATAATTATTTTGCATCACAAAAATTAAAATAACAACACGACATCGACACCCTACAAAAACAAATTCGTTGGTCCTTGCATGACAGATTGGTTTTTTGTTCCTGGGGATAATCAAATCCAAAATTATTCCGACGTTCCAGAATTCCCCGCTTGGCGCTCTTTCGGAGGAGGGGACCACGCTCCTGGAGCAAGTCCTCAAGAGCATTCCACCACCCGGTATCAACTGCAAATATGTGGTCTGGGTCTGGAAACTTGTGATGCATGTAAGTGAAAAGTAAGCACACTGTATATGCACCGCCAAGCATGACAGATTTTTCCGCAGCTTTGTGTTGCGTATTCGGCATGAGATGCAGCCACTTTGCGTGACACAAAAGAGGAGCTCTTCGTCGCGACGCAATACAGAGCTTAGTGTCGACATGCCAGACTAGCATGACAAATGTCGCATTCTTCCAGACCCAGACATATTTGCAATGCATACCCGGGGTGATGCTGTCCACTTTACCCCCGTCGGGCAGAACTTCTACTTCGTCCTCGTCTTCTTCCGGCGGAGAAGCTGTGAGTGCCGATGCTGACCAAGATGATCCTGGTACTAGCGAAATGAATCACAGTCATTTGCGAGGCGGGAACCCCCGCCCGACCTCCGGAAGTGCTTCTATGGGATTCTCAAACGTTACATTCTCAACTGTCACATGAATTTGTGATGCAAGAAAAGCGAAAGTGAAAAGGAGGACCTTGCAACTCTAGCATCACAAGTTTGGCACAGATTTCCATGCTGTTTAGCCCTTCGGAGATTTGTCATGCGCAGCCGCTTGGTCGTGCGGTTGCTTATGGCAATTTTGCATGACAAATCCATGCAACAGTTGAGAATGTAACAGTTGAGAACGCCATAGCTTCCACGTCCAGTGGCGACGCATCCTCGGGAACTACTGGCCCTCTCGTCGTCGGTTTGAGCGAGAGCAGCAACCATCAAATCGATACACCCCCGGCAGACCACGACAGAGCTGCCCGCCGGCGCGAGATGAACAACAAGCACAAGGGTTTATGTTCCTGCGACTGGCTTTTATCCGAAGAGAGTGCGCAACGGGCGGACGAGTTTCTTCGGCACTGGTTTCAAGACGAAATTTTGCCGCTGTTGCAGGACTGCAAGAAGGAATCGACCCTGGAGATGCAGACCTGCAACTCTCCCCAGCTGTTGAACCTAAAAATCTACTCTTGGCGCTCGAATCTGGTCAACTCGCGGGAGACCATCATGAAACAGATCGACGCACACCTTTACAAACGACAAATCGCAACGTATCCTGTGTAAAAACGGGGCCCACGACACCCCATAGTCAAGATGGGATAAAATCTGCTAGACAAATCCACCAGCTTTGGTTGTTTATTCGTATGATAAGTTATTTGCCCTCATGGTGTAGTAATCTGGTTCAGCTAGTTCAGCAGCGTCACAAATCTAGCATATCATGCTGAATCTAGCGCCACAGACGCCTGCACGCGCCTAGAAAATGCTTCTCATGGGGCTCCGCAAGAAAACTTTTTTGGCATGCAGATTTGCATACGGATGCAACTCTGGGGTGGGGACGTTTTTACACAGCATGCAACGCTCGCCTCCGTGGCCCTGGTGTTTCCGGTGTTCTTCGCTCTGTGTCGAGGGTGTCACTTTTGTGTGGCAAAGGAGATCGGGGCGTTTTTCAAAAAGAAGGCGCACGAAAATGCTGGGGGCGTTGAAGATCTTGAAATGGGGGCGAACGATGAACAAGGGGTAGTTGCTGCTTCATCCCCCAGCGCGATTGCAGCTGCGGGAGGAGGTCGTGCTGATGAAAGGATGTCGCTGCTCCGCCGGGGGTACTACTCCTGTTGCCCCAAAAGGACAACAAGTTTTTCGCGGTCGAAAAGTAGTTCTACTGCGGCTGCCCGGGCCGCTGCCGCGGGAAATCGTTCCAAGTCTTGTTCGGAGCATGATGAGGACGATGAGGAGCAAGAAGAACATCACGACAAAGATACACACAGAGCAGGAGGACGCAAGAAAACCTCTACTCGCAGGACAAATAAGCACCAGCAGCGCGGCTGCACTGCGCGTAAGGGTTCTTCTTGCGAGGATGGTGAGCAAGATGTCGAAATGGGAAGATCATCATCTTCATGCGATATTACAACTAGTCGCAACAACGGCCACACTCCTGCAGCAGGCACCAACATCAATCCTTACTCGCAATTGCAAGATCACTCCTCGACGTCGGGCAGCAGCGGTTCGAAGCACCGCACGCAGTCAGGCGAGTGCAGTTTGCTTCAAATTGCTCAAAACGAAGAGGATCCTCTTGCGCCGCAGCATCATGGTGGTGGTCGTGGTGATAGAGATTCTGTTGAAGAAGTAGACGAAGAGCAAAACATTGACAAGCTACTCGCCATGGATGTAGAACAGTACGAGCAGCATGAATGGGCAGCAAATCAGGCACAATTTTTATCCCAAATAGATTCATCCGCCTCGTCGAGTGGAAGTGGGAGCAATATCAGCACGAAAAATCCCTTCTCCCCATATCGAAAACGAAATTTGTCGTGTTGCTGTATTTGAGTACACAAATCACATTTCTCTTGCAGTAAAGGAATGCACGCAGATCGTAAGCCTAAGGGAGGGCCTCCCGGTATAGGGGCCTAGCATGGCAGACGTCTGCCCTATAGGCCTTGCAGCATTGCAAGTCGCCCGCATATAATCGCGGCGGAGCCTCTGAGTTTGCCCTCTTGCAGGAGAGATGACAGGATTTGTGGCCACAAATCAGCGGCGTAAACTTTGAGAAGCATGCCTTTCAAGTAGGGGGAGGGGGGATTTTTCCTTTTGATAAGCAAGTTGATCCAGCTAAAGCTGCCGAAAAAATACGCGATGGCACTACTACAACGACCCACTTCTCTACTCTTGAACAATGGCGGAAGTGCTAGTTCGTCTTCTGGTGGCTCAGCTTCCAGATTGACAAAAAAACAAGTCTCTCCGATTAACACGAGTGCCCAGAATCTTACGAAGCCCTTTTGCGCAAATCGGGCCTGGTCCGAAGATTTTCTACCCTGTAGTCCGGTCGTTCCAGGAGATGGACATCAATCTGGTGGAGTTGTAGAGCCAGGCTTTGAAAATGAAACTGCTTTGCAGTTGCGGAGGACAGATGATTCGAAGGTCAGAGCAGGTGCCGGTGGGGTGGAGCAAAGTAATAAGCAGAAGAGAAAGTCTGCGACGTACGCTGGAGCTTCGTTGTATAATCAGCAAGATGCTCCTGCCGCTGGGGGTAGTACTAGTGTTACTCCTACGGTCTATGGAGCTCCTGCTTCCAGGGCAGGCGCAGCTTTGGACGGTGGTCAACCTCCATTGCAAAACGGTAATTATAGCCGGAACTACACCAATGCAGCAGAAGAGCACGACAACCTCGAGGACAAGAAAGAACTGTTCAACATTTACGTTTCGCAAAAGTGCCTTCAGGAAGTTCTCGAGGGTATGGGCACTGACGAGGAGAAAATGATCCCTCCTGGTGCACCAGAAGACCACGCCTGCACCAGCAGCTTGTTTTTACCGGAGCAGAGCGCGTTGGAGGGGCCCAGAAGTGCGACCCACGCATCGGACATCGTTGCATCCTCCGGCAGTGCTTCCTCAAACAGAAGCGGGAATTCGCCAGTTCGAAGCTCCAGGCGGGATATGAGTGCTACTGGTGCAGGAGCATCTTCATCGTCGACTTCGAAAAAGCAGACCTCTTTCACCAAGATTTTTCCAGAAGAGCAGGTAGTTGTATCAAAGAGTGCAAGTGCAAGTGCTACAGCAAAAATGTCGAACCACGATATCGAAATGAAATCAGACTCATCCAGAACGGGAACGACGGCCGCCCCATCCCCTTCGACCAACAAGCGGGTCTCGAGCAAAAGCAGCAAGGCAAGCAACACCCGGGTGGACAGCGGGTTCAGCGAGCAGTGCAGTGCCAGTGGTTCGTCCTCTCAGGTCGGAATGATCGCTGTCAGCCACCAGGGCGGCCCGCCGGTCGTCGCAAACGGTGGCCGTTGTACCTCTGATCAGACCTCGGTAACCGAGTCGGTGGGATCCTCCTTATTGCAAGGAAAAATCCCCCCTCCCCATATCGAAACGAAGTTTCTGATGCTGGATTTTCGTACACACATCAGATTTGTCTTGCAGTAGAGGACTGCAGGCATATGCCAAGCCTCAGTCGAGAGGTTTTGACGTAGGCCCCTAGCATGACAAACGTGTATGCTCTAAGCCCAACAGCATCACAAACCGCCTGCGAAATGCGGAGCGCTTTCTGGACTTGCCTTCTTGCAAGACAGACAGGATTTGAGGCCACAAATGCGCATCACAAATTTTCAGACGGATACGTTTTCGATATGGGGAGGGGGGATTTTTCCTTACGATCCTCCTTTCATGGAGATCATGGGGGTGGACCACGCGCAGGTGCGGTTTTTGATGTCGAGAGCTTGTCCGAACAACCGCTGCAAATGCAATCCCTTGTGTTTGGACAAACCCGTTTGAACCAGCCTGACACAGAAGAAGATGCGGAGGGCGAGGAGCGACGCCTCGAGATTCTTGCGCGCTTGCAGCAGTGCATGGCTCGGGAACGTTATGCAAGAAAAAACTGTGTAAGTGTATAGAGTACTCGTCTGTAATGCAAAGCACGCAACACAGTTACATTTCTCATGCTGGGCAGCCATCAAGAGAAGTTCTCAGCTTTTCATATTATGCGTTTCCACATCCTAGCAGCGCACGACAGCTTTTCTCTTTCATGCAGAACAAATTTGTCATGCTGTCACTACAAGACACCTAGTCCACTAAACATAGTTTTTTTCCTCGGATAAATGTGCTGGTTACAACAACCGGGAGGGCGCCGCGGCTGCACGAATGGCTCGTGCACCTAAAAAGGCCGCCGGGCCCCCGGAAGAACAAGACCGCAGTCGTGTTCTGACGAGCGAACTACATGCGGCCGAGGACCAAGAGATGAAGGACGGCGCTGACGTCGGTTCGGAGCAAGCGACATCAAAGAACGGAACTACGAACTCTTCAAGTGCACATGATCAAACCGTGGCGGTGAGCAAGAAGAACCTTGTTCCGCCGGGAGTGGTGGATCCTAGTACAGCAACCATCCTGTCGGGCTTGTACAGTGTGTCCGAGCAGGGTCTTAACGTGGTGGATCAGCAAGAGCGGAAGCAAGGCAGTGCTGATGTCGGCGAGGCTTGTACTAGATCCTCCCCGGCTTGTGGTCCACCTGCTGTTCCCGACGATTCTTGTTGCCCTTCTCCGGAGAATAGTAGTCATCAAGAAGATATGAACTGCAAAAGCATCGTACTAGTAGTGATTGCAATACAAATTTTCTCAGCACTAGAAATGCAATTTGTAATGCGGATTTACCGTAACATCTGGATTTGGAATGCATAACTGCAATTAGTACGAGTACGATACTTTTGCATTGCATAGAAGGCTCATCGGAGCAGACGTCGGAAGGGATGAATCAGGACCACGCGGCTGGCGCCGCAGGACGACCGAAAGCGTTTGGCGATAGTTCAGATAAAGCACACGGTGGCAAGATGTTGAAAAGTAGATGTGACACAGCCCAGTCTTTTGACGAGGCGTATTGCACGACTACGACGGATAACAGGTGCAAATATGTCGGGGTCTGGAAGAGTGGAACTTGTAATGTTGTCTGCGGATTCTGAAAACATCTGTGTTGCATGAACAGCAAGAGGAGTGCAGTTTTTGGCACGCGGAGAGGGCATTTCTCATGCGTAATCAGCATCAAGAAGCTCTCAAAAAATCTGTGATGCTAGCATCAGCATCAGAGACAACACTGGTCATGCAAAATGTGCATGGCAAACCCCGACTCTTCCAGACCCAGACATATTTGCAATGCATAACGGACCAAGCCCCGACACGCGACCCTGGGAGTGTCTGCACGCTCTCGCAGGTGAGCTCTTCTCTCATTTCCGCCGAGGCGGTCAGTGCAAAAATGAGTACTAGCGGGCCGTCGAGGGGCATGAGCTGCCAGAGTGGGGGCGCCGGCGGCCAGGGGACGAGCAGACCGAACCAGGACTGGCTTTGGAACGGGCAGCTACTTGCGCAGGGTGGGCCGCTATCAAATGTAAAAATGTCTGGGTCTGGAAGAGTGCGAACTTGTCATGCTGCATTTGGATTCCAGAAAAATCTGTACTGCATGAGTACCAAAAGGAGTGTAACTTTTGCTACGCGGAGAGGGCATTTGTCACTCGGCATAGGCATCAAGAAGCTCTGAAAAAATCTGTGATGCTAGGGCATGCATCACAGACATCCGGGCTCATGCAAAACGTGCATGACAAGCGTCAGAATGTTCCAGACCCGGACACTTTTACAGTTGATAGCCGCAGGCAGGCGTTTTCGACACCATGAGCATGAACATGAACGGGCTCGATTGTGCGAATTTCCAGATCCAGTCTAGCTCGGTGGCATCGAGTTCCGCGTCTGGCTCTGCGCACAGCCCGGCGGAGACAACCGGCGCTGGTGCTGGTGGACCGCACGGGGATAAAGCCCGCTTTTCCAGGAACGCGGCGGGGTGCGGCGGACCTTCTGGCTCGTCGGGGATGAACCACCACCGCCAGCCGGGACAGGAAGACCCGTGTGTGCTCGTGCAGCAGGTTGATCCGACTTGGATTGTTCATCGCAACACAGACCTGATGAACGTCTCGACGACAGAATTTGGGCAGCAAAGATTGGAAGAGCTGCAGAAGCAAGTCGAGTACAGTCGGCAAGTGAGCGGTAGCACCTCGGCGAGCCCAAGGTTGAGCTCGAGCACAACCAGGGCTGGAGTGGGTGTGAGCAATCTGCTGCAGCTCGCAGCCAGAGCGGGTAGCAGCGCTGGCAGTTCCTCTGGTGGTCCTCAACTCCTCGAGAAACAACAGAATCATGTAGAGCATCTAGCGCAAAGCGGACCGTACACGGCGGCGTCTTCTACAACTCCCGGGGACCACGTTTTCGTATCGCCTCCTGGGGCAGGGGGGGATCGAGATGGTACACACAAGCAAATGCCCTTAACGGAGCAAAATGTGCTGCAGCACCGCGGCTCCTATGCAATACAAATTTCCACCCGTACTACATGTACAAGATGCATCACAATAAATTTCACCAATTTGGAGTGCAACCCTTGTCATGCTAAACTAGGATCGGAGCCAAGTTTTGTCATGCAGAGACCGCATTTGTATACTCATTGAAATTGTACGTGTTGTACGGGAGACTTATTGTGGATAGCTCCAGAGAGCTGGAGATGCTACCCGAAATATCCACGAAAAAAAGATTGTAGATGTAACTTTCTTGGAGGATTAGCATGACAAATATCTCTCGCATGACAGCAAAAACCTGTCATGCGCAGTTAGTACGCGAAAACGCCCTTGAATGAACCCTACTATGCAGACACAGCATAACAGGCGCAATCAATTTGCATGTTGCGCATCACAAGTTTACACTAACAACGTTTTTTTGTTGGATACGAAATGCACATGGACGAGTACATCGGGGAGTTTGTCCGCCCGGAGTATGCATTGCAAATATGTCTGGATCTGGAATAAACTTGTGATGCTGGGTGGCGTATCATGAGGAGGCCACAAGTGCTGGCTCAGCATGACAAGTTTCTGAGCTTCTAGGTGTTGCCTATTCTGCGTGACAAACTGCGCTTCTGCATGGCAGAAAAATGAGGCTCTTGGGTAACGTGCATGACAGATTTCAGAGTCATGCCAGACAAGCATGACAAACATGCAGGCTTCGTGCACACCCAGACATAATTGCACTTGATACGGAGCGACAGTTAACGACCGAATCGCAAGCGAGAGACCGTAGAAGGCAGCTTTCCGAGCCGGAGATGGACCAGATTATGCGTGCTTTTGCCGATTTGCACATCAGGCCGCCCACCGCAAAACAGGAGGTTTTGGTCGACGTCGGGACCTACAGTGCGCATGACAGTCCGCGGGACAGCACCGTGTCCTCGATGTCCCTTTTGAGGAAGCAACAGCAGGTGACCAACACCCGGGCAGCACGCGACATCCAGAAGCTAGACGAAAAGACGACGAGCACACGAGCTAGTGCTAGTAGTTCCACTGCGAAGGTGGATCATCATCCTCATCGCTACGACGGCCAGCAACGGCGCGCTGGTGTTTACCTCTCCGAGGACCCGGATACGTTATTGGAACAAGCTCGCTATCAAATGCAAATATGTCTGGGTCTGGAAAGTTGGAACTGGTAATGCTGGTCTTGCATTCCTGTGAAATCTGTATTGCATGACCAACAAAAGTGGCAGCCTCTCATGTCATACAAAAACGCAGTTTCTCATGCGGAGTTTGTATGTTGATAACGCGTTTTGCAGACTTGTCCTGCTTTTCTGCATGAGGAAGTGTTTTCATCATGCACATTTTAGCATCACAAATTTTCAGACCCATACATATTTGCACTTGATACCCGCGCCGAACACCTGTCGCAGGAGGAACTCCAGGAGATGTGCGCCAACTCGCAGTTGCTCGAGCATCAGGGGAACAAGAACGACGACCCACTATCCTGATCAAAAACGCTCCCACCCCAGAGTCAAGTGCTTTAATTTTGGCCTCCGTGCTTTAATTTTGGTCTTTTCCAGTACATAAAACGCCCCAGAGTCAAGGGGAAATCGCAACACAAATCGAGAAGTTTTGGGAGTCAAGCATGGCAGGTTCCTCTCTGTATTGTAGGGCAGTTTAGCTGCAAGTACAGCCGCAACACAAATCCATCTAGTCATCCTGTTTACAGCATTACAAAGCACAAAACACGATGGATTGGAAATGCCTCTCATGGGGATGCACATTACAAATCTTCCTGTGACTGCAAATCTGGATGACAACTCTGGGGCGGGGACGTTTTTACTCAGGATACCCACAGATACACGAATACAACGGCGACCCGGGAAGGCTGAATGTGAAAGCACAAAAGGTCGCGGAGCGCAACTTGCTGAACCATGTGCAACAAGCGCAGGCGGACCTCCAGTACCAAAACCACGTGGCGAAAGCCGCGTCGGGCGACATGTCCGAGCGAGATTCCTATGCTATGTATGCGAGCAGTGACACCAGCGGGCAGCAGGAAGGGCAGCAGGCTTTGTTTCCCGATGACAATGAGTTCATCAGCAGAGACGGTATCCTGAGCAAAAACGTCCCCACACCAGAGTCAAGATGGCCAATCTGCTAGACAAATCAACCAGCTTTGGTTGTTTCCCATGACAAGCTTGCCCTCATTGCGTGATCCTGTTTAGCTAGATTAGCAGCATCACAGTTCTAGCATTTCATGCTGATTGTAGCATCACAAACTCCAAAACGTCCCTAGAAAATAAAACCTTCCCATGGGGCTCCGCATGAGAAACTTTTTTGGCACGCAGATTTGCATGACAGCTCTGGGGTGTGGACGTTTTTACTCAGAATAGACGGCCACCATTCCCCGCACGAATTCCGCGATGAGTGCGCTCTTTGCCACCACCGGCGGTGCAAGCTCCTTCTGTAGCAATCCCGGCACCAACCGTCTTTCGCATGGGTCCAATAGATCCTCCTCCCGCCCGTCGCACGGGAGCTCCGCGAATAGATTGCTGCTGCGCGACCCCCATTTTTGGATGTCTGAAGGCAGTGAGATATCCTGTGTAAAAACTCCGTCCCCACCAGATAGTTGTCATGTAGATTTGCAATAACAGAAAATAAAAAGAAAAACTTGTCATGCGCATCCCCATACCAAGCATAAGCATTACATATACATGTACATTTTCGGTCGTGTTTTGGTATTTGTGATGCTTTAAACAGGATGAGCATCGGGATTTGTAATGCGCCTGTTCTTGCTACTTAACCCGCATTCCATTGCCATACACCACAGAGAGGAGCTTGTCATGCGTGACTCCAAAAACGTCGTGACTTGTGTTGCGAGATCCCCATCTTAACCCTAGCGTGGGGGCGTTTTTCCATAGGATATGAGACGGCGACGACCCATCCACTAGGAGCAGTCTCGGAAAACTGCCAGTACCAGGAGCAGCTGCAGCAGTATCAAATGCAAAAATGTCTGGGTCTGAAACAAAGCAACTTGTCATGCTAAATCTGAATCATGTAAGAATCTGTGTTGCGTGATTGCCAAAAGCTGTCCACTTTTGACCTAATCGCGAGGCAGTTTCTCATGCAGGATAGGAATGATAGGGATCTGGCAGAGTCTGTCATGCTAGGCCCTGCATTCCAGACGACATGGATCATGGAAAATATGCATGACAAATCTAAAAATCTTCCAGACCCAGACATTTTTGCATTTGATAAGCAGAGCGGCTCGTCGAAAGGAGGTTGCTCTGCCAGCGGGCTGGAACAGAGTACCATTGTCAAGCCAGAGGACCTCATCCCAGACGAATTTGATGCGGACGAGGTGTATCAAGTGCAAAAATGTCTGGGTGTGGAAGGTGGTAAGTTGTGATGCTGTCTTTGGATTCCAAAAAAATCTGTATTGCATGACTAGCAAAAAGAGTCCAGTTTGTGCTACAAGGGGAAGGCGTTTCTCATGCGGAATAAGCATCGGGAAGCCTTCTAAAAATCCGGGATGCTAGGGCATGCATTACAGGCGTCATTGGTCATGCAAAATATGCATGACAAACCTGGCAATCTTCCAGACCCAAACATATTTGCATTTGATAAGGCGCCCATGAATATCTGGTCGGCGATTCTGCAGCTTCACCCCTATCCTGAGTAAAAATGTCCCCACACCAGAGTCAAGATGGGAAATCTGCTAGACAAATCATGCAGCTTTGGCTTCTTCGCATGACAAATTTGTCCTTATAGTGTAATCCTGCTCAGCTAGTTCAGAAGCATCACAGATCTCGCCTAGCGTGCTGATTATAGCATCACAAATTCCAGAACACGAATACAAAAGGCGTCTCATAGGTCTCCGCATGAGAAACTTTTTTGGCATGCAGAATTGCATGACAGCTATGGGGCGAGGACGTTTTTACACGGGATAACCCCGGGGAGGCGATCAAGTACCTGAAAATTCCGATACGCAAGAAAAAAACTGTGTAAGTGTAAGTCTGTGATGCTGGAAATGCAAAACTGTATACGCTTGGAAAAATGCTGGATGTGCGTCATAGGCAACTTTCATACGTTTTTTAACGTACCAGCTGGGCATGGCAGGTTTTCCCTGCACTGCAAAACGAATTTGTGATGCTGTTCTTCCTACGAAGTTACACTTACACATTTTTTTTCTTGGATAGCCGAAGAAATGCGAAGACTACGAAGAATTCCGGGGCAACGACAAACGGAAAAAGTTCGCGAAAGTGACGCCGAGGCAAATGCGGGAGCTACAGGCGGTGGAGTCAATGAGCAATTTGAAAAAGAAAAAGCTGCACAACGGGTTGCCGCAGTTATCTCTGCTGCAGCCCACCATGACGGATAAATCTTGCATCAGTACCGCCAGCTTTCTCGTTTTAGAAAACGACTGCTACCAGCCCCTGGTTGCGGTCGAGAACCAGGTGGCGAACTTCCGCCGAAATAATGATCCGCAGGCGAATAACAACGGTGACAGAGCCGCCCGCGTAAATTCGCGGAACAATTTGCTCGGACCGGACAACGAGCGGTTGCAGCTACGACGAAAATCCGACATCCGGCGCGAGCACATGATCTTAACCCGCCCGGAGCACGTCTTTGCAGAGCTGCAAGACTCGTTTTACTCGATGCTGGAGCGGCTCAACAACGGCCAGGAAAACCACGACTCGATCGCGCACAAGATTTATCCACTGCAAATATGTCTGGGTCTGGGAGAGCGCAAGTTTGTCATGCTTGTCTCACATGGCTCTCAAAGTCAAATCTGTAATGGATGAGAGGCAAAATAAGAGCTTCTTGCGCTTGCCTGTCTGTCATGCAAAAATGCAGTTTGCCATGCCAAAAGCGAAACACATAACGGCGCAAAATGTTGTCATGCGTGGCTGCGAATTGCAGTGCGCCCACCACTCGCAGACTGGCATCACAAGATCCCAGACACAATTGCAATGCATAAGATTTTCCGGCCAGGCAGAGTGGAACAGTACGCAAAGGTGATGCGGATCGCGTCGACCAAGGACATTAGCGACGTGCTGTTCCCCATTTCCGGAACCCCCGCGGCGGCGCAGCAACAGCAGCGCACCATGAATCTCGACCCCGGGGAGGTAATGCAGGCTGTTTTGCGGGAGGCGTCCGTCCTGCAATCTGTGGAGGAACCGACCTATCAGGTGATCGACGACCTGGACTCCCTGTTCCCAGTGACCGCACAGCAGCTCTGGTTCGCGGGGGTGTGGGAACGGGTGCCGGTGTTCTTGAAGAAGAAGGATCTGGAGGAAACAGGGGACGAAAATAGCGACCAGTCCGACGAGGACAGCTCTTCAAACGATTCCTCCGACCCAATTATGCAAGAAAAAGGCTGTGTATAGTGTAACTCTGTGATGCAAAGCCTGCAACACAGTTACGCTTGTCATGCTAGCCAGCTATGAAGTTTTATTCATATGTGTTTTGGTTTTCCACATCGCGTGCTAGATGTGCATGACAGGCTTTCTCTGTTATGCAGTGTGGATTTGTCATGCTGTCACCCCAAGAAGACGCCTACACTAACACAGTTTTATTTCTGTGGGATTCCCATGACGAAAGAGGAACGCAAGCAACTGCTGCGCGAATTGGAGGCGCAGTATGCAGAAAAAAACGGAAAGAAGTGGACCGCAAGTTCTTTCTTCAGCCTCTCCAGCGAGGAGGATAATTCACCGGCTAGGATGGCACAAGCACAAACAGGCGGGCAAGCCGCGCAAGGTAGTCAGGCGGCGGGACCTGCACGGGGAGCTGCAGGCTCTTCTTTACCTGCGTCCTCCTCTTCTTCGGCACCAGGACAACATTTTCATCAAGAACCGGCCGCGGTCTACCGAGAGCTGCCGAACTATCTGGATTATGCAATGCAAAAGTATCGTACTAACTAGTAAGTATGAATCGCATGACAAATTTGCTCAGCATGAGAAATGAAATTTGTCGTGCTGTTTTACCTTGGAAAGGAGATTTGTAATGCATGCTTGCGATTACTACGAGTGCGATACTTTTGCACAGGATATGGATCCCCCGGTTCTGGAAATTTTTGGCGGGGAGGTTTCGCTTCATGGCGACCTGACCTACCGAATTATCAACCAAAACTATCCGAATTTGCCCACCGGGTTTGACGATGATACGCTGAGCGGGAAGAAAAAGCTGCTGAAATGGCTGGACAAGCTGCAGCACCGCTACGCTATGTGGATGGCCAACACCGCGTTCGGGGTCCGCAGAGAAAGGCTCGCGACGTATTGAAAGGAAAAATCCCCCCTCCCCATATTGAAAAGGTATGTCTCCGAAAATTTGCGTTGCTGATTAAATCACAGCTCCATTTGTCTTGTAAGAAGGCAACTCTACAGTCTCCGCCGCATTATGCGAACGGTTTGTGATGCTGCTTGGGCTACAGCATATACATTTGTGACGCTAAGCGTCCACGTTAGAGGCTCTGTACTCAGGCACGGCATTATATGCCTCCAATCCTGTACTGCAAGACAGCTCTGATTTGTGTACGGGAAATCCAGCGTCAGAAGCTTCGTTTTGATACAGGGAGGTGGGATGTTTCCTCACAATGCGACGCACGGATGCTCTGTACTCGGCGAGACGGCACAGACGGTGGAGCGCGATGTACTTCACGGGAATAACAACGAACTTTTAAACAACGCGGAGCTGGTTTTTGATCGAAACGCTCTGAAGATCGAACCGAACAAAATTGGCCACGCCTTGACGATGCCCAGTTTGGTAGTCGGCGAGGCTGGAGGAGGAGCAGTGCTTACCTCCCAACCGTCCTCGAACACACTTGCGGGAACATCGTCAGGGTCGTCGTCCGCACAGGCCTCCGTCGGGCATAAGCAGGCGCTGGCAGAGAAAGCTCTGAAGACCAAAATGTTCGACTTCACCCACATGCAGGATCATCACGTGACGGCTCCTTTTATCACGGGAAAAAGTGTTAACGTTAACGGAATTTGTGATGCGATAATGCATCACAAAACGTGCCCAAATTTGTCATGCTTAGCATGCATGCTGGGCAAAATCTGACATGCATATTGATAAACCGTCTTAACGTTAACACTTTTTTGTTTGATACCGTCTCCCTTCGCCGTCACCCTGTCCAAGAGTAAAAACTTGGACCGGAACGGTTTGAAAACGAAAGCGAAGGAAGACGAGAAGAAAGGAAATATCCTGAGTAAAAACGTACCCACCCCAGAGTTGTCATGCAGATTTGCCATGACAGGAACATTTGTGATGCGCAACCCCATGACAGGCATTTTCAATCGTCTTTGGGAACTTGTAATGCTGTAAACAGGATCCGAAGGTCGATTTGTGATGCGGCTTTCCTTGCTAACTTGCACTACCTTACGGACTGAAACTTGTCATGCGTGACACACAAAACTCCTAGGTTTGTGTTGCAAATCCCCATCCTGACTCTGGTGTGGGTACGTTTTTACTCAGGATAGGAAAAAGCCGTCGTGCAAGTAGAGATCGTGGGGCAGCATCTTCATCTTCAGGCGCTGGTGCTGCTGCTGCTGCTGCACTTGGGAATAATTCCGAAGAAAGCGGCGGTTCTAGTACTAGTGGTCCCCATGGAGGCCGCGACCAGGGTGGTTCTCCCGGCGCGCTGTCCCACCGGGCGCCAGTCCCGTTAACGAAGCAGATGCAGCTCCCGCTGATGCAAACGCCGAAGGCGGTCATGGAGGTTTTCAGCTTTGGCGACAATTTCAAATCGGTGCCGACAGAGGATGTATTACAATGAAAAATGCCCCCACGACCCCCACAGTTGCAAAAATTTTTTATGCGAAGTTTCCAAATCAAAACTTTTTGTCATGCATGAAAGGAGTGTGAATTACCTCTCTGATGAAGGGTCTAGGCGTGTATCGCACCGCTTGCATGACAGGCGCCGCTCTTGCTGGGATCTTTTGCAATACAAATGTTGACTATTCACAATTGAAGTAGATCTGTGATGCTGATAGACGCAAGAGGGCGAGTGTCTCACTTGGAAAGGTTTGCAATACAAATGCTCCACCCAAGTTGGGGAGTGGGGGCATTTTTCATTGTAATAGGATGGGCAGGAGATTCTGACGATGCAAGACAGGACGATTCCAGTCATGCTCCGCCGAATACCGAAGATGTACTATTTCACCCAGCCGCAACCACCTCGGGTGGAGCAGGCGAGGGCTTCCAACAACCCGCAAGACGACCGGGGCAGAGGCCGGCGGCGAAGTAACAGGAGGGGCGGGGAGGAAAGCCAAGGCGCCGTAGCCGTGCAATCGCCTGCATCCCCTCCCCAGCCCCACCCTACTCCGGAGTTGCCTGCGCAGATTTCCTATTACCGGCAAAAAACCCCGTCATTGCGGTTTTTCTCCGAAGCGGAACTGTTCGGAGTAAGTCAGGATGCGGATGTGAATATGCAGCGGCTGCTGATAAACCGGCTTTTTTCGATTTACGATCTAACGGGGATTTGGGAAAAAGTGCAGCTCCAATTCGACGAAGAAGATGTAGAGGAAGATCTCCCGGAAAAAATGAAGAAACTCACGGTTGTATCATATGGAAAAACGTCCCCACGTCCCGCCCAGAGGTGTCATGCAGAATTGCATCTATAGGAAGATTTGTATGCTAGGCGTTCGCGTTGGGTTGCCCGGTCGGCAGAGCCGATTCACTGATGATGATGATGATGATGATGGATCTCCATGAGAGGCAAACTTTTTTCAGTTTCGGAATCTGTGATGCTGTCAACAGTAAATAAGCTGATTGCTTTGTGATGCTGCCTATCATTGTTAACGTGCACTACACTACAGATGAAATAAACTTGGCATGCGTGGCTCCCTCAGCTTCTGGATTTGTGTTGCGCACTTCCCAACTTGACTCTGGGGCGGGGAGTTTTTTCAACAGGATACGTTGGCTTCCGGATATTCGGGGACCGGGTGATTGGCCTCAAGCGGGGGAAGGAGCTGCAGGTGGACCAAACCGTGGAAGACCGGCAACAGCAGGAAGCGTTGGCCTGCACGCTGAAGGGCGAAGCTTGCGTCACTGGGACGAGCAGCAGCGTGGATAATTCTTGTCACAGTACGAGCTACTGCCAAGGTGTGCTGGAATTTAAGGAGCTCGAGGAACCGATGCAGCAACCGGGGGGTGCCGGTGGTGCTTTTGGAGGCGGGGAACAAGTAGCACAACGACCCCAGCACGTCGGCAACGAGCAGCAGCCCCCGCCCGGCTATGTTGACCCGCTAACGGAGGACTCCTTGCCGCGGAAACGGTACGCGATTTCTATGTTCGTTTCCGGTAACGAGGGGATCAAGGTGCCCATCTGGTACTCCCCCGCTGCCCCCTGCTTCATGTTCGTCGGGGGGGCATTGTTCCTCCGGAAAAGCGAGCCGGTTAAACCGGTTTTAAAAAAATGCAGCTCATGTGGTCATACAAACAACGACCTGGCGCTGGCCTGCATTCTCGGTCTCGACGGCACGACCCGCATTCTCGGAATCGACTTGATAATACTTAACATTTTGCGAAGCTGCATCCTTCGAGAATAAATCTATTGCATTATTCGTACGTACTAGGGATAATTGTAGTTCAGAAAAACAGTAGAATCAGAATTGATATTGAACCAGAAGCTAATCTTGAAAACTGTTGCATGCTATACGACAATTGTATACACTTACACCCACTGCTAAAAAATGAGAAAGGAAAATCAAAATCGAAAAGTTGTATACTGTTCTTTTTACTGCTACTGCTACTTGCATGATATTGCTGTACTACCTACTGCCAAAAAATCCAAGAAACGCCACGATTTTGTTTTCTGCAATCTGAGCAATCTACTTTTTAGACGCGGCTACAAGTTTGTCAGTAGTATCAATATATCCGCTCGCACGTCAGGATCCCCGACGAGTAGATCTCCACAATGGTTTTACCTGCGCTACCAGTAGTCAAGATTTTGGTAACGATAAGCGGCTCGAGACGTCGGGAGGGCCACGATGAAAATTATCGCGCAAAGGCTACGCATCGCAATTATGTCTGGGCCTAGTTGGAAGAATGTAAGGCTTCTCATGTTGTAGGTCTGGCATGAGCATGACTGGAAACTCTGTGATGCAGATGCATGGGCACGAAAAGTTCCTCTCAGCTGCTGTCATACAGAAACGCAGTTTGCCATAGCAGCCCAAAATTTTGTCATGCATAGCAGCGCACTACTACTGTGCGCCTATAGCCAATTTTAGCACCACAACCTTCCAGACCCAGACCTATTTGCATTGGATAAAGGTGCTGGCGCACCCATTTCCGATGTTATTTACGAATACAATCTTGCGCTATCGTAATATGAGTCAGAATCGACTATAGACGTTGAACTACTAGTCACCCAGGATCTTCGCAGGTGTGCATTCATTCTGCAAGAAGGGGCATACAGTCGAATGATGTGCTGAATCAATGTTTCTTATTCTTTGCCTGCAAGCTTTTTGCAATGATAGTACGTACTTACTTTTTAAGTTTGGCTGCACTTCTTGGCTCAAACAGTGGAGGAAGGTGTTGCAGATTCAGTTTCAGACATCAGGCGTGGATACAACGCTTCTGCAGCCGAACGTGTAAAAAACGAGCCTCCGAGTTATACATAGCACGTACTAAGTCTAAGCTGTGACTTCTATCAGAAGTGCAGCCATCAATAGAGATCAACAATGCCTTTCCTGTTTGCGAAATTATTATGCGACATTATGCGCTGTATCAAATTTTGCTTAGAATTAGAAAATGAAAATGGGCCAACATGATCGCTATCGTGCGCGATGAAGTTGTTGGTCTTGGTAATTTTTGGCCACCTTGTAGTGGTCAAATACTTCTAGTGAGAAGGTCATGATCTCCATCGATTATATCGATCAGGCAGAACAAGACGACGAACTTATCAAAAGGAAAAATCCCCCCTCCCCATATCAAAACGAAGTTTCTGATGCAGGATTTGCGTACACAGATCGGATCTGTCTTGCTGGAGAGAAATGCAGGCCCATACTCAGCCTAAGTAGATAGGTTTTGGCCTAGGCGTCTAGCATGAGGAACGTCCGTTCTGTAGGCCCATCAGCATCACAAACCGCCTGCACAATGCTGCGGAGCTTGTGGAGTTGCCTCCTTGCAAGACAGATGCGATTTGTGGTCTCAAATCAGCAACGCAAATTTTCGCAAACATACCTTTTCGATATGGGGAGGGGGGATTTTTCCTCTCAATAGAACTCGCTTCAGGAACTCCGCTCCAAGACATAAGAGCTAGAGCTAAAGTTTGTACTAGCTCGGATTGGAGATGAAATACTAAAAACGAGGAACAAGGGGCAATAAGGGCATAGTTATGGAGCTGCAAGTATTCTTTGCGTATAGAAAGAAGATACTAGCAGGTTATGTGCCAAACAAATAGCTTCCCATAGGGTCTGTCACCCTCAATTTTTACAAGATCTACTTCAGAGAGCTGCAATGAAGGACGAGGTTGATAGCACAGCAAGTGCAAGCGGAACAAATTTGCAGCTTCGTCAGAAGAACAACAATTTCATGCATTTGTTTATGTATCCTAGGGGCGGGATGACAAATAAATTGCAGTTTTCGTGTGTAGCAAAATGATCCGATGCGAAAAAATTATCTTCAAAAAGTTGGTACTAGAAATAGCTGCCTGTATCTATTTATTTATTATGCCACTCGGCTCCTGCTCTGCAAAGTGAAGGTGAAAGCGGGTACAACTATCGATGGAAATGTTTCAAAAGTGATTTTTATTCTTGTCTGCCTCTCTTCCTCTTGCGACTATGCGACTATGCAAAGTGGCAGCTGGCCGGACGACAGACAGAAAGGCTTGCTTGGCCGCATAATGTCAATACAGGTTTTGTGTAGTGTCGTGTGTCCTCCGCGATCGTGCGGGCAATTCCAGTGGCCTTCCGACCACCTGCCGGACGACAGTCAAGTGAGGAGAAATTATCAATCTATAAAAAACGTGCTGGATAGCAATAGAAATTTTAACTCGAAGAACAACAGTCATCAATCAAGAGGCACTGTCGCGATTTAGCAAGTGTGCATACAACTCTTGTGCTGTCAACTAACAGACATGTCGATATGGTTCTATGATTTTTACAACACACGAAACAAACAAGGAAATTTAATGCATGATGTGCCGAGGAGATAGATGAACTAGTACTAGCTTCATGCAGCTCATGATGTTTTGAACAAGAACGCTCGCCATGGCGTAGAGCTTTTTCATGACAGATTTTCAACGTCAAAGTGGATCTGGAATTACTTTAGTGTTTTTTTTGTCATGTCTATTTTACCAACAGGCCGTCGAGTATCATTTTCATTTCCAGAATTACGCACCCCATGCTTATGATTCACGATGAGAATTGAGGTGTCATTCTTGTGTGATTGAAATTCCAAAAACTAACAAGCATATTATTACCCATACCACTCCAAGACAAGTGTTGCCGACTTACTACAGCAGCTCTACGAATCTCGTCCTTCTTTTCACGTCCGCTTGCCTGGATGAAGTGCGATATCCCACGAATAAAGTGTTACAGTTACACATTTGTTGGAGTTTCTGCATCACAAAGTTGCTCGACATAGCAAAGAAAACCTGTGATGCGCAGACTATGTCTATACGGGAAAACAGGAATGAAATAAGGCTGGCAAGCATTTCCTGCATGACAGAGGTTGTCTGTCTTGCTTGTCTTCCATCAGAGTGTGTAACTGTAGTAACGCTTTTTTCTTTGCATATGCGATAGGTCAACACTAATTACCCTCGTTTGTGCCTACCTACAGGTGGTGATGAAAATTAGGCAGTAGTAGTTCATCTTTAAATGGCCGCAACCCGTACGCCACAGTGATAGCGCACCGGACGCCGTGGGAGTTGTATTGTGAGAAGTATGCCGATCTTCTTCCTCCAGCAGTGCTTCCGCCTACAGAAAAGTGCATGTGCGGCACAACGGGGGGGATAGCTACTGTTGTGTCCGTTGTGGTATCACTTTTGAGTGCCAGCCGGATGTTCTACGTGCGCATCTTCTGGTGCACGAGCAGCTTGAGTTTGCGCGTTGGGTGTACGATGAAAAAAGTAAGAAGTGGAAGCCGGCGGAGCACTTTCGCAATAAAAAGACCGGTGACATCATCCTCCCGGCCGGCAACCACATCCGGAAGAGATACATCCCCCCTTCCGAAAGAGCAACAGTAACAGCAACAGGTGGTGATGAAAATTAGGCGCGGTGGTAGTAGATGCTGTAGTTCATCTTTAAATGGCCGCAAACCTGTAATATCTCGACTTCACGCTCTTCTGGACAGAAAACGCGACCAGTGCTCATCTTCAAAAATTTTCACTTAGAAACAATAAAGACGAGCACTATAATTCTTGGGAGGAAGAAGTTTGATGTTGACTGACGAAACGAACAAATCGAAAAGACGATATATAGTTGATTTTTTTTACTACTAGCACGACGAAAATTAAATTCTAGCGCAAGCGCTACTTTTTGCAGTATTGGAAGTTGCACCAGGTACTTACAACTACGACTACAACGTTTCCACTGATGTTGCCTTCTTGCCAGTACGAATAGCAATCCCTAGATCCGGACGGGGCTTGCGTGGGAGTGTGGGTTTCAAGAGAATTCAAGTCCAGAATCCAGGCGAATGATTCACCTTTGGGACCCTGTATCCAAGACAGAAAAGTGCACAAATACTTTAGAAACAACGAAATTTGTGTTGCGGTTTTTACCTTAGGGAGATTCCAACTATGCAAGAAAACTGCTTTCGGCTGCTTGTGCTTGGCATGACAAACTATTTTTTGGTCGCCCTCTAGTCGCTAGGTAGCATTGCAAGCTGCGTTGAGCCTGCATGACAGAATAAAATTCCCCCGATTCTTTGGTCTCTGCATTTTTGCAACAGAGTTTTTGGTGCTGACTACAGCAATTCAGAAACACAATTACCAGTAGTTTCTTGTGGTACGGGTGTCCTTTTCTGTAGGATACCCTGTTTCTTTTGACCAAACCGCTCCACTTGCAGCCTTCCGGACTAATAAGCGCGACTGCCGACTTCCTTGATGCCGGATTTCATTGAAGGAATTTCTTCTACTATCGAGTAAAAAAAGTTCGTCACGATCACGACTCATGCGCATTTATGCAGAATACAAAATTAGACCTACCTCCTGTCATGCTTAAGCAGAATGCATCTTCACAGTCTTTCATACGCGATTTGGCTTGTGATTGTGCACGAAAAGAAAAAGCTGCGCTGCGGCGCGAAAATTTTGTCATGCAAAACCTGCAAAGTAATGAATGTATGACTGTGAGGACGAAGCTTTTTCTTTTCATATCTGCTCTACAGTTTTAGGACGAACCACAGACGATCATGTGCATAAGCATAACTGAGATTTTGATGATGTGACCCGATGATTTGAAGAAACGAAAACAATATAAGTAAGACTGTGTACGCATTGAATACAACTGGTAAAGACTGCGACTAACAACTTTCCGGGCGGGCGATAGCAATTGTTTTACTGGCGTGAAGATGTAGTCTTTGTCTTCTGACAACTCTGTGGTTTCTTTGCAGCCGGCGCATGATGAGTGAAGAGACGCTTGTTATATTCAATGCATGTGGCAGAGATAGTACTAGAGAACGACCAGAAGTCTGACGCCGTGACCGGAAGATCTGGTCGTGATGCGGAAGATCGATAGACAGAGATCGGAGAGATCATGAAACAACTGAGATTCTTCCCTTCGCCGTTGCAACTACAAGAACTTGCGGGGCGGCTGCTAATGCTCGCCGCATCAAAACCAAATATGAAAACTCGTGTCATCCCCCGCACCGAGCCGTGCTGGTTCAAGATGAGGCAGGAATAAGTTGAAACGGGTTGTGCTGGGTGAAGTTGTACTAGATGTTGACAAAAAAGAGAGACTGCATCGGTCACCAGCCGCCTTTTACTTCTCCGTCCGTATTATAAATCGGGCCCGTTTGTATTGGTCGAATATCTGGTACTAAGTACTTAAAAAGGTCTTCCTAATCGAACAAGCAGCGAAAGCGCTACACTGCTGCAGCTGCAGGGCAGTGGTATATATAAAACATTGAGATCATGAATGAAAATCAAATCCCCGTCCGAGTGCGACGAGGACGACGAGGCTGCTACTATGAAGGATGTAGCAGATGAGCCTCATGCAGCTGGGGACGACGATAGTAACTTTCGCTTTGTCCACTCGGAAATCGTCGAGGCACTGGTCGTGGATCAAGATAAACACGACGAGGCGGCTGAAGAGAACATAAACGCGAAAGCAAGTGGAGCGACTGTGGAACCAGCAGTTCTTGCACGTGATAATGCTGCTTCCAGAAAAGAAGAAACAGGATCGGTGTCAACTGTTCCAGTTGCAGCACGCGTCCACCCGCAACACGACAACGACGATGATACACCTACCCGCGTGCTCTTTATCACAGGAAAAAGAAGTAGTGTGATGACGTTTTTGATGGAACACTGAAAGTGTAAGTGATGAAACATGGTGTCGTGCTGCGTAGCATGCAAGCTCGCCAAAGTTTGTCATGCGTCGTGACGTCGCCAAGCTGTGATCGAGAAAGCCAAAGCCGTTGACGTCAGCACTGACTTTTTTGCTTAATCCTCTTCCGCGCAGCAGACGCGGAACAGGCGGGAGAAAGCAGTTGCTCTGCTTCCGCGACCGGCTCAGCTGCGACCTCCTGCACGACCATGGAAAAGAACCAAGAAATCATTCCACGACCCGCTGCTAGCCATGACACCGCGCCCCCGCCCGGCGGGGAAGAAAAATTCCAGGTCTCTTCCTTCGCTGAGTGGGTGCGGCAACAGGAGGAGATGGAAAAGAAAGCGGAAAACGACAGCAGTGATCCTTTCGCTGTTCCAAAATACGAATCGCCCCAGTCGAAATTACACCGCAGACCTTATGTCTTCACTCTGAAGCGCGACCGATCTGAAGCGCGACGGAGTGTGTCGAGTTGTAAAAACTTGCAGAAAAACGATTCTGGTTGTTCAACGTCTGGCACCAGGGGACAACACCTTGTAGACGCTGCTAATGGAGATGGTCCTCGCGGACGTCAAAGGACGGCGACAGGCGGCCTATCCTTTGCAAAAGTATTGTTTTACTGGTGTAAGTCTGGAAGTGCTAGCTTTGCATATGACAGCTATACTACAACTTATTTACCTGCACATGTGCCATGAGAAATTGCTTTTCTTCTTTCGAAAAAAATTGTCATGCGACGTTCACTTTTTCTAACTAAAGCGCGACGCAGCTTTTGCAACGCATACAGCCAGTCGAATAGCCACTCCTGTTCTGCCTCTACGAATAGCAGCATCCGTCTTGCGCTCTCCCGAAATCGGAAAGACAAGGCGAAGCAGGAGCAGACCCGAGCAGATGTTGAGACGGGAAAGAAGAACGCAGACAACACGACTGCCAGCTTCATGGACAACAAGGTGGACGCAGGAGCTGCTGGCGGTGAAAAAATTGCATCAACGTCTTGTGTTGGAAAAAAAGATGTTTCGGTTGGTGCGGACCACGGCCACGACACAAAAGCCACCGTTGTCGCAGCTGTTCCCCAGGCGGGAGAAGTAGATCATTGCGAGGCTGTAGACCACGACCAGCCCTTCCTGTACTACGACGGCGCGGGCCGCGCGGCTGTGGATCACGTCGTCGCCGCGAAATGGGACACCGGCCTCATACCCAACCGCCGCCCCAAGGCCAAGCCGAAAGCGCGACGACCCTCGGCTGCTACCGCGTCTGCTTCGCGTGGTGCTGGGCCAACTTCTTCGTCTGCTTCTACCTCGTCCTCATCTTCGGATGTCGATTTGGACAAGATGCTGGCCCGACAGGAAAAGGAATTTTTGAGAAAGAAAAAACCCAAACTCACCATCGAGCAGATCCGGGAGCGGGATGGCTCTGGTTTGCCGGAGAAGTTCAAAAATCGAACGGACAAGCACGGGTGTATGCAAAGAAAAAAGCGTGACAGTTACATTGTGTTGCATTATACCAAGCAAGACAAAGAACACGCTTCGTCATACCGGATATGCACAAGAACCCACTCTACTCACATGTGTTTTCCTTCATTGGAAGGCAGAGAAAGAAAGTTTTTACAACAAGAAATCTGTAACATTTTTTTCGGTGGATAGGGATGTATGAAAAGCCAGCCAGCGACTCCACCAGTAAGTATCTGAACAGTCCGTACATTCAAAAGGCGCCGGCGGAGCCGGTGTCGCCGCGTTCCGCTCAGTATCATGACTTGGAGGCGTATGGTGGTGCACAACTTCTTGCCCTTCCCCTCATTTGCCATGCAAAGTGCCAAAGTATTAAAAACAAAATCTTGCCTGTATTAATCAAGTATTCGCATGACAGGTTCGGGAGCTGCCCAAATAGTTTCCAGCCAGGGGCAGGCGGGGTTTTTTGCACTCGGATTCGGCGAAGCTGAAACAATATCCCACGAAAAAACTGTTTCACTGATGATTTTGCAAGTTCTGCATCACAAGTTTCTTACACATGACGCAGAAAATTTGGCATGCGCGCTTCCAAAGGGAAAACGCCTTTCAAGAGTCAAGGTCTTGCAGGTGTAGCAAGACAAATAGTTCTGTGCTCCATTCTATGCATCACAAGTTCACAGTGAAACAGTTTTTTCTTGCGATAAACAAGCCGAGAAAGAGGCGAAAATGGTCACGGGTATGAAGCTATCCTGTGCAAAAGTATCGTACCCGTAGTAATTGCAGTCATGCATTACAATTTTTTTTCTGCAGCTATATCCGCATTACAAATTCTATTTCTCATGCTGAGGGAATTTGTAAATGCATTTATACTTATACGAGTGCGATACTTTTGCAATGCATAGAAGAAGCTGGGAATCGACATCGCACGGGTCGGGGGGGAGATCGTCCCGGTAACTTTGACGACAGCTTCTCCGCGGGTCTACAGTTTGGACGATACAGGACAAACTCCGAAAGCCGTTGTGGCAGCCGCGACCAAATTGCTCGCGGGAGGAGGTGGTTACGCATTGCAAATATATTATCTGGCGAGACTGGAAATAGAATGTAGCTTGTCGACATGCGAAGTCCTCTAGGGGACGAAAAAATTGAGTTGTATGAACCCGAAGGAATAAAGCACACTGACAAGAAACACAAATCTTGCATTCTTCCAAAACACGACCAGAGGACATATTGATTTCTACTGAATTAATGGGGTTCTGCTTCTTCTAGTGCTGCTCCATCTTCCAGCGCGAGCGGCTCCGCGCAAGAACAGGAAGGAAATGGACCCACCTCTGCCTCCGCGTCAGCATCTACTTCAAGGCGGCTCCGTGCCGAGGGCAGCGGGAATCAAGAGCATCATCAACAAGGCGTGGAAGCCGGTACGGACGAGGTAAGCTGGGGTGAAAATGTTGCGGATATGAAGGAAAAAGCGAAAGAGAAAGACCGCTCGTTCCCTTCGGATCAGCCTTCCCGCCGGCACAGAAAAGATCTGGATGAGTTTATCGACTCGAAAAAGGAAGACACGCGGAGGATGCTGTATAACCCGCTCAGGTGTTACAATCTCAAACGTTACAATAGAATATGGCAATCTGTGATGCAAGAGTGCATGACCTAGCCTACTCCCACAGGATTGCGCATGACAAGTTCCGGATCCCCAAACCTCACTACAATCTGGCTAAATTTGTATTGCAAAAGGTGGAAAGCTGTGCGAGTCTGTCATGCTCATCATATAACACAAATTCCACATTCTATTGTAACGTTTGAGATTGTAACGTTTGAGCAAGTCATATGCTGCCCGACGAGCTCCTGGATTTGGTGAAGAACAAAAACACGCGGCCGGGAACTTATGCATCGCACATCTGTCTTTGGGTTTGGAAAGGTTCTTGAATCTCTATTGCGTGTCGCGCATTTCTGTTGAAAAATTGGATTTCTGTATGCATAAAAGCAAGAACAGCGCCTTCACACTTTCGTCATGCAAGTACGCGGTTTATTTTTTGAGTTGAATGCGAATGCGTGCGATCGCGATTTATGAGAACAGAGCCTTTATATGAAAAATTTCAATTTGCCATGCTTTTACTGAACTTAAACGTGCACCACGGCTCGTCTATGGGCCATGCAGCCTCACAAGTTTCCGGAACACCGGACCAGTTTGCATTTGATACACCTTCCAACCGTACTAATTTCGAAGTGGCGAGAAGGACGTCCAACTTGGCTTTAACGAAAGCGAGGAAGATATCACAGGAAAAAAGTGTTTCACTGTGATGGTTTTGCAAGATCTGCATCACAAGTTTGCTACACATGACACAGAAAATTTGCCATGTGCGTTTCCCAAGAAGGGAAAACACGCTTAAAAATCCATTGGGTTGCAGGTGTAGCAAGACAAACACGTTGGTGTTTCGTTCACTGCATGACAAGTTCACAGTGAAACAGTTTTTTCTTGCGATAGAAGAGCACGCAGCGGGACGGCAATATGACAACGGAAGTCGTCGGTCTGAACCATCCGCAGTCGACGGTAAGAGACCAGGCGAGACGGGAAAGAATGTATCCTGAGTAAATAAACGTCCTCCCCCCATACAGTTGTCATGCAGGTTTGCAATGACAAGACAATTTGTGATGCGCATCCCCATGAAAGGCATTTGCAGGCGTGTTTGAAAATTTGTAATGGTGTAAACGGGATAAGCAGCTGGGTCTGTAATGCAGATGCCTTTGCTAACCTGCACTACACTACGGACGGCAACTTGTCATGCGATACATCCAAAACTTCTGGATTTGTGTTGCGAGATCCCCATCTTGACTCTGGGATGGGAACGTTTTTCCTTAGGAAAGAATGGAGGAGATCTTTATCCGCTCGGGACGTGAAGGACGTATATCGAAAGGAAAAATCCCCCCTCCCCATATCTGGAAAGGAAAAACGGTTTGTTTCCGAAAATTTGTGTTGCTGATTTGAGGGCACAAATCGCATTTGTCTTGCAAGAAGACAAGGGCAGAAGGTTCCGCCCTACTTATTATGGAGTCGATTTGTTATGCTGTTGGGCCCAAAGGTGTGCCGTTTGTCATGCTGAACAACTAGACCCATACGCCCCTACCTAGCCCGGGGATCTGGCCTCAGTGCCTTCCTGCAATACACAGCTGATTTGTGTACACAAATCCAGCATCAGACGTTCCGTTTTGATATGGGGAGGGGGGATTTTTCCTTACGATAACGTAGTGACTCTAGCTCCAAATCTCTGTCGTCTTCTGGTGCCACCTCGTCCAGTCGTCGTGGTGACAAGAAAGACAAAATGACCAGTGGAGGTCAACACGGCATTCGCGTCCCGAAGCGAAATCCGCGACACAGCCGCAGTCCACGGCAAAGTCAGGCCGCTGCTCCGTTACCCGCGGCGGGGACGTCAAGTCAAAGGAGTTCTACGGCCTCTTTCGCGAATCCGAGAGCAGTATCAAATGCAAAAATGTCTTGGTCTGGAAGAATGCGCGATTTGTCATGCAGCTTTGCCATGACCCATGAAGCTTGGAATGCAGGACCTAGCATGACAGATTCTGTGCAATCTCTCTCATGCCTACCCTGCATGAGAAACTCCCTCCCGACCACTTGGTCAAAACTGGACGACTTTTGGTAATCATGCAGCACAGATTTTTGCATGCTTCAGATTTAGCATGACAAGTTACAATCTTCCAGACCCAGACACTTTTGCATTTGATAAGCAGACCACATGGCGACCGCCTCTGACGAAGATGAAAGACGGCGGATTTTGGAGCCAGGAAGTCTTCAAGAGCATCTGCTGACATCTCCGCCGACAGTGTTGGTAGACCGGTACAAGAAGGACACCAAAAACGATGAATATGACCCGCCGACTGTTCTGTCTAAGGAAACACTAACGTCCTCTGGGCTGTTGACAGCACTGACGCCAACACAACAAGAGGACAAGAATACAGTGAAGGGACATAAAGGTCAGAAACAGCAAGGCAGGAGTACTGCTTCTGAACGAAGTGGTCAAGTAGAACGGCGAAAAGAAAATGAAGAGAACCAGGGCGGGCGGCACAGCTACTTCACAAGACTGGGCGTGGCTCTGCACGGCGACGGGGTTTTGGATTACCGCACGGGGACAAGAAAAGACGTCGCCGACGCGATCCCAGATTCGGTCGTGAAAAAGGAGTATCAGGCTGCTGCTGCTGCTGCTATGGCAGTAGAGCCAGAAACTGCCGAAGTGGATGCACTCGCACATCTGTCCCAAAAAGGAGCAGCGCTCCACACAGGCGGTAAGATGAACCTAGAGGACGAGCAGGACGAAAAGTCCCCAGATGAGTCACCATCATCGTCCACGAGCTCGACGATACCCGATCCGGCGCACCTTACCATCAAACCTGGGTCCCAAGAAAGCTCCCAAGCCGCGAACTACGATACGCTGTACCTGAATCGCCGCTACGGGTCCTCGCAGGATGACGTTGACGCCAGCTCTTTCCCGGCGCCGCAATCGAACCTCTCCTCGCACATGTCTGTGAATGGCTACATGCGGTTCGAGGAAACAAGTATGCGGGGGAAGGAGACCGAGGAGAAGGAGGAAAAGCGACGGGACGAACTGTCCATGTTACAACAGATGAAAGCCAGGAAAGAAGCGCAACGACAGAAAGACTTTGCCATGCTGCAGGCCATGAAACAGAAGAAATTATCGGAGAGGTCTAAAGGACCAAGTCCGGGTCGTGTTGAAGAAATGCAGTATCTGCGCAGTGTGCGCGAAAGCAAGACCGTCGAGCGTGCGCGAGAGATTCTCGCCTCTCGCTCGGCCAGCCAGAGTTTCTCAGGATCGTCAGAATATCCTGAGTAAAAACGTCCCCACACCATAGTCAACATTGGAAATCTGCTACACAAATTCGTGAGCTTTGGCTGTCGCGCATGACAAATTCGGGCTCGCAGTTTAGTCGTGTTTAGCTAGTTCTCCAGCATCACAGACCCAGTCTGTCATGCTGATCGGAGCATGACAAATCAGAAATCGCAACTGGAAAACGTCGCCTCTCATGGGTCTCCGCATGAGAAACATTTTCAGCATGCAGATTTGCATTACAACTTTGGGGAGGTGGGGATGTTTTTACACAGGATACAGAAAGGAGCATCCTTTCCTCCTCACCTTCGATCCGGTATGCGGGCGGAGGAAGTCGAACTGCGGCTTACAATATGGATTGTAAAAATGTCTGGGTCTGGTGAAAAGTTGTGATGCATGTCAAGGAATAGAAATCGCACTGTAATGCACTGCCAAGCATGACAGACTTTTTCGTGGCTCTGTGTTGCGTATTCCGCATGACAGACAGCGATTTTGCGTGACAGACTAGAGGATCTCTTGCTGGCCACGCAATACAGAGCTCAGTGTCATGCCAGACGAGCATGACGTATCTCGCATTCTTCCAGACCCAGACATATTTGCATTTGATACACAACCAGCATCCGTCTTCACCTTCCCAGTTGTCCCGGGGCCAAAAAATCCTTGCAGCGTCTAGTACCGGAACTACCTTTAGCGACAGCAGGGGACTGCCTTTCCAAAGAAGTGGCCCACAACTCCAGTCTGGTTCGCCCGGCTCCGCGTTGTCGTCGCTGCGGACTCAGCTGGAGTCCAGCGCGCAGTTGCTCTCGCCGAGCACGTATCCTGTGCAAAAGTATCGTACTCCTACTAAAACTAATCGAAGTCATGTATTACAACACTCCAAGGTAAATCAGCACGGCCGAGTCCTTTTGTCATGCTGAGCTAATTTGTAGTGTAATACTACACGCACGATACAACTTATGCAATTCATATAACGCCCCCGGCTCTGCAGGCTTTGCAAGAGAAACAGCAGCGGGACAGGGAGGAAAGGGAGCGGCAAAAGCAAATAGCGCTGGATATCGCAAGGAAAAATCCCCCCTCCCCATATTGACGAGGTAGGTTTTCGAAAATTTGTGATGCTGATTTGTGACCACACATCGTGTCTGTTTTGCAAGACGGCAACTCCACCGGCTCCGCCGCGTTATGCAGTCGGTTTGTCATGCTGTTTGGCCTACAGCGCGGACGTTATTTATGCTGAGCGCCTAGGCCAAAGCCTCTCTACTCAGGCTGGATATGGGTCTGCAGTCCTCTTCAGCAAGACAAATCTGATTTGTGTACTCAAATCCAGGGCCAGACGTTTCGTTTTGATATGGGGAGGGGGGATTTTTCCTTTTGATACTGGAAGAATTCGCCACGGGGTTTGATGCCAGACACGAGGAATTTTTAGCAAAGCAGAAAGAAAACAGGAAAAGAGCATCAAAGCGAAGAAAAGGAGATATTAACGCAACAGCTTCGATATCTTCGTCCTCATCATCCAGTACTATCGGCGAAGACGATGCTGGTGAAAATATCCCTGTAACCGACGAGCCGACAGCCATGAACGACGACAGATTCGCATCGCAAGCGATCCGCGCCAGGCAGCAGCAAACGGAGGCGGCGGACAAGGTCAGCGATGCGTTGCGCAAAACGGCGGAGCAAAAAATGAGTAGGAAGCTGGGGGAGAGCACCTCCGAAAAGCGCATGGAGCGGGTCGGAAACAAGTTGGAGAAAGCGCGAGACCTATCAAATGCAAATATGTCTGGGTCTGGAACTTGTCATGCACTTTTGCATGAGGCATGATGTTTGTGATGCATGCCCTAGCATCACAGGCTTTTTGAGGGCTTTCTGATGCGTGCACTGCATGACAAATGCCCTCTCCACCGCGTAGCACAAAGTCGACTCCTCTTGCTGGTCATGCAACACAGATTTGTTTAGAATCCGAAGACAGCATCAGAAGTTGCATCCTTCCAGACCCAGACATATTTGCAATGCATAAGACCGGGTGAGCAGCAACATACGGAAGTCGGAACGATTCTTGCAGCAAGGTCGTGGGTATGGATTGCAAAAATGTCTGGGTCTGGAAGATTGCAACTTGTAATGCTGTCTTTGGATTCCAAAAAAATCTGTATTGCATGATCAGCAACAGGACTCCAGTTTGTGTTACGCGGAGAGGGCATTTCTCATGCGGAATAGGCATTGAGAAGCCCTCTAGAAATCTGTGTTGCTAGATCATGCATTACAGGCATCAGGCGTCATGCAAAAAATGCATTACAAGCCTGGCAATCTTCCAGACCCAGACACTTTTACATTTGATAGTGGGGACGAGGCGAGAGAACAAGTTCGAGGCCCGTCGGCGCGCAGTGGAAGTTCGTCCAGAGCTTCATCTTCCAGCAGACGGGCGTCTAAGAGGAGGAGCGGAAAAAGAAGAAAACATTCCTCCTCACGAGACCACAAGCGCTCAAAAGTAGAACGTGGCTCCGCTACTTCCCAGTCTCCGGCAGTGGTTTCTCTCCACGACGTATGGATTGCAAAAATGTCTGGGTGTGGAAGGTTGCAACTTGTGATGCTGTTTTTGGATTCTAAAAAAATCTGTGTTGCATGACAAGCAATAGGAGACCAGTTTTTGCCACGTGGAGAGGGCATTTCTCATGCAGGATAGGCATCAGGAAGTCCTCAGAAGATCTGTCATGCTAGGGCCTGCATCACAGACATCACGGCTCATGCTAAACGTGCATGACAAGTCTCAAAATCTTCCAGACCCAGACATTTTATACATTTGATACGACGAAATGCGGACGATCATCACGAAAAACGAGCCCGGTTTGAAGCCAGTGGGGAAAAAAGTTGCAGTATCATTTGTAAAAACGCCCCCGCCCCATAGTCATCAAGCTGGGAGATCTGCAAGACAAATCAAGAAGCTTTGGCTGTCGCGCGTGACAAGTTTGGGCGTGCAATGTAATAATCGCGCTGAGCTTGTGCAGCAGCATCACAAATCTAGCTTCTCATGCTGCTTCGAGCTTCACAAATTTCAAAGCAGCAGGAGAAAAAGCGTCTCATTGGAATCCGCATGACGGACATTTTAAGCATGCAGATTTGCATGACAGCCACAGGGTGGGGACATTTTTACACACGATACGCAAATAAATCCGACTTCCTCCGGGAACAGATGCGGCTGCAGGGTGTGGAGTACTCGTTGCCAGACGAAAGCAAGCTATGCAAGAAAAAAACTGTGTAAGTGTAACTCTGTAAAAATGCAGAACACGCAACAGAGTTACATCTGTCATGCCAGACAAACACGAAGTCCTCATTTCATGTCTGTGTGTTTCCCTTACATGCCACGCATGACAGGTTTACTCAGTCATGTAGAGCAAATTTGTGATGCTGTCAGCCAAACATAGATAGTTAGTACACTAACACAGTTTTTGTCTTGGACACAAGCCTGCCGACGACTACCAGCAGCAAGCCGGCTATCCTGAGTAAAAACGTACCCACACCAGAGTTGTAATGCAGATTTGCAAAGACAGGAAGACTTGTAATGCGCATCCCCATGAGAGCCATTTCCTTTTCCAATCGTGTTTTGGAATTCGAATTTGTGATGCTGTGAACAGGATGAGCAGATGAATCTGTGACGCGGCTGCACTTGCTAACCTGCACTACACTGCAGAGTGCAACTTGTCATGCGTGGCTCACAAAACTCCTAGGTTTGTGTTGCAAAATCCCCATCCTGACTCTGGTGTGGGTACGTTTTTACTCAGGATACCGGCTTCCTGCCCGATAAGGAGCTCGGCGGGCTCGACGGCGCCCCCCCGGACCTGGAAGCGTGGCAGAGCCGGGTGGTCGACGGGAAATTTTTCCCACAGAGGGAAAAAAGGCCCTCGCAGATCGGGAAGACGCAAGAAGAGATGGATAAGGACAGGGAAAAAATCCTTTTAGAATCCCTCGGGTACCGAGAGGACAGAAGTAGAGAGCAGCAGGCGCGGCGTGTCAAGAGGGAGAAGAAACACGGTAAGCACGGGCATAGCATGAAGAAGGGCGACGATGACTCTGTAAGTGAACAAGATACGGCTTCGTCGCCTTCTGTGCCTTCTGCTTCTGTGATTGATGCTAGTACGACCTCGATGTCTGCTAGTACAACTTCGAACGGCGCCGCAGCTGTGGAAAAGGGCGGTGATCAAGCCGCTCTAGCTCCTGATCAGGGAAGATCAGAGGACGATGATAGTGGAGCCGAACGGAGAAGGAAAAGGAAGAAACGGGAAAAGAAATCTCGTACCGTATCAAAAGGAAAAATCCCCCCTCCCCATATCGAAATTGAAATCTGTGATGCGGGATTTGTGTACACAAATCGGCTTTGTCTTGCAGTAGAAGACTGCAGGCACATACAAAGCCGGAGTAGGGGCGTTTTGGTGTAGGCGCCTAGCAAGGCAGGCATATCCTCCGTAGGACATGCAGCATTACAATCTGCCTGCAGAACGCGGCGGGGTTTTGGATTTGCCTTCTTACAATACAGAGACGATTTGTGACCTCAAATCAGCATCACAAATTTCCAGAAGTATCCCGTTTTGGTATGGGGAGGGGGAGTTTTTCCTTTCAATATACCGGAAATCTTGTTGAAACAGGCACAGGGGCAGATACCTCCGAGGACGTAGTAGTTGCAGCAGCAGGTCAAGGACGAGCTCCGCGTTCCAGTGCAGCGGAACGCCTGCAGCCTATTGCAGATGCAGGCCAACGTGAGCCCCCTGGAGAAGATTTTCGTCCCGGGCTTTCCTCCGACGAGAGCAGCACGACATCCGCCCTGGACCGCACCGGAAGTGAAGGGCAGGAGCACGCTGGACAACACAAAGAACGTGCGTCGTCCTCTTCACAGCAAGTTTCAACATCCGCTCGTCTTGCTGTTCCCGCTAGGAAAACCCGTGCGTCCGCTGTGCTTGGGAAAGAACAGAATGACAAAAAGATGAATTCTGTGCAAAAGAACCTGTCTTCGCTTTCGGCCAAAGACCTGCTGCACCACTACGAAATGAACAAAGAGAAAGAAGAACAAGCAGAAGAAGCCGAAGGTTTTTATCCACTTCCCGAGCAATCACCGTTTCTCAGCACGAAATTTACCGAGCAAGAAGTGCGAGACCGGCGGAGAGAGGCGATCGCGAAAGGCGGACAAGACGTGTCGCAAATCGGCAACAGGAATGCGGTGCGAAAACCTGAAGAGACGGAAGACGCTTTTCGAAAAAGGCTGACGCGGGAAAGTCTGGAAGCCCAGGGAATACAGTACTCGCTAGCCGATGTGGGTGGACCGTCGGGAGCCGATGTTGAAAACACGGTCGTGAGCAGCAATAGTGCGAGTACGATCAGCAGCAGCGCAGCTTCCTCGTCTGCTGAAGCTTCTACTTCCCATGGACCAGATAGGCAGCCCGAAAAGAAACGTCGCGAGAGTACCAAGACCGCGAGGAAGAATGAGAAGCGAAAGCAAAAGATCATGAAGCGGGTAAGTCGCAAAACGAGACCGTCGGAAGGGGAAAGCCAAAGTAGCAGCAGGAAGGAGGATGATAGCGGGCAGGATTTAGTTCCTCTTCGTGAAGAAGTACTAGAGAGGGGCGATGACAAAGACGATGCTATGAGGAAAAGAAAAAAACAAAACGCCGCACAAATGCTCTCACCGAATAAAGCTGCAGGTGAAGGCGCTTTTCCCACGAGTTCCTCCGCGGGGGCCGCCGGAGCATCGGCAACAGGAGCTGCAGGCAGAGGTGGACCTACTGCAACTACATCTGCTCTTTCCCCGCAAACGCAGGCGGGCAGCGTTCTGAAACCGTCTTGGTATCACGGAAAGATTGGGAAAAAGGGCCGCAAAATAAGGCGCGACAGCCGGGAAAACGAAATTTCTGCCAGCTCGGAGGACACAACCAGCGGGAAAAGTGATAAGTACAAGGGCAACAAATACGATTTTGGCGAACACTTAGCAGCTGGCGCGGGGCGCGGGAATTATACCGGCCGACGAGGAGGTCGAGGTGGTACGCAATACAAAGTATTTCCCGTACAACTTACTACAACACGTACAAAAAATAAATGCACATGACTTTGCCAACGCGATGAAGAGTCCGTTTGATTTGTCATGCTGAGCAAGCTGGTGGAGAACTTTTGTCATGCGGACGACTCAGCATATGTTCAATTTGTAAGTGGGTTCGGGAAATAAACATTTGTCGCGGATAGCAGCTGGTGTCACGAGGGCTAGCGCTGCGGAGAGAAGCGGGAATGGACCAGGTCTTGACGATGAGGAGTTCGAGGAAGAGATCGACCCCGCAGTGCTTGCTGCGGAGCGCAGACGGGTGGAGGCAGATCAAGACCGAAAACGGCGGATGCGCGAGCTGGGCTCGAAGTACACCCTGATAGAAGACGCCGTGGAGCTGTCGCCGCGCCAGAAGTATCCTGTGCAAAAGTCTCGTACTCGACGTATGAATGCAAATCCTGCATTAGAGCAAGGCAAATCAGCATGACAAATCCTATTTGTCATGCTGAGGAAATTTGTATATGCATTTATACGAGTAGGAGTACGATACTTTTGCAGTTCATAAGAAGCACGAGGCGTTCGAGCGGCACCGCCACCTGCGGGACGACGTTGCGAAACAGAAACTGTTGGAGCGCGGGGCGGAAGAGTTGCTGCTCTTTGAAATGAAGCGGAGAAAAATGATGAATGCTAGCGCTGCCTCCGCCGCCTCCGCCAGTACTTCTACAGGTGCTGGCGCGAAGATGAAAGAAGTGGAAAAGAAGCAGAAGAAATCGTCTGACTCGCGGGGCAGTCTGATCTCCCGCGTCATTTACGCGGCCGATCACGAGCCCGTCACTTCGGCGCAGAGAATATGAAAGTGCACAACTCCCCCTCCCCCTCATTTGTCATGCAAAATACCCAATCCACCCGTTGCTTCTTGGCACTGTTTGCATGACAAGTTCTGGTAGCCCAAATAGCACTATACTCCGGCGCAAATCTGTGTCTGTCATGCAAAACTGGCATTCTTGCTGATGCTTGTATTGCCGTTCATGCTATAGAAATGAGGGGGAGGGGTAGTTGTGCATTGTCATAGAGAAAGCCGCTGTTTCGGGGTAGCAAGCACGAGTCGCCGCGGAGCAGAGTGCGGAAGGCCGAGGGGTCGCAGGGTAATAAGCGCGACCTTCTGGATATGCATTCTTGCAAAAGTATCGTACTAGTATAAACCGCATGACAAATGACAAATTGAAATTTCCTCAGCAACAGCATGTATGAGGAATAAAATTTGTAAAATTATGCGGATTTACCTTGAGAGTGAGATTTGTATATGCATGAATGCGTATGCGATTACTATTACGAGTGCGATACTTTTGCACAGGATACTGGACGAGGAGTATGGTGGTGAGGACGCCTATCTCGATCTGCTGCGGCAGTTAACGGAGGGAACCACGACGGAGCTGGTTCACGGGTTGGAGGTCACGGTCGACAACAAGGTGCAGGAGCTCTCCGACGCGCAGCGTGACAAGCTGGCGGCGCTGCTGCGGCAGAAGAGCGAGATGGAGAGGAGGCGGCTGTATGGGCCGGTGGAGGTGGATGAAGGAGTGGACGGCAAGAAAATCGAGGGGGCTAGTACCTCCAAGGGAGGAAGAGGACATAGGAGAAGTTCCTCCCGAAGGAGCCCTGGACCTTCGCAAGAGCGTGCGGGTGGAAGAAGTAGGAGATCATCTCGAAGTCTTCAGGACCAGCAGGACCACGGCCGAAGAAAGTCTGCGCAGCATCCCTTCCGGCCGGGGGCGGAAAACTATGATTACCAGGAGGAGCTTATGCAAGAAAAAAACTGTGTAAGTGTAACTTTCTTGGAGGAACAGCATCACAAGTTTGCTCTGCATGGCACAGAAAACCTCCTGTCATGCGTTCCTAGTACGTGAATGTGAAAACACGTACAAAAAGAGCCCCTTACGCATGTCCAGCATGACAGGTGTAAGTGTCTTGCATCGTCTGCAACACGAATTTACACTTACACAGTTTTTTTCCTGGATAGAGCTTGCGAAAGCAAACCGCCGGACAAGAGCGTCGGATGTAGTTGTTGCCCAAAGAACTACTGCTCAGCCGCAAAACATGAAACATCCGCGCGCTTCTTCCTCCTCGTCGTCCAAAATGCAGCAGGTCCTCGAGGAAAAGTTTCGAGCGCAAGAAGAGACGAAGCGCAAGTCGATATCAAAGATTCGCACCTCGGCCGCGACACACTCCCGGGCCAGCCGCTCAGCGTCCGTGCCGAAGGGGAGGAAGAAAAAAGATTCTTCTTTATCGCGAGGGAAAAATAAGTAACTCCCTCTCAGAATGAAATACACGCCATTTTGAAACGGCATGGCATGCTTCTGAAATAAATTTGTGATCATGTTGATTTGTGGCCACAGATCGCGTCTGAATTGCAAGAAGGCAAATGTACTAGCAAGTCCGCCGCATTTTTTATGCAGGCGCTTTGGGAAGATGCTGTTAGCCCTACGTACACGGCGGACGTTTATTGTCGTGCTAGGCACCTAGTACCTCACAACATCACTGTCCAAGCGTTGCGTCTCCCTGCAGTCTTCTACTGAAAGGCAATAAAGCTGCTGACTTGGACTTGCGTAGTACACAAATCCCGAAGCACCGACTTCCTGTTTTTTTGATATTGGGAGGTTGGATTTTTCATTATGATGCTCTACTGCATCATCCTCTCTCACGGGAGCGAGCTCGAAGGACGTGGACGTGGACCAGCAGGCGAAAGAGACGGAGATGGTCACCGAGTACGAGCAACAGCTGCCGGCGCGACTAGAGATGCGCGACCATGTGGACGATTCGCAGCTCTTGCAGGATCATGCTGAGGCCTCTTTACTACAGCAGCAAGTGCAGCAAGTTTCTTCGTCTGGTAGAAACAAGAAACAACCCCGAAGCAGACGCAAAGCAGAGGGCGAGGTGCAGCACCCGTTTCTTGCGGAGTCCGGGGATCCCCACGACGAAGAGGAAATGCTGCTGACGCAGCTCGGCTATCCATTGCAAAGATGAGTCTACTGGGTCGGGAAGGGTGGAATTTGTATATGCGAATTTCACAACACACATAAGATCTCTCATGCATGGACAGCAAAGCTTAAGCTTCCGCTTGCCCATTTATTTTTGTCCCCGGCAATAAAGCAGTTGACACGTCATGCGGTTTAGGCACCATCGGCGCACCTTCTCAAACCTGTAACGCTAGCTAGACCTTGCATGCCACACCTGCTGGGTCATGGAAAAACAGCATGACAAATATCTGCAAGACATCCTTCCAGACCCAGACATATTGGCACTGCATATCGGCGATCGCAGTCCGCAGTTGCTGGGCGAGTTCAAGCACGCAATGGCCAAGATTCCGGACGTGTTCGGGCACCGGGGGGCGGGCACCGGCTACGCCCCCTTCCGCGGCCGAATTCCGCGCATCATGCGGGAAGGCCACATCGCCACCGTTTCCAAAGACCGCGCGCCGCGAGGACAAAAAAGGCCCAGCGCGGCGGGTCGGGAGAACAAGCAGAAGATGGTGTCAGACCTGCAAAGTGGACTGTCCACCAGCGCTCTTGATGCCGCGGTGAGTGCGAGGGGGCCTGAGCTGCTCTTGGACGAGCACAGGGCGCAGCTGTCGGACCTATCCTGTGCAAAAGTATCGTACTCGTATTGCAATCATGCATTACGTTAAGGCAAATCCGCATTACAAATTTCATTTCTCATGCTGAGGAATTTGTAATGCATTTATACGAGTGCGATATTTTTGCAGTTCATAGGACCTCATGCGCGGGAACAAAGAACGAAGCAGAAAAAGGGAAATGACAGTGGATAAGAACTACCTCGCCAAGCCCGAAACCCGCGTGTCTGACGAAGAAGAGGACGACGAAGATCTGAAGCGGAAGTCTTCGTCTACAGTTGTATCTGCGTCGAAAATTATGAAAAGAGAATCACGGGATGAAGGCAAGGGCCGCGAGCGTTTCTCGGCTGAAGATGAATTGTTGGAACAGCTGGAGTCGCGAATCCCCTCTCAGAAGGAAACGCTCCGGGAACAGATGAAAAGGGAGAAGGCAAAGTACTTCATTATGATTCATTTTTCTGGCCAACGCTATTGCCAATTCAATTCGGTATTTTTGTCATGCTTGCAGAACAACAATGCAAAAGAAAAAAATGAAACCGAAAGAAGTTGAGTATGCGACAATAAGTCCACTGCGCTTGTTCTTTGTCTCCTGTCTCCACGAGGACCAACATCCCACAATCTAAATGCAAATCAGACTCGCCCCCCGCTCGCCCGAGCTGACGCAGATGCTGGACGCCTACAGTCTCTCGTCCACTCCTATCAAAGTGAAAAAAGCCCCCACCCCATATCGGAAACGGAAGATGCGCGAATTTGTAATGCTGTATTTGAGTACACAGATCGACTTGTATTGCTAGAAGGCCAAGAGACGAAGCTGCAGCCTACATTGCAGGCAATCTGTCATGCTGTTTCCCACTTCCAGTTGCCTCCTCTCATCCTGGAGCTGCAAGGCTTTCCCACCCTTAGACACCACTACAGTCCGCATCTTTTGCCTTCTAGCATCACAAAGCTGATTTGTGACCACAAATCTGCATCACAGATTTCCGTTTTGATATGGGGAGGGGGGATTTTTCCTTGCAATAACTCCCATCTTAACTTCCGAGGAATCTCGGACCGCTAGTGGGAGCTCCACGACCTCTTTAAGCAGCACCAGTCCGCACCGCCTGGCGTACCGCCGCCTATCAAATGCAAAAATGTCTGGGTCTGGAAGAGTGCGCGATTTGTCATGCTGCTTTTCCATGACCCATGAGGTCTGGAATGCAGGACCTAGCATGACAGATTCTGCGAGACCTCTCTCATGCCTATCCTGCATGAGAAACTCCCTCCCGACTTGATCAAAAATGGACGAATTTTGGTAATCATGCAACACAGATTTTTGCATGCTGCAGATTTAGCATGACGGGTTGCAATCTTCCAGACCCAGACATTTTTACATTTCATACCGCCGCGCTCGCGACAAGAATCGCAAGGAGGTACTTGCTAGGGTGGAGAATCTGAAGGGAGGTGGTCCGATGAGCGAAAGCGAGAAAGCAGACAGGAGGGCCGCCGGCTCGCGGAAAAAGAGGCGAAAGAAAAAGAAAAAGGCTTCAACATCTCCTCGACAGGGACAGGGAAAGAGTGGCGCGGACGTGGCTGGCTCGGCAAGCGGGACGAGCAGCGCAAATGGTCGTGAGCCATTGAGTGCGGGGAGCGAAAGAAGCACGCCGCGGGAGCACTTCGAGCGACAGCAGGCCCGATCAGGAGATTATTGCGAGAAAAAAGTGTTACAGTTACACATTGTGTTGCAGGCCAAGCAAGATAGACAAGCTCTGTCATCATGCCGGATATGCATAGCAGCCTCGTTTCATGGGTGTTTTCGCGTAGGATTTCTGCATTGCAAGTTTTCTTTCTCATGCAGAATTGACAACAAATGTGTAACTGTAACACTTTTTTCTTTGCATAGAGATCATCGCTCGGCCAGTAGCAGAGGCGGCGGTAAAGAACGCCGGCACCACGGCGGGTCAACGAGAAATAAAGCGAAAAGGAAAAATAAAGACGAGGAAGCAAGCTCGTCAAGTTCTCGCGGCCGCGGCCGAAGGAAAAAAGAGCACAAGCACCACCATCACCACCGTTCTCGCGGCCGCGATAATAACACACAGGCGCTAGTAGATGCTGGCTACTCCAGGGAAATCGAGAAGCTCCGGAAGGAAAGGAAGGAGTACTTGAAGGAGATATCAACTGCAAAAATGTCTGGGTCTGGAAAGTTGGAACTTGTGATGCTAACTTTGGATTCTAGAAAAATCTGTATTGCATGACCAGCAGAAGAGGAGTTTAATTTCTGCTACGCGGGGAGGCCATTTGTCATGCGAAATAGGCATCAGGAAGCACTCAGAAAATCTGTGATTCCAGGGAATACATGATCACAGACGTCACGGGCCATGTAAAATCTGCATGACAAGTTCGCATCCTTCCAGACCCAGACATTTTACAGTTGATAGGAGATCGCGCTGAGTAACTTGCGGAAACGGCAGATCGAGAACGAAGATTTGAAGTATGCATTGCAAATATGTCTGGGTCTGGAAACTTGTGATGCAGGTCAGTCAATAAAAAACGCACTCTATCTAATGCGCCGCCAAGCATGACACGTTTTGTCGTGCTTCTGTGCTGCGTATTGTTCTGCATGAGAATCTGCGTTTTTGCATGACAGGCGAGAGAGGCTGTTTGTGGCCACGCAGTACAGATTTAAGGGCCATGGCAGATCAGCATTACAAACCAGACATATTTGCACTCGATTTGAAGCACCAGCTGCACAATCTGAAGAATCAGTTCAAGCAAGACTTGCACAATATGGAGCTGTATCCTGTGCAAAAGTAAGTATCGTACTCGTACAAATGCTAATGCAAGTCTTGCATTGCAAATCTTGTTTCCAAGGCAAGTCTGCATTACAAGTTTTATTTCTCATGCTGAGAAAATTTGTAATGCATTTATACGAGTACGATACTTTTGCAGTTCATAAGCTGAATTTGAAGCGAGACGAGGAATGGAAAAATATCCTGTGCAAAAGTATCGTAGCCGTAGTAAAAATCGCAATCATGCATCACAAATTTTCATCCCAAGGTGAATGAATCAGCATGACAAATTCCATTTCTCATGCTGGGCTAATTTGTGATGCGATTCAACAGACTAATACGATACTTTGGCAATGCATAAAAGATCAAATGCGGCAAAAGCGCCTGAACGACTTGAAACAGGTGCTTGATAGCAGCGTGGACGTGATGAAGCAACAAGCTGAGCGGGTGGACACAAGAAAGCGGCTCAAGGACCAGGCGGAAGACATCACTTCCGACTTCGAAGCAAGTCGGCTGCTGTATGACCTGCTCAAACGTTACAATCTCAAACGTTACGAATAGAATTTGGAATGTGTGTTGCATGATGAGCATGACAGACTCGCACAGCGTTCCACTTTTTGCAATACAATTGTCGCCAGATTGTATTGGGGTTCGGGGCTCCGGAACTTGTCATGCGCAATCCTATAAGAGTTGGCTAGATCATGCACTCTTGCATTACAGATTTCCATATTCTATTGTAACGCTTGAGATTTTTGTAACACCTGAGCAGGTTATATCCTGCAAGAGGAACTGAAAACGATCGCGCGTTCGGGACAAGTGGGCGGTGACCACTATCAAATGCAAAAAGATCTGGGTCTGGAAGATTGCGAGATTAATATTTACATTGCTTGACTTCCGGGTTCTGGTACGGCATACCCCCGGCGACAGGTGAACTTGACAGGTGACTTTGACAGGTGACCTTGACAGGTGACCTTGACAGGTGACCTTGACAGGTGACCTGGACAGGTGACCTCGACAGGTGGCCTAAGCGCTAATGTCATTTATGAAGACACGCAAAGGAAATATTTGCGACACGATGAAAAATGGAAAAGATAAAAGCGCAAAAAAAAAAAAGCGACGGAGAAAATCAATCGGGTGCTCGCTTCTTCAGGCGAGCGAGTAACTGTTTAGCGTACTTTCTATGTTCCTGCTTGTAAATAGCTGGCGAATAGTGTTTCAACTTATCACCACCGAAATGAAAAAGATAAAAGCGCAAAAACGCAAAGCAACTGCCTCCACAGAGAAAGGAACAATATTTGCGCTGCCAGGCAAAAATCGGAAAGCGCTTATCTCCACAACGCAGATCCAGGAGATAGCTGCTTACTTACTTACATTGCCCTGCGTCATGGGAAATGAATTGCGGCGCAATATTACAGAATTTATCTGCAGCCATGCCGACCTATTTCCTTGACTTCCATTTTTGTTTTGTGTTGCAAAATGTAGGGCACCCTGTTCATCCTTTTGCCTTTAGCGCTTCGCGCACTAAGCCACCATGCGCGCGCCTGGTGTGAGGCGAGGGGCGGACGCTGTCCGCCCCGATGCCGAACACCCTGCCCCCACTCGCGCTTCGCGCACTAGGCCACTATGCGCGCGCCTGGTGTGAGGCGAGGGGCGGACGCTGTCCGCCCCGATGCCGAACACCCTTCCCCCACTAGCGCTTCGCGCACTAGGCCACTATGCGCGCGCCTGGTGTGAGGCGAGGGGCGGACGCTGTCCGCCCCGATGCCGAACACCCTTCCCCCACTAGCGCCACTAGGGACGGGCACAAGGCCCCAGCGTGGGGACCCTGTCCCCACGCTCGGGTGGGCCTTGTTTGTCATGCTTGTCTGGCATGGCCAAAAAATTTGTGATGCGTGTCCAAGGAAGAAGAGGCCCTTTTGCCTGTCATGCAAAAACGCAGTTTGTCAGGCGAAAAACGCAACACAAAGAAGCGCAGATATTTCTCATGCTTGCCTGTGCATTACAGAGCATTCACTATTCCCAACGCAGCATTACAAGTTTCCAGACCCAGACACTTTTGCATTCGATATGCCGTTGCCCATGACGACCACATCTGCGTTCAGTGAGCCGAATACCTCCACTTTCATCCAGCCACTTGTGACGCCGCCACTGGTCTCGTCGTCGGGCAAGAGAATCGCGAACTTGAACTCTTCGCTGCCCATTTTTGCAGCTAATGCGGAAGAGCATAAAAATGCTCGGATGAATATGCGAAATCCAGCGAAACATGACGACCAACTGCAAGAGCGGAGCTTGATTCAGGCCGAAATCCAGCAGCTGAAGCAGGAGCTGCAAAACCAGCAGAAGGTGTATCTGAGCGAGCTGCTATCCTATGTAAAAACATTCCCACACCAGAGTCAAGATGGGGATCTCGCAACACAAATCGAGAAGTTTTGGGGGTCGAGCATGACAAGTTCGTCTCTGTATTGTAGGGCAGTTTAGCAAGTAGAAGTACAGCCGCAACACAAATCCATCTACTCATCCCGTCGACAGAATTACAAAGTGCAAAACGCGATTGGAAATGCCTCTCATGGGGATGCGCATTGCAAATCTTTCTGTAGCTGCAAATCTGCATGACAACTGGGGACATTTTTGCTCAGGATAGCTGCAATCCATCCGGGCCGTCGTCCTACCGCCGGCGGTATCAAGTGTAAAAATGTCTGGGTCTGGAAGAATGCAGCTTGTCATGCTAAATCTGAAGCATGCAAAAATCTGTGTTGCATGATTATCAAAAATCGCTCGTCCAGTTTTGACCAAGTCGGGAGGGAGTTTCTCATGCAGGATAGGCATGAGAGAGATCGGGCAGCATCTGTCATGCTAGGTCCTGCAGCATTCCAGATCTCATGGGTCATGGAAAAACTGCATGACAAATCGCGCACTCTTCCAGACCCAGACATTTTTGCATTTGATGGGCGGATTCTCCGGACCATGTGCAGGTCTCGGCGGACATGCGGGCTTATGTCTTTGACCTGGGAGAAAACTACCGGAAAGAAACCGAGAAACTGAAGCTGCGAATTATCCATTGCAAATATGTCTGGGACTGGAAACTTGTGATGCTAAAGCATGGATCAGTCTGGTGCTTTCAACTGCAGCCGTGCATGACAAATTTATTTGACGCCGTCTACTGATGCGTGGCACGCATGACATGCTGCGTCTTTGCATGACAAAAAAGCAACGCCTTTGCTGGCTGTGCAACACAGATTTTTCAGGAATGCTAGGGATGCAACACAAGTTCCACTTTGTTTTCCAGACCCAGACGTGTTTGCATTTGATACGAATCGCGCCCTTGCAAGAGGATTTGCGGTTGTTGAAACTGCTTGCGGCCCCGCCCGGGTTCGAAGCAAGTGGAGAACAACTTCTCCCGGCCAGCAGAGGTGGTTCCCCTGGTGCTGCATATGCAAGAAAAAAACTGTGTCAGTGTAACTTTCTTGGAGGAACAGCATCACAGGTTTGCTCTGCATGACAGAGAAAACCTGTAATGCGTAGCTAGCGCGGGAGAACACGCACGAAAAGAGCCTCTGATGCATGTCCAGCATGACAAGTGTATACAGTTTTGCATTTTCTGCAACACAAAGTTACACACACACAGTTTTTTTCTTGGATACTGCAGCTCTCCGGGTTAAAAATAGCCCGGCGCTGACCACGGCGAGCATTCGTTCGCCTTCCTCTCCTATGGATTGCAAAAATGTCTGGGTCTGGAAGATTGCAGCTTGTCATGCTGAATCCGAATAATGCAAAAATCTGTGTTGCATCAGTGCCAAAAGCTGTCCACTTTCGAACAAGTTGGGAGGGAGTTTCTCATGCAGGACAGGCACGGCAGAGACCTCGCAGACTCTGTCATGCTAGGTCCCGCATTCCAGACCTCATGGGTCATGGAAAACCTGCATGACAAGTTTACACTCTTTCCAGACCCAGACATATTTGCATTTGATATCTCCCGGAACGGCGCTTGGCTCGCAGCTCGGCGGAAGTAGACCGCGGCAGAGGAGCGCTGCAAGTCGGCGCGGCCGAAGGATGGGACCTACAGACGCAAACCGAGCAGGACGAGATGGTGCCAACAATGCCAACCTCGTACCCGAAGTAGACTTCGTTCGCTCACAAGAAGATGGCGGTTTTCCCGGCACGCCCAAAACCAACGCTAGCAGGGTTGTGTACGTATCGCCTGTATGGATTGCAAGTATCATGTCTGGGTCTGGAAACTTGTAATGCTAAAAGTGAATGATAGATGTGCCGCAATACGCAGCTATGCATGACAAATTTTGTGGCCGCCATGTCTTGTGTATTCTGCATGGCAAACTGCCTTTTCGCAACGTGACAGTTAAGAGGGCTCTTTCGTGCCTATGCAACACAGATTCTCGAGTCATGCCAGACAAGCATGACAGACTTGCATTCTTCCCGACCCAGACATTTTTGCATTTGATAGCCTGTAGTGGCTCTTTCCAAAGACAGCACGACCTCGAACGTAAATCGGGCAAGGTTTTTATGCATCGGGCAAAATTTAAGTGATGTCGTACTCGTAGTCGTACTAATTGCACCCATGCATCATGACAGATTCGGTTTTTTATCTACTTGAATCCGTATGAGAAACTGCATTTTTGTTCACTATAGTAGAAATTTGATGACTAGTACGATACAATTTGCAATGCATAGTTTTTCAGCCCGACCAGCCGGAGTCAAAGCCCCGGGTGGACAGGCAGGAGCGAGGACCTCCTCTATGCATTGCAAATATGTCTGGGTCTGGACGATCCATCGCAACTTGTCGTGCTATGTCTCGAGCCCAAAAAAATCTGTATTGCATGAACGCCAAAAGTTGCCCAATTCTTGCTAGGCAAAAGGCGGATTTCTCATGCCGAATAGCCATGAGGAAGGTCTCGCAAAATCTGTGATGCTTCTGTGTGCATTCCAGACTATGTGCGTAGTCCGCGAGATGCATGACAAATCTCGAAATCTTCCAGACCCAGACATATTTGCAGTTGATATCCTCCTATCGGGGCCGAAAAAAATCCACGTAGAAAAGTTCGAACCCGAAAAGCCGGGCGAATTACACGCGACGGTCCACGGCCTGTTGCGGTTCGAACCGTGCACACCGCGGCTGGCGAAGCAAGTGGTTACCAACGTGGCTCATTTAGATCACAGTTTCAGCGAGCTCGTGGGCCACAAAACGAGGGCTTATCCTGAGCAAAAACGTCCGCGCCCCATAGTCCAGATGGGAATTTCGCTAGACAAATCGGCCAACTTTGGTTGTTGTGCATGACAAGTTTGGCCTCGTAGTGTATTCCTGTTTAGGTAGCTCCAGCAGCATCACAGAGCTAGCACATCACGCCGATTATAGCATCGCAAATTCCAAAACACGACTAGGGAATGCTTCTCATGGGGCTCCTCGTGAGAAACTTTTTTGCCGTGCAGATTTGCATGACAACTCTGGGGTATAGTGGCCGGGAGATGATGGTGATGGCACTTCGGTGTCCGCCTGACCCACCCGCCCTGCGTGCCAAGCCATCTGCGGCGATGGTACAATGGGGGGGGCAAAGTGTGTCGCATTTTGTTTAGCATGACAACTCTGGGGTGGGGACGTTTTTCCCCAGAATAAGGCCGGGCTATTTGTCAACGTGCGGGGGCTGATGGGTGAGCTGTTGGGCAGCACCGCACACGACTGCAACGATCCGCGCGTGCTGGAGCTCGAAGAAAATCTGATCCACAAGGCGCCAGTAGTTGCTATCAAAGTGAAAAATCCCCCCTCGTCCCCATATTGACACGGAAACTTCTGTTGCTGGATTTGTGTAAGTACACAAATCAGCCCTGTCTTGCAGTGAGGCACTACGGGCAAAGTCTCAGCCTGCGTAGGGGTGTTTTGTTGTAGGAGGTTAGCATAGCAGAGGCCTGCCATGCCCATGTTTGTAGGTGAAACAGCAATACAAATCACCCCCATAAGGCGGCGGATTCTTTGCCTTTGGATTTGCCTTCTTGCAAGAGAGGCCGGATTTGTGGCCACGAATCGGCATCGCAAATTTTTAGGAATATACTTCTTCAATATGGGGTGGGGGGATTTTTCCTCGCAGTAGTCGCCGGGGAGGAACTACTCCTTCCTCTTGCGACAGATCTGGACGATGCAATCAACCCTGATATAATTAAAAACCCCCCTTTGAGCAATGGGGAGATCAAGAAGAAATTCCAGGAAGCCAGGCGAAATCTGCACACGGCGCGCCGGGCGGTCGGGGCCGTTCTGCAGTTGGTGCCCACCAGCGAGGAAGATGTTGTTGGGGAAGTACTGGTATCAACTGTAAAAATGTCTGGGTCTGGAAGAGTGTAACTTGTCATGCTACATTTGGATCGTGAAGAAATTTGTGTTGCATGATTACCAAAAGTTGTCCACTTTTTAACAAGTGCCTAGAGGCAGTTTCTCATGCAGGAAAGGCATGATAGAGATCTCACAGTATCTGTCATGCTAGGCCGTGCATACCAGATCGCGCGCGTCATGGAAAACCTGCATGACGAAGCTGGCAATCTTCCAGACCCAGACATTTTTACATTTGATAACTTCTAGCACCCCCCGCCGCATCAAGTCTTTCCTCCGCGCCGTTGTTTCACATCTACCGTGAGAAGTGGACTTTGCCCGCTGAAAAGGAGAAGATGCTAGAGCAGGAGTCCGAGTTGAAAGCGCGGATGACCGGGCTGGAGCAGGTAATGCGGGGACTTAAGGAGCAGCTGAGGGGGCAGAAGAAACACCCAGATGAAGAAGAAAATCGTCCAGGTGGGCTGCTAGAAGAGGACCCGAAAACAGGTACTTCTATCGAGTCGGAACGCCAGCGGTTGCAGCTGGAAAAGGAAGCCGCGGTGCGTCTGTTGCAGGAATATCAAATGCAAAAATGTCTGGGTCTGGAAACTTGTGATGCTGGGTGGCGTATCATGCGGAGCCACAAGTGCTGGCTCAGCATGACAAGTTTCTGAGCTTCTAGGTGTTGCCTACTCTGCATGACAGACTACGTTTCTGCATAACACAAAAGTGGGGCTCTTTGGTAATGTGCATGACAGGTTTAAGAGTCATGCCAGACAAGCATGACAAACTTGCATTCTTCTAGGCTCAGACATTTTTACATTTGATAAGGAAAAACAGAAAAAAGCTTTCTCCGCCTTGGAGCAAAAGTTTTCCATCTTGCCGAACAACATGATCAACGATCCCGAGCTGCAGGTTTTGGAGCGCGATTTCGAGACGAAGAAGAAAAACTGGGCAAAATCCTGGGAAAAATGTCACGAAAAAGCGAACGAACTCGTCCAGGTCGAAGAGCTGCAGAAACAGATATGAACTGTAAAGGTACTATCCTATTCGTATAAATGCATTACAAATTTTCTCAGCATGAGAAAAAAAACTCTGTATTCTATAGCAAAAGAGGAAAGTTAAGAAACATGATAGGAAATATTGTATTTATAGGTAAATTAAAAATAATGGATGTCATGCTGATTTACCTTAAGAAAAATTACTATCTATTATACAAGATGGGGGTCGGCCGTTTGGCCGACCCTATCTTGATGGACAGTGGGCAGCTAGAAAAAACGGCCCCAAGAAGAGGGCGACTTGACTTCGAAAGAAACATAAACCCCAGCGGCCATATGCCCCCGAGGCCCCGCCAGGGCTTGTCCCCGAGGACAGCGCGAGCGGCTTTGCGAGCGCAGGCAAGCCCCGAGACCTTTCCCAAGGCCTTTGCTCCGCCTCCCCAAGGCCTATGCCAGACTGCCTCCCTCGCGCAATGCTTTCGATTTCTTTGCATCGGCTAGCAGGCTCGGCCCACCAGGATATGGCGTTCGTAGGCCCTGCAAAGGCTCTGCGCCGCCTCGGCCACAATGTGCGTGGCAGCCGCCTCATTGGCCAGGCAGGAAGGATCTGGCCGCGGCTAGCAGGCTTCCATCCTTCGCCGAAATAAATCTAGCTGCGCCGCACAACCCCGGCCGCGATCAGTGAGCCGGGTGGCTGGCATCAGCTAGCCCGATCGTAGGCTGAGTGGCCTCGCCACCCAGAATCTTGCGCCGGCCTGCCGCCCCTGGCGCCCCCGGGCACCGTCCAGCACCGCTAGGGCCTGGCGCCGGCCGTTTGGCAGGCTTGGCCAGGGCCTGGCGCCATCTGGCTCGGATGCCCATAAATGAACTTCTACCGGGAACCAGCTGCCTTGCTGGGTCTCCGTACCTTGTCAAGGCCCGGCGCCGGCCTTGCTTGGAGCGCCCAATCTGGCACCGCCCCGGCATGATGAATCCGGCGCGCGCGCGCGCCCTTCCGCTAGGACGCCTGTTGGGCGGGCCGGGCATACCACAACAAACGGGCACTGGCGCCGAAAGCCCACCAAGGCCCGGGCGGCCGGCCCGCCCGTCGCTCAAGCAGGCGCGCACACAAACAACGAACTGTAGCCGCGGCCCCGAGCGAGGGGCCCGCGCAGGCAGTCAACAAACGCAAACAAAGAGAAGCGCGCCGCATGTTGCGGCAGGGCCGAGGCGTCCTGGACAGAGAACCGAGGCGGGCCCGCCCCTATTACACCGCAACCAAGCCGTCGCGCCGGCCCCCGGCCGGCATCCATTTTGTTTGGGGGCAGTCTGCCAGCCAGGCGAAACAGAGGCGGCCTCGCCGATGGGTGCCAAAAACTTAAGCGGCCCAGAGGAACTCGCACAGCGAAAATCTGCGTCACTTGCGCTGGCTCAACTCCGGCCGCGGCCACCTATATTCCAGCGCCCTGGGCCCTTCTGGTGTGGCTCAGAGCGCTGGGAATGCAGGCGGTTGGCCTGGGCATGGGCGCTCAAACCCCCTCGCAGCGCGAGCATCTGCGCCATCTTCTTGCTCCCAAGCCGGCCCGGGCGGCCGCCTACCTTCCGGCACCCGGGACAGCACTCTTCTGGCGAGGCTCAGGGCTTTGGAATGTTCGTGGCCGGTTGGGCCACGGGAACATCTGCGCCCACGCGCGCCGTGCGCTCAAATGTGGTCCGTCGGCTACCTTCAAGCGCTTTGGGCCGGCCCTTTTGGTCTGGCTCAGGGATCTGGAATTTAAAGAGCTGGCTCGGCCGCGGAAGCTCGCAGGCGAGCCGAGGCACAGAAAACATCTGGGCCACCTTTGCCCAAATCCCGCCGTCTATGCTCCAGCGCGCTCGTTAGCTGGACTCCTCTGGCGCGGCTCAGAGCGCTGGAACGTAGGCGGCTGGTTTGGCCACGGAAACTCGCACAGCGCACATCTTCGCCAATTTTGCTCAAGTGCGTGACTGAGCCCAGGCGGCCACACTCCAGCGCCGCTCGCTGACCCTTCGCTCTGGTGGGTGTGGCTCACGCAAAGCGAACATCTGCGCCACTTTTGCTGAAGTGACCGGGCCCGGCCGCCTACACTCCAGCGCCCGTGAAACATCTGGCGTGGCCCAAAGCGGGCGCGGGAATGTAGGCGCCTGGGCTGGCCACGGGCAACTGCAGAGTGAGCGAACACGCGCGCCACCTGCGCTCAAATCCCTCCAGCCGCCTACGTACATTGCAACACCCTGCGCCCTCCTGGCGTGGCTCGGTGCGCTGGAATGAATGCAGGCGGCTGGCTTGGCAGGCCACAGACACTCGCAGAGCGAGCATCCGCGTCACCTGCGCTGAAATCCAGCCGCCTGCATTCTAGCGCCCTGGGCCCTTCTGGTGGGGCTCAGGGCGTTGGGGTGCGTGTAGGCGGCTGGTGTGGCCACGGAAACGCGCAAAGGGGACATCGACGCAACTTGCGCGGAAGTCTAGCCGCCTACATTTCCAGCGCCCTGGACACTTCTGATCCGGCTCAAAGTTGGCGCCGGCCGGCCCGGAATCTAGGCGATTGGCCCGGCCTTGGAAGCCAACTCGCGAAGCGAACAGCTGCGCGGCTTCTGCTCAAATCCAGCCGCCCGCCTGCAAGGAAGCGCTCTGGGCCCTGCTGCTGAGGCCAAGGGCGCTGGAATATAGGCGTTTGATTTGGTCACGGAAGCCCGCACGGCGAACAACCGCGCAAGTGGCGCCCAATTCCAGCCCGCCGCCTATGCGAAGGCGCTCCGGGCCCTTCATTCTGGCGTGGCCCAGGGCGTTCTTTGATTGGTTGGAATGTAGGCGGCGGCCTTGGGCACGGAAACTCGCACAGAGAGCACCTGCGCCGCTTGCGCCCAAAGCCTGCCAGTCGCCCGAATTCCAGCGCCCTGGGCCCTTCTGCTGTGGTTCAGAGTGAGCGCTGGAACCTACCTAGGTGGCGGGCTTGGCCCTGGACACTCGCAAGGCGAACATCCGTGCTACCCGCGCGCAAAGCCAGCCGCCTCCATTCGTTCCAGCGCTATGGGCCACACCAGAAGGGTCCAGGGTGGTGGAATGTAGGCGGCTGGCTTTGGCAGGGAAGCTCGCAAAGTGCGCGAACATCTGCGCAACTTGCGCTCAAATCCCTCCGGCCAGCTATGTTCCAGCGCCCTTGGTCCTTCATTCTGGCGAGGCCAAGGGCGCTGGAGTGTAGGCGGCTGACTTGGCGGCCTTGGAAACTCGCAAAACAAACAGCCGCGCAGCTTCCGAACGCGCAAATGAATCCGGCCGCCTACATTCCAGCGCCCGCCCTGGACACTTCTTGCGTGGCCCAGAGCACTGGAATGTAGGCGGCTGCTGCGGCTCAAGGCGCTGGTTTGTATGTAGGTGGTGGGGTTGGCCACGGGAACGCGCGCAGCGAACATCTGCACCGCTTGCGCTCCAATCCAATCGCACACATTCCAGCGCCCACCCTGGGCCTTTGTGGCGACGCTCTTCGCGGTTGGTAGTAGTAGTTGAGCCGACTGGCAACTGCGGGGCGCCCTCTCCTCCGGTTGCGTGGTGCCTCAAGCGTGCCGGAGGGGCAGGAGGCCGAGCCGGCCGCAAAGCGGGCGAAGGAAGCAAGATTGTGGCGGTCGCGAAGCCGAAGGCGGTGCCGAGGGAGGCCGAGGCCGAGGCCGAAGCCGAAGAGCAAAGCAAGCCGCGGGCGGCCCCAAAGAAAGGCGAAAGCCGCCCCGATGGCCAAGGCGTCGGGCAAGCAAGGGGAGGGGCAAAGGCAAAAAGAAGCAAGCGCGTTGGCTGCGTAGCGCGGCGGAAAGAGCCGAAGCGGCCCCGCCCGCCTTGAAACTAAAGCGGCTCCGCCCGCCTTTGGAAGAGTACTTACAGACGAAAGAAAAGCGGCGCCGCCCGCACCAAAAACTAAACGAAAGAAACCACGGCGGCGCCGCCCGCATTTGAGACCGCAGCGGCCCCACCCGCATACGAAAAAAGCCTTTGGCTTGGCCGAACAACCCGCCGAAGGGCATGGCGCCGTGGGTGTTTCGGGTCTTGCCGTTGTTTCGGCCCCACGCAAGTGCGAGACCCGCAGCGCCATCGTAAAGAAAGACGAAGACCCCGCGCGCATTGCAAACCAAACTTCTTGGCGTCGCTCGACGGCGTCCGCCCGAGGCCCCCCGAAGACCCCCCGAAGACCCCCCGAAGACCCCCGGAGACCCCCCGAAGACCCCCCGAAGGCCCCCCGAAGGCCCCCCGAAGACCCCCCGAAGGCCCCCCGAAGGCCGTCGGTCGGAGGCCCCCCGAAGGCCCCCTGAAGGCCCCCCGAAGGCCCCCCGAAGGGGTGCCTCGAGAAAAACAGAAATTTACTACGCCGAAGGCCCCCCGAAGGGGGTTCAATGAGCCCCCGAAGGGGGGGGTCAACGGAGCCCCTTTGGGGGGCCTTCGAGGGGCCTTCGGGGGGCCTCGAAAAACGAAGGGGTACCCAAGGGGGGTCAATGAACCCCCTTCGGGGGGTCGAAGACCCCTCAACGACCCCTCAATGACCTTAATCATCATTAATAGTAGTTAATTCATGCGAAAATATTGGCTAGAGAGGGTAAACGAGAGGTGGCCGGGAGGTCAAAAAGAGGTCAAAAAGAGGTCGACAGAGGCGGAGAGGTGGCGCGGGAGGTAGTTCGGGAGGGTGGCCGAGAGGTGGCGCGAGTATAGCCCGCCGAAGGGGTCACCCTTTGGGGCCGCTAAGCGGCACGGAGGTGGCCGAGAGGTAAAAAAGAGGGCACGCGAGAGGTGGACAGAGGTGCCGAGAGGTTGCGCGAATAAGGGCGAACCTCTCGCGCACCCTCTGGGCCACCTCTCGGCCACCTCTGTCGACCTCTGCCGGCGAGTATAGCCGGATTATTCGCAACACCTCTCGGAGGAGGTGAAAAAGAGGGTCTGCGAGAGGGTTGCAAAAACTCGAATCCGCCCGGCACGCGGCCAATTTTGTTTGGGCCTTTTCATCGCGCAGGCCCGCACCCTTTCGCGCTACCCTCCCGCGCTACCCTCTCGCGCCGCCCTTTCGCGCCACCCTCTCGCGCCACCCTCTCGCGCCAGCGATTTCCGCCGAGAAGCTTTTAGGGCGGGGGCGGGTGGGTGATCAAAAAAGGGCATTGCGGCCCCCGTTCTGCTTCCTTCGGCATCTATGTCGGAGCGGCTTCTCTTCGCCCCCAAGCTTCGCTGCAGCTGCTCCCTGCGCATAGCGCCTGAAGGCGCGGGAAGCGCGCAGGAGGCCCAGCGGGTTGAGATGGCGCAAACCGGCGCCAGTATTTCCTTCGAACTATCACGCCGTGCGCAAAGCTCTGGCACTGTGGCCCGATCCGCAAATAGTCCTGCCCCGCCACAACAGCCGCTCGCCCCGGCGTCAGCCGGGGCATGGCTGGTATTTGTAATGCAAGACTTGCATTTATACGACTACGATACTTGTTTTGCACAGGATAACAGAATCCGACGGACGAGAACACCAGCGCTGTGAACGCACTCGTCGAGGGCTTGGAGCGGCTGTCGGCCACCGAGCGGAGGTATGCATTGCAAATATGTCTCCGTCTGGAAACCTGTAATGCTGAATGGCCATGAGTGACTGCGCCTGTAAGAGCACTGGAGCATGACAAATTTTTGAGACACTTTCTCATGCTTATTGCGCATTACAAACTGCGCTTTCTCATGATGAAAACGCGGCGCTCTTGGTGCTTTTATGCAACACAGATTTTTCTGGAATCCTGCACACGCAATACAAGTTCCAATTTTCCAGACCCAGACATTTTTGCATTTGATAGGAGGCTGGCCCAGGTGGCCGAGGAAGCGGAACGAAGCGTGCTGCGGAAGAGACGAGAACTCGAGAGGGCGTTCGTATCAAATGCAAATATGTCTGGGTCTGGAAAGTGGCGACTTGTAACGCTGTATATGGATTCCAAAAAAATCTGTATTGCATGCCACAGCAAGAGGAGCCCAGTTTGTGCTCCGCAGAGAGGGCATTTCTCATGCGGAATACGCATCAGGAAGTCCTCTAAAAATCCGCGATGCTAGGTCATGCATGACAGGCCTCATGGGTCCTGCAAAAAATGCATGACAAACCTGGCAATTCTCCAGACCCAAGCATATTTGCATTTGATAGTTCGCGATCGAAAAGGAAACGTTGGAAAAGCAGTGCGAAACGGAAAAAAACATGCTTGAGGAGGAGTTCAAGGACAAGGACAAGGAGCGCACCAGCCGCGGACTGGTTGTTTCCTCTCCACGACAGTTCTTCCCAGGAGAGGAAAGAAGACAGACCACGGGCGCAGGACCCCTCGAAGATCAGCTTCGCAGCACCGATATCGAATGCAAATACTTATGTCAGCTGCTGCGGTGTCTGGAAAAACGCAGCGGATTTGTGTTGCTGCGCTTTGCATGACAGAGCCAGGTCGTTCTGGTGTACGGCATCAAATTTCTCGGCTCGTATTCCGCGTTCTAGTGCCGACGTGTTTTGCATGACAAACTGGGTAGTTACAGCTGACGACAGAAATAAGGGTTGCCACGACTACTAGCCATGCATCACAGATCTGTCAACTTTCGCATCACAAGATTCCTACTTTTTACTTAATTCAAGTGACAAAAAATTCTTCGGTGTGTGTCTTCTCGTCTTCATTATGCCAGGTCCAAAAAGCATGCGTGACACCTTGCATGAGAAATTCAAAAACATTCAAAATTGATTTAACAACTCAAGTGCTGGCTCTCTTCGTTCACTGTGCTGTACCAAGGTGCTGTTTCCAGACAAAACGCCAGACATATTTGCAATGCATAACCGGAGCTGCGCTCGCCACTCTGAAGCAGGAGGCGAGGCGGGTCGGCGCTCAGCTGCAGGAAATTTACCAAGCGGAAAAAAGTTGGAGCGGGCGCCTGGCTATGGGTCGTTACAAATGGATCGTACTAGAATGTGAATGCTGTGTGAATCGCATTTACAAAAACATTGAAATTGAAATTAAAATTGACTCAGCATAAATGAGATTTGCAAAGCGAACTCACCTGGACACCCACAACGTAGATTTTTCTATGTGTATAAAGAACGCAATTCCAATTTGTTAGTACGAGTATTTTTGCACAGGATACTAGCGGAAGCTTCGATCGATGAAGTAGAAGGACCAGGACGAAAGGACAGTGGTGTTTCTGTCGAGAAAGCGATAGATGGTGCAGTGCAGGCGTATCAAAAGGAAATATCCCCCCTACCCGTATCAAAACGAAATTTCTGATGCTGGATTTGGATACACAAATCAGATCTGTGTTGCAGTAGAAGACGGCACGCAGATCCTAAGCCTAGGCAGGGGCCTTTTGGCGTAGGCGCCTAGCATGGTAGACGGCTACCCTGTAGGCCTTACCGCATTACAAATGGCCTGCGTATTAACGTGGCGGGCAGCCTGAATGTGCCTTCTGGCAAGACAGACCCGATTTGTGGGCACAAATATGCATGACAAACTTTCAGCTATGGGGAGGGGGGATTTTTGCTTGCAATAAGGCGCTGAAGCTGTCGCACAAAAAGTTCGAATACTGGAATCATCGCTTCGTTTTATCGCGCGGGGGGTTGTATCCTGTGCAAAAGTATCGTACTCGTATAAATGCAAGTCCTGCATTACAAATCTTGTTTCCAAGGCAAATCTGCATTACAAATTTTATTTCTCATGCTGAGGAAATTTGTAATGCATTTATACGAGTGCGATATTTTTGCACAGGATAGGTTGCGCAACTTTACCGAAGCGAAGTTTCAAAATAACTTACTGAGTAACGGCGTGAGTACCACGTTGGGCGCAGGTCTTCTGACTACGAGCGAGACGTTTTCCACGCAGCTGCGGAAGCCCGACCGGGGGGATAATTCATTTTCCGGCACCAGCACAGGCCGACTGTCCAGAATATTTTCGCCCTCGAACAGAATCGACGAGCGGAGTTTCTACTTGGAAAGAAGCCCGCTCTTTGCGGTCGGCGGGGCCGTGGTGAGCAGGGGTCTTGTGTCCTCCAACGGCCCTCCCTGGCGCTACAGTGTGTGGGAGGTGTTGCCGGGCGTGCAGTCTTATTCTTCTCAGTCTACCGTCGCGATGGGAGCTGATGCTACTGCGCTGCTGGGGTCCCCCTCTAGCAGTGCCGGGATAATATGGATTGCAAAAGTATGATGTTCAGCGAAAAGTACATTGCGTACAACTAAAACTCTGAATGCAGTCACTCAAGAATATGAATCATGTCTTTCTCAACCGCATTCATATGATTTCTCACTCGATGAGATCAAGTTTAATAAATTTGCTCTGCGATCATGATCAAGAACATCATGTCTACTTTACTAGTGCGCTAGTACAACTTTTGCAGCGGATAGTACTACAACGGGAGTAACGTTACCAACTTGATGCTGCGAGGTGGCAAGACGAGAAACGCCAGCGCCGAAGTCTTTTCGGGGAAACCACCGCTCGGCGGGGACACGACCGCCGGAGTTATTCTGAGTAAAAACATCCCGACACCAGAGTCAAGATGGGGATTTTGCAACACAAACCTAGAACTTTTGGGGGTCACGCATCACAAGTTGCAGTCCGTAGTGTAGTGCAGGTTCGCAAGGCCAGCTGCATCAGAAATCCATCTACTCATCCTGTTTACAGCATTACAAATTCCAAAACACGACTAACAATGCCTCTCCTGGCGATGCGCATTACAAATGTTCCTGTCATTGCAAATCTGCATGACAACTCTGGTGTGGGGACGTTTTTACTCAGGATAGGAATGCTTTTTCCGTCAACCTCGATGTCTTTCTTTTCCCGCGCATCACCACGGCTGCATGAGGTATCGGGTGGTCGTCCTGCGATGGCCAGCGACGGCGCAGTATCCTGTGCAAAAGTATCGTACTTGTATTGCAATCATGCATCACAAATTCTTTTGCTAAGGTACATCCGCATTGCAAATTTTATTTCTCATGCTGAGGAAATTTGTGTATGCATTTTTTATACGAGGGAGTACGATACTACTTTTGCAGTTCATACGCACCAGGGGCACGACCAGGGCGGGGGCCCCCGACCACGGGAGGTAGTTCTTCTAGCGCGACGAGAAATAAGTACAGCTCGTCGTCCCGCGTGGAGGAGGAGGACGAAGTAGAGAGCGGTCGTCTAAGGAGGCAAAACGAGCATACTTCGGATGGCGATGGCGTTCTGCTGCAAGATATCCTGTGCAAAAGTATCGTACTCGTATAAATGCATCACAGATGTCCTCAGCATGAGAAACAAAATTTGTAATGCGGATCTACCTTAAGAAAAAGATTTGTAATGTATGATTGCAATACAACGAGTGCGATGCTTTTGCATTTTATACAAGAAACCCAAGAGCCAGACGAGGACCCGCTGTTGAACAGTTTGAGTATCAACTCCGATATGATCTATCGCAAGAAAAAACTGTTTCACTGTGAACTTGTGATGCAGAAAATCGATCGCAGAAGTGTGCGTCATGCCACACATGCAAGACAATGGATTTCTAGCTGTGTTTTCCCCTAGGAACCCCGCATGACAGATTTTCAGTTTCACGCGTATTACAAAACTTGTGATGCAGATTTTGCAAAATCTAAATCACCACTGTGAAACAGTTTTTTCGTGCGATATTCTCCAGGAAGAAAACACTAATTTTAGTGTTGTAATTCTCTACTTACGTGGATGGCTGACAGCATGACAAATTTGCTTCCGGTGCATGGCAGAGGGAGCCGGAGCCTGTCAAGCACGGCTAGCATGTGGTGGAAAATAAACGCATAGTGAAGAAAAGTGGACTGCATGACTGTCCGGCAACATGACGAGCGTAAATGTGTTGCTTCCATCTGTTCTGCGTTACATTACACTATTACACAGTTTTTTTCTTGCACATCGGAGTTGTTAGAGGAGGTGCGCAAGCTGGACCAGAAGGGACTGGCGTTCCTTAATGATGAAACCCGGTTCAATATCGTGAGAAAAAAAGTCTCCTCCCTTTAGTCTGTCAAGATGAAGAATCTTCTGCTACACAAAAAACCCACAAGTTCTGGCTGTCGAGCATGACATGTTTCCGCTCGTAGTGCAATGCTGTTTAGCTGTTGAAAAACCGCATGACAAATTGACTAGCTTATGAATATGATCCTGATTCTAGCATGACAACAAACTCCCTCGTCCAGATACTATCTGCATACGATAGAAATTGCCTGTCATGTTGTGGCTGCGCAGGAGAAACTTTGTAGGCATATGCAGACTCTTGCATGACATCTGTGGGTAGTAAGTTGGGGACGTTGTTGCTTTACTAGGATATTCAAGCTGTGGGGCGACGACGCGGCTGTCAGTGACTCCTTTCGGGTAGACCGCTCCCGTTCCGCGTCTCTGTCTCCGAGAAATCGCCTACACGACGCCGCCACACCCCCGTCTTCGCCGGGCGCGGTGTCGAGCAGGAGCGCCGGCGGTGCGCCTCAACACTCGCCCAAGACCAGTCCGCGCACGCAACACTTGCTGCAGAATTACAAGTATGGATTGTAAAAATGTCTGGGTCCTCTGGAAGGTTGGAACTTGTAATGCTAGCTTTCCATACCTAGAAAATCTGTATTGCGTAACCAACAAAAGTCGCAGCCTCTTTTGTCATGCAAAAACGCAGCTTCTCATGCGGATTGCCTACGAGAATGAGAAAGCGTTTTGGGAAGTTGTCATGCCGGACTGCATTCGGAAGTGTTTTCATCATGCACATTTTAGCATCACAATTTTCCAGACCCAGACATTTATGCATTTCATAACAAGGACAACCGCATCCATGTTGACAAGGATCATCATCACCCACCACGCGGCTATGTCGTCGTCACCACGGGCGTATCCTGTGCAAAAGTATCGTACTGCAATCATGCATTACAAATTTTTTTCTTAAGGCAAATCCGCATTACAAATTTTCTTTCTCATGCTGAGGAAATTTGTAATGCATTTATACGAGTACGATACTTTTGCAGTTCATAGGCCGGGTTATTGCAAGTGAAAATCCCCCCTCCCCATATGCATCTATGAAGAACGCATCCTTCTGAAAAGTAAAAGTTGCAGCAGATTTCGATTTGTGGTGAAAAACAAAAATCCTGTCTGTCTTGCAAGAACGCGAAAAGTCGAGAGACTCCTCCGCCGCGTTCTTATCCGGGCGGTTTGTGATGCTGTAAGGCCTACAGGGCAGACGTCTACCAACATGCTAAGGGCCCGCACCAGCAGACTCCTGCATCAGAAAGGCGTGATAGGGTCTACGTGCAGCGCTCTACTGCATGCAAAACGAAGTGAGACGCGTCGCGCGTCATTGATGTCCATTTTGATATGGGGATGGGGAGGCATTTCGCCTTCATTTCGGAACGGGTCCAGCACTCCGCCACAGGGCCTGCACAGGCGCGAAGGCAGCGCCGCTGGCAGTTTCGCACGCTCGAGTGTATGCATAAGAATTCCATTGCAAAAAAAAAGTGTCTCTTTTCTTTACGCCACCGCTGAACGCTTCGCATCATGCCGTTGAAATATCTCATGTCAGGGAAAAATACCCCTCCCTCTTTGCGACTTCTTATGCGAACTTCTCATGCGAATCGATAATAATTATAATAATAGTGAAACGAACTTTGCCTCCCCCTTTGCTATAATCTATAGGAGGCACTTAGAAAAATAATTCTAAACGAATGTGCTTAGAAGGTCTCGTCTAGAAGCTTCGTGTAACAGATTGAACGCGTTCCCGTTATTTGTGCCCCGTACCGTCGTGCAAAATGTTATCCTGCACGCCCTGGCGAGCATGTGAAAGAATGCCAGCACCTTAAACAAAGCAAAGCCACGGATCCCGTGGCAGTATGGGGACCATCACTTTCCGGCCCGCCGGGCAAGAGCGAGGGCCAGGAGCCCCCGGGCCATCGCTTTCCGGCCGAGCCGCCGTTCTTTCCTGTCTCTCCGGGCAAAAATGGCGGCCAGGAGTTCCTTGGCCATCCATGGCCTTCCGCCCGGGCAAGCATGCAAGGTGATGGCCACCCAGCAGCAGCTCCTCGGCCACTACTTTTGGCGGCCATCGCTTTGCTTCCGGTGGGTCGGGCAAAAGAGATGGCCAAGAGCTCGTCGGCCACCACTTTCCGCTGGCTCGGACATGATAAGTCATGGCCGAGGGCCCCTTGGCCATGACTTTCCGAGCAGGTAAAAATGATGGCTAAGGGCTCCCGCCTGGCCATCAATTTTGGCCATCACTTCCCGGCCCGCCGGGCAAAAATGATGGCCAAGGGCAGGAGTTCCTGGGCCATGCATCACTTTCCGGTCGGGCCCTTGGTCACTATTTTGACTTTCCGGCCGGGCAAAAATGGTGGGCAAGAGCTCCTCTGGTGCCACCATTTTCCGGCCGGGTAAAGTGGTGGCCAGGGGCCCCTGAGCCTTCACTTCCCGGCCGGGCAAAAGTGATGGCCGAGAGCTCCCTGGCCATCGCCTTCCGTACGGGCAAAAGTCCTCGCCAAGAGCCCGCTGGCCAACCATCGCTTTCCGGTGGGTCGCTCGGGCTGAAGTACTGGCCACGAGCTCCCTGGCTATCACTTTGGGCGGGCAAATTGTGACAACCGACCTCAAGTCCGAATCCCCCTGCTGCCGTCGGGATGCTGTCGCGAAAGCCTTCGCGACAGCATCCGGACGACAACAGGGGGGCTCGGACCTGAGAGCGGTTTCCACAACTTGCAGCCCAAGCGTGAAAACCATTTCCAACCTCGAGCCCCCCCTGTTGTCGTCAGGATACTGTCGCGAAAGGCTTCGCGACAGTATCCTGACGACAACAGGGGGACTCGGGCGCGGCAGTGGTTCTCACAACTTGCCGCCCAAATGCGCGCACCACTCTCACCCCCGAGCCCTTCGCGACAGTATCCCGACGACAGCAGGGGGACTCGGACCGGAAAAATGGGAGAGCCATTTTGTCGAGTCCGAATCCCCCTGCTATCGTCAGGATACTGTCGCGAAGCGTATCCTGACGACAGCGCGGGGCCTCGAGCTTGAAGCAGGTTTTCTTCGAGAAGCGAAGCCCTTTATTTTCAAGCGCTGGCAAAAGTGATGGCGAAGAGCTCCCTGGGCGTCGCCTTTCGGCCGAGCGCAGGTGATGGCCAAGAGCTCCCTGGCCGTCAAAGTGGCCATCGCTTCGCGGCCGGGCAAAGGTGATGGCCAAGAGCTCCGCGGCCATCGATTTTCGTTCGGGCAAAAGAGAGTTTGGCCATCGCTTTCCGGTCGGACGGGCAAGAGCGATGGCCAAGAACTCCGCGGCCATCACTTTTTGCCATCGCTTTCTGGTCGGGTAAAAGTGATGGCCAGAAGCCCCCTGGCCATCACTTTTCGGCCGGGCAAAGAGAAACGATCCATCGCGACCGCTCCTTGGCCATCACTTTTGCCCGTCACTTTCCGGGCGGGCAAAAGTGGTGGCCAAGGGCTCCGTCCTGGGCAATTATTGCCCAGCGCTTTCCTGTCGGGCAAAAGTGATGGCCAGTAGTTCCGTTGCCGCCGCTTTTCGCCCGGGCATGCAAAAGTCCTCGGCCCTCACTTCTGGCCATCGCTTTCCGGTCGGGCAAAAGTGATGGCCGAGAGCTCCCTGCTCATCCATTTCCGGTCGGGCAAAAATGGTGGCCAGGAGCTCCGTGGCCACACAACCATTGACCTTCACTCTTTGGCCATCATTTTCGCTCCGGGCGGGCAAAAGTGGTGGCCAAGAGCTCCTTGCCCGGGCCATCACTTTTGGCCATCGCCTTGCTTCCGGTCGGGCAAAAGTGATGGCCAAGAGCTCCCTGCCTGGCCGTCATTTTCGGCCATCAGTCACTGTCCCCCCGCGCGGGCAAAAGTGTTGGCCAAGACCTCCGCGGCCACCACTTTCGGGGGCGCGCGCGCAAAAGTGTTGCCCGGCCGGAACGAAAGAGGTGGCAAAAAGTGACTGCCTGGAAGCTCTTGGCCATCACTTTTGCCCATCGCTTTCCAATCGGGCAGCCGGGCAAGAGCGATGGCCAAGAGCTTCCAGGCAGTCACTTTTTGCCACCTCTTTCGTTCCGGCCGGGCACGCTTTTGCCTCTCCCTCTCGGCTTCTGGTGCATGGCATGGGCGGGGGGGCGCGAGGCAAAACCGCGCGAACAAGCCCCCGGAAGTGTGAGGCTCATCCCCATCAAGGGGCGGGGGTTTTGTTTGCGCCGGCCGCCGAAGCCGCCCCAGAATAAGCTTCGCAACCGGCCCCCTTCGCTTTGCTTGCCGCGTGCGGCTAAAGGGCTGACGGCGGGCCGGCGTCCTGGACGCCGGACCGCAAAAGGCGTTAAAGCGGCGATGCCGCTAGGGCAAGCGCAGGCGCGGCAACGCGGCTAAAGGGCTGACGGCGGGCCGGTGTCCTGGACGCCGGACCGCAAAAGGCGTTAAAGCGGCGAGGCCGCTAGGGCAAGCGCAGGCGCGGCAACGATCTTCCTCGGGGCAGGCAGCGTTATGCTTTTCAACCTTCTAGCCGCATTCTACTCGACTCCAAGCCAAACCTTCTAAACGCATTCCCGTCTTTAGAATTATTTTTACATCTACTAGCCCAGCGGGCGTCCGGGACGCCCGCGTCAAGAGGCTAGTAGTAATACTAATACGCACTACCCACACGTTTTCTCGTGCGTCTCTGCGTACTAGGGGATTCGGTTTGTTGATGTTACTCACACAACTCATGTACTACTATGGGTCTCACAAGAACTTTCCAGACCCAGACACATTGATTTGCAACGTCGATAGCGTACCACGACCCAGAATAAGCACGGCAAGAACTCCCACACGAACGAGAGTGGGGTTGTGGACGCGGAGTCGATTGTGGCACGACTTCGGCGCGTGAAGATGACGGGCACCATGGATTTCGTATCTTCGCCGACCACTCGACAGGAGGTGGGGGAAGGCGAAGCTACAGCCTGGCCCTCAGGCGGCGGTGACAAGTACTATCCTCAGCAGGCGGCTGGTGTAGTGGGGCCGAGTCTGAAAGTATCAAATGTAAAAATGTCTGGGTCTGGAAACTCAAACTTGTGATGCTGGGTGGCGTCTCATGATGAGGCTACAAATGCTGGCTCAGCATGACGAGTGTCTGAGCTCCCCGGTGTTGCCTATTCTGCATGACAAACTGCGCTTCTGCATCACAGAAAAGCGGAGCTCTTGGGTAACGTGCATGACAGACTTAAGAGTCGTGCCAGACAAGCATGACAAACATGAATTCTTCCAGACCCAGACATTTTTGCAATTGGTAGAAAGAGAAGCAGCTCTTGTCCGAAGAAGAGAGGTTTCACGTGAAGCTCGACGATTGGAAGAGGGACCCGGAGTATGCAAGAAAAAAACTGTGTGAGTGTAAGTCTGTGATGCAGAAAATGCAAAATAGATTACGCTTGTCATGCCAGACAGCCACGAAGTCCTCCTTTCATAGATGTGTGTTTTTATGTAGTAGGTAGCCACGCTCATTGCAGGTTTCCTCTGTCATGCAGAGTAAATTTTTCATGCTAGTATCAGCCTAAAAAGCTTGCACTGACATAGTTTTTTTCCGGCATACGGAATCGGGCAGATGGACGCGAGGCACGCAGCAGGCTATTGCAATGAAAAATCCCCCTCCCCACATCAAAACGAAATTTCTGATGCTGGATTTGCGTACACAAATCAGATTTGTCTTGCAGTACAGGACTGCAGGCCTACAATAAGTCTGAGTAGGGAGGTCTTGGGCTAGGCGCTGAGCATGGCAGACGTCTAGTCTGTAGGGCCAACAGCATCACAAACCGCCTGCAGAATGCGGCGGAGCCTGTGGAGTTGCGTCCTTGCATGACAGAGACGATTTGTCGCCACAAATCTGCATGGCAAATTTTCTGAGACGCACCTTTTCGATATGGGGAGGAGGGATTTTTCCCTACGATACAGGCTGTGGCACGGCTGGACCCGACGGATAGAGCGGCCGCCGCGAACAGCATCAAGCTCGTTGGCGATACATCAGATTAAAGATTTTAATATTTTTGGATAGACCAATTATCAATTTCAATATGTACCCAATAAAAAGAAGAGAAGCTTTTCTAAACGTAGAAAAGAAACCACGTTGCACACGTTTCGCGCCCCGCCGCGACAACTAGGATCACGAAGGACGCGACGACGGCGCACAACTTATGCGGGCATAAGTTTTTCAGTTGTCAGACCGAGGACGAACAAATAATATATCTGCAGCAAAAGATAATCCAGCTCGTAGCTGACCTAACTACCATAATATGATTGTCAAAGCGAAAGAACCTACTTGCGAATTTAGTATGCATGGCACAATGCTGATGTTGTCTCTGTCATATCGCAGCTGGGTCCGATAAAAGTAATTCGACGATGTTGGTACTATGGGAAGTAGTTTTTTCATGCTCTCTGCGTCACGACGTTGATTTTTATTTCGCGATTCATGTTCTCGTGGCCGACACTTTATTTGATTATTGTTCCGAACAGCAAGTACGTGGACCTGAAGAATTTGAATTTGAATTTAGTATGAACCAGAGTTGTTGTAGAAGAGCCATTGCGCCTCCTGTTATGTTGTAGAAGAGCTGTTTACGATATGGAAGCTGTACCCAGTGCAAATATGTTTGGGTCTGGAACAATGCAAACTTATCGTGATGGCGCGGGTTGAGGGTCACACAAAACTTTGTAATATTGCATGACCTGCATCTGCAAATAAGGGTGCCCATTTCTGGCCACGCAGCTGAAAGGGGACTCATTATTTCGCATGCAGACTAGTAGGCATGATTTCAGTATACTAAAGGACTGTACTAGATGAACATGAACCTAGGCTGCCAAGCCCTGCATTCCAGACAACTTGGCGCAGCTTGGGAAAAATTGCGTATACAGATCTCGCAATCTTGTTCCACACCCAGACACATTTGCAATGCATAGTTCCTCTGGAGCGCGGGGACGAAGGTTGTTTTTATCTTGTAGAATCAAGCCAGGAGGTATGCATTGGAAATATCGATCTGGGTCTGGATTTGTGATGCGAAGTTTGAGTATACGTTGTCATGTTTTTTACTAATGAATCTTTTTCTTTTCTTGAGCAAGTACTAGCCGCGCAGAACTATTCCTTGATACTGTTATGCCGTACACAAGGCACTACTCTGTGACGCAAGCTTCAGCAGTAGAACAAGTTTCCAGACCCAGCTACATGTTTCCTTTGATACTAGGAGATATCTTCAAAAAGCAGCTCGTTTCAGTTTCAGTTTTGGGCAACAAGACCTGATACAACAGAAAGTTTCATCATTAATTTATTATAGCAACGAATAGAAGATATCGCTGCACGCGAAGCGACAATAGTGATAGTTTCAGCTGGATGAAGGTTTTTTTTTCACGACATGTTGATATCCAAGGCACGACCACAGGTACGCTACGATAGCGATTAATCAGCCGGTGTTGACATTGTAAGGATGAAGATCAAAAAATGAATTGCGCAGGGTCGCGCTTTGATGAGATGTTCCACAGTACAAACAAGAAGGAAAATAACGCAGGTGCTCCCACGTAGAGAGAGTGTTGAAGTGCGTGGCACGAAGCGGAAGAAGTACGGGAAGGAAAGTCAAGGCTACCCATACGAAATTAAGCTTCAGTAAGATCTCCACTCTCTACTCGCGGGCTCTTGCATCACAGACCATGCGACGTGTCATGCTGCATCTTTGTATATTACGTGTCAATTACTTAAAATTATGATAAGAGCACGACCTCCTCCAGCACTTGCTATATGATTTCATCTCCTATGTTTCTGCACGACAGAAGTGACGCAATTTAGTGGAGATCATACAACTAGACCATGACAAGATCGGAATCTCGGCGATGTCTGATTTTTGATAAAAGATACGCCCTATAATTTTCTGTCACTCTTGTCATCTGGAGTATCCACCAGCTCGAACTAGCGAGCGTAGGCTACGCGTAGCTCGACGGTTTTGCGTCGCCTGCTTTTGCTTTTTTTGTCCTAAGTTGCTCAAAACCACGAATCACAAATGGTCCTCATGATGATTTTTTATTTCGATCTGAAGTTGAAGTTGTCTATGTGCTAAGGCTAACAAGTTCATGATTTGTATTTAAAAAAATTATTTCGATGTAGTCGTGAAAAATAAAAAGTGCATCGACTAAGAACTTCTCCTTTTCTGGTCATGCGAAAAAAACGGATACGGAAGAAGGAGGTGCTAAGCATGCTAGTAGAGAAGCAAATAAAGATGGGTTGTATAAACCGTGTAAAGCTGTAGCTTTTGCGATGTTGAGAACAATGAGAAGTTGATGTACAACTATTTTTACACAAAAAATTCGAGCTCGATGTCGATCACGAAGTGCTACCTTCCTGGTGACCGTACTACCTATTTGTAGCCCTATCGCACGTTTTCGTCGTCGCAATGAATGTTGAAGGGGAGCTCGCTGCAAGTTCTACTAGCTGGAGCCAGAGCAGCTAAGTCGGGGCTGCTCATCGAGATGATAGAAAATACCGGTGACCACGACTTTGAATGTGTGTAGTGATGATTTCAATTTCATCAGCATGCCGTGCGTAGTTGCCGTTCGCGTCAGGACGAGTACTAAATATTCGATGAAACTAAGTCGATAAAAATTGATGTGCGTGCTGTCCTCGTCAACAACCGCAGGAGATCTCGTCATCTCGTCGCAGCCCCTGATCGATGCTTCGACTTCGAGTCAGTAACTGCACTCGTTTTTGCAGGGGATGTATAGTAGATAGGCACGACCTCTTCGACCACGCCGACTGGGAGCGACGAGCTGACTATGATTATAGCAGGACCACGTCGTGGACCACGAGGACAACTGGTCTCCTCGTCAGTCTGGGTGATTATCACCTTCATCTTCACTACGACTAAGTGAAAGCACCGCTCGTGTGAAGAAGGGCTTGCCACTTTACATCATCCATGCGTCGGAGATGAATCAAAAGAGACAGGAATCTGGTCATTGAAATAGTAGATTAAAGCATCATGATCATGCGCAACTACTGGCACTGTGTTGAGCTACCGCCGCCACTGCAAGAGTTCGAACTGCCGGCCGCGCCGGAGAGAACAGCCACGAGGAGGAGCCAATGCAGTACGTCTTTCTTCCCACGATTTTTAACTACATCTTTCTCGCAAGAAACGCGACAAAAATGCAACGGCAGTATCGTGGACTACAGAAGTACTGCAGTAGCGCTGCCGTCAAAGCAGGAGAGGCGCCTGCTATTTTTCGACGACGTACTACCACGCGAGAGAGAGACGAGGTGGTCGTGGTCGTGGTCGGCCCGGCGTCCCACTAGAGATCTCATCGCCCCGCCTGAGGTGCGATCCAAAACTCAAACAACTCCCGAAGGAGCGCGATGTGCGATCGAGGCTGCAGTACCGGGCGGGCGGCCCAGAAAGATAAAAATCCGCGCCACCGACTTGCACGTGAAGCTCAGCGGGTCCTCCGGTGCGACGTCTGCGAAGGGTACTATTAAAACCGTGGCGGGCGGTCTTGCGTTGGCCCTACCTTGGGTGCGGTTAAAGTACAGCAATGGAGGCAGTATGCTGTTTATGCTAGAAAAAAACTGTGTAGGTGTAAATCTGTGATGCAGAACATGCAACAGAGTTATGTTACGCCTGTCATGCCAGACAGCCATGCAGTCCTCATTTCATGCGTGTTTTCCCTTACAAACCCCGCATGACAGGTTTTCTGTGTCATGTAGAGCAAATTTGTGATGCTGTCAGCCAAAGAAAGTTACACTAACACAGTTTTTTTCTTGGATACTGTTTTCCAGCGCTGATCGCGGAGGTGGACCCGGGGATGGTGGTAGTGGTGATCCACCTGAAAACCTCCACGCCGGCGGGGACTTATCACCTCCGCCGGGATCAACGACAAAAGCCGCGAAAAATACAGGAAGATCGAGGTCCTCCTCGACCTCATCGTCCCCACGTAAGAGGCGAAGTGACGGCGCGAAGAAGACGAAGAAGAAGAGCAAGAAGCCGGGCCAGAAGCCGTTGACCCGCTTCGAGCAAGTGAAGAAATACTACGGCTACTACAACCAGGTTTTGATTTGCTGCACCGTCTCTTCCCTCTTCCAGGTTGTGACCGCAGACCCGCTATCAAATGTAAAAATGTCTGGGTCTGGGAGATTGCGAGATTTGTCATGCTTGTCTGGCGTGACTCTGAACTCTGTGTTGCATGGCCGCGAGGAGCTCCTCCTCCCTGTCATGCAAAAACTCAGTTTCTCATGCGGGGTACGCAACTCAGAACCACGGAAAAAACTTGTCATGCTTGGCAGCGCATTAGAGTGAGTTCACTACTCCCTTTCTTGCATCACAAGTTTCCAGACCCAGACATTTTTGCATTTGATACCCGCTGGTGGCCGGTTTTGACTTGTTGGCCGAGACCGCCCTATATGCAATGCAAAAGTATCGTACTCGTACGTAGGGTAGTAATTCTAATTGCAATCATGCATTACAAATGTACTTCTCAAGGTAAATCCGCATTACAGATTTTAATTCTCATGAAATTTGTAATGCATGTAAATGTATAGGTTTAGGTATACGAGTACGATGCCATACTTTTGCAAAGCATACGCTATCAACCATGCTGCAACAAGAAATTTTCGAAAGCCGACCCTACCTGTTGGGCAACGTGGGGATTGCCGTCTTTTTATCCCAATATAGAATAAAGGTTCCCCCTCCCCATTATATCAGAATGGAAATCAAAATCTATGATGCGGGATCATATACGTGCGGAAGAGAAAATCGAGTTTGTCTTGCAGTAGAGATGAGAGCAGGACTCCTGCGCACAGATCCACCTAAGCCTTAGGCAGGGATCTTTTTGTGGAGGCACTTAGCACGGCTATGGCAGAGGTCTGCCCTGTGCCTGTTGGCCTCACAGCGTTACAAATCTTCGTCTGCAGTTGTATATTGACACGCCGGCGGACTGCTCTCTGGATTTGTCTTCTTGCAATGCAGATTTATGGCCACAAATCCGCCTCGCAGAATTTCGGAAGGAAGATGCGTGTTGATTCATCAATTTGGGAAGGGGGCCCTTTTCTTTGCAATGCTTTGCCGTCCGCTTTTTCCTTACCTTCGAGCTGGAATACGAGCCGGCGTTTCAAATGAAGGACGTGCTGGTCAACCTGTTTCCCTCCCTTGGTTCTCTCCTGCCTCAGGCGGGAGGCCGAGTGCTATTCTTCCTGCACCCCGGTCTTTTTCTCGCTCTCGCAGTGTTGGTATCAGAGTGCACAACCCCCCCCTGCCCTCTTTTGTTGCATGGCATGAACAGGAGCAACACAAACGCCACTGACGACCTTGGAGCCCGTGCGTGACAAATGAAATTTTTTATGCACCAACTGTGGTACTGCTACTGTTTACCGTTTGGGCCCCCGAAATTTGTCATGCAAACGGTGCCGCAAGGCAGCGACTGGATTTGGGCTTTTGCTTGACAACTGAGGGGGAGGGGGAGTCGTGCACTTTCATAGTTGGGCAAATATTTGGAACACAAAATCAACGAAGAGTGGAGCATATGGATTGAAAATATGTCTGGGTCTGGAAGCATGCGAGAGTTGGCATGCTGGTCGTGAATGGCACCGAGCTCTGTATCGCGTAGCCAGCAGGAGCTCGGGTTGTTTACCATGCAAAGACGCTGTTTTAGTCCCATGCGGAATACGCGACACGAAGCGACTGAAAATTGAAATTCTGTGATGCTTTATTGCGGTGCGTTACAGATACAGTGTGCTTTCTATTCACTGATATGCGTGGTCACAACTTTCCAGACCCAGACATATTTGCAATGCATTATGCAGAGGACTAGCGGCAAACGCAGCTAGCCCAGCAGGGGACAAGGACCAAGCTGCTAAAGGAGTTTCAAATTCGTCGAAAAATGACGGTGAAAAAAACAAGCCGAAACCAGCCCCAGATGAACCAGGCACGGAGCCGTATGTTGGGACAACCCTCAAACGCGGCTACATAGTTTGCTTTTATCAATCATCTCTCACCCTCCAGAATTTTTACCATGATCTCGTACTAGAAGCCTCCGCACGATCTTCAGACTACTTCGCATGACAGATTCTCGAAGGTCCAAATAGCATGGAAATTTTCTGTGCCGGATTTGTAAAATGCGAGAGGATTTATGAATATATTTGCATTTCTAATTCTATTTCACTTTCGCTCTTCTTGCAGCACAATTTCATGTAACAGCAAACAAAGTACTAACGCTTCTTGAGAGTCCCATAGTAGCGCGGCAGACACGGCCGTTATGGACTCGTCAGGATCGAAATCGACAAAGATAGGAAAACTTGCAATGCAAAAATAAGTGGATGCCGGTTGTTGGATTCCAGTTTTCAAATGGCGCATGATAGATTTTGGCAGCTGCATCGGAATCCAATCTGTCGCGCTGTTGGTTTGGGCACAGAATGGCCCTGCTAGTACTTTAGCAGCTCTATTATATCAGAGGATCCCAAAGCCAAACTAGCGGACAATCAGCCGGACTATTTGCCATCCCCGCAAGAGAGGCACTTTTACTTTGTGCATTGCATTTTATGGTTGCATTTTATGCATTGCAAATCTTTTTCTCCGCTAGTACTTTATCGATTTCGATTCTGACACTTCCATAGAGGTGGAGGCAGAAGAAGAAGATCACGGAGATGATGCACAGTAGACATATATGGCCCGCTCAGGTGTTACAATCTCAAACGTTTGTTTGTATTGCGAAAAGTGCAAGGCTGTGCGCATGTTTTTCATGCTCTTCATGCAAGACAAAACTGTGTAAATTGAGATTCTAACACCTGCGCAGGTTATAACATAACATAGCAGCGCAGCCCAGTCGGCCTGCTATTTTCAATATCATTTGTGTTGGTGTATTTCACAATTCTCATTCTAGAAGAAGCATGACATTTTTAACTGGTGTCTGCCGTGGTCATGGTCGTCTTCGTCATGTCTAACTTGTTTATTTGAGCGACATCGCTCCTGGAAAATTCAAACTGTATGATGTGCTAGTGCTCAGTTTGTGATGTTGCTGTCAGATCGTACTACTACAGAAAATGTTTTTTCCTGTAGTTTTCCTTGAAGATACACAACCCACTGCACTACAACAAGCTTGACAGCGGCAAGGAGCTCAGATGTTTGCAGTTATGCGCGAACTTTTGCTCAGACGCTGCCCGGTAAGTACTGCGTATTTGGTCCTCCGTGCTTGTGTTCAACATCACTTATGACAGATCAATCTTCGTATGCTGGAGCTGGCAGGTTTCCATGCTGCAGACAAAAAATCTGTGTTGCTACATCGGCAAGATAAATGCGTAGATAAGTATCAAATGCAAAAAATTTCGATTTGGGTCCGGAGTTTTGTGATGCCAGGATCGATTGATGTGAGGAACTGGAACATTTTTGATTGCGAGCGCAGCGAAGGATCTTGACAACAAGCTTCTAGAAGGCTTCGCTGCTGCTCTTAAGAAATATGCGACATGGCGCGCAAGACAGATGCATCAAATGCCGTTGTTGCATGACCTCAAGAGGAGCTGCGCTTTTGTCGGCCTCCATGCAAGGACAGTACAAATTCATCTCAAGACGTGCCGGACATGCAACTCAAGACGTGCGAATTCGAAGGTATCACAACCTATAAATCAATGTGGATCAACAAGATACCAGCAGTACTATGGACGCGTCAGGATCGAAGTCGACAAAGTTGAAATGATTTGCAATGCATAAAATCGATACCAGTTGGATGAGCTGCGTCCAGGTCCCCCCAGGAAGGATCGAAGCCAGCCCTCGGGATCGGTTGCGGTCGATTCTGTGAAGTGTGGAACAGCTCCGAGGACGAGCGGAAGGCACACCCCCGGAGGAGCGAGCTGACTCATCTCGTGACTCCGCTTTGGGGGCGGAAACACGAACTGAGACGAAATGCAGCGACAACTACGTACGGTCCTGCGGAAAATTGTCCGGGGGGCGGTGCAACTTTATGGAATTGCTTGGCAGCTGTGCGCGTAAATTAATAAGCCTACTGTGCTTTAGCTTTTATCATCGTCCCTTAGCGGTTCTTTTTCAGGCCAGCGGTTGGAACTGTGTATGCTGGAACGGAAAGTATGTCCCTCGCTATGCATTTTTGTAGAGGAAGATGAAGTAAGTAAGCTTGTTGTATATGTGTATCCCAGAAAAAAACGGTGTCCTGGGGTCGTGACTGACAGCACGACAAATTTCTCTTGCCTAACAGAGAAAGCCTGTCATACCGCACAGCCAATGCGTGAAAACAAAGCACATAAATATGCAGTTAAACTTAAATGATCATACGGTCTCAACATGGCATGACAAGTGTGCTGCATGCTTTGCGTCACAGACTCACTCTATATAAATGGACGTGTACACAGTTTTATTTCTTGCATAGATTTTTTTCCTATTTTTTCGTCGGTCCCGGTCGTACTCGTAGCTGAACTCTCGTCGGTATCAAATGCAAGTGCGTCTGGGTCTGGAAACTTGTCAAGATGCAGGTCTGTGAATATTTAAGCTGAGCTCACTGTAGAGCCAGTAGTTGGTCAAGCATGACAAGGTTTATTTGAGCGTCCGCGTGTAGTTGCGTATTGTTCCGCATGTGAGGCTCCATTTTTGTAGGACAGGCAAGAGGATTTTTTTGCGCCCAAGGAGCATGATTCGTCATAGAGTTAAGTAGAATCACAATCATCATGCCCCCACATCACTACAAGCATGGGAAGTCTTCCAGACCCAGACCACATCTAATTTGCAACGCGTACTCGGTTATTTGCATCTTCGTATAATATGAGCTCGGTTTCAGATTTGCATCTTCGTACCCTAGCGTAAGCCTCCTGTGTGTACATCACGAACATGTTTTCGTACACATCACCCACGTACACGACGACGAAAAAAAAATTTCTCGGTCATCGTGCTTCAACTTGTGAAGCTGTGCGTCTGTGACTGTGTAGAAGTCGTGCAAGAAGAAGTGATTTCCACCTCGTGCGAGCTCAAAGTAAAAAGGCCTGTGGATGTTGTACAACTATCGGTCGTTCAAAAAAAAAAAACAAAAATCGTTTCTGTGCAGCCGGTTTCCCTCTTCGTTCGGTCCTCGTTTCCTCAGGTAGATGAATTTTTCGTGCGTGACAAAAGCATATGTCAGTCTCAACGCAGTAGATGTAGAGTGCTGTAGTACTCTCTAGTACTACAACTCTACGGCTGCCGTTGTCCTCTCGTGGACCGGAATAAAGCATTTTGTATACGGCGCATCTTCCATCGTACTAGTTCCTCGTGATCTTTCAGATCGTGTAGTACCGGTTTGAATAGGAATGACTCAGCAAAAAGAAAAACCTACGACCATCCCAAACCGCCTTGTCTGCAGTTCCTCCCAACTGATGCGTTTTGTTTTCATTTTTCAATTTACCTAACCCAACTTTTTTACGTACACATTCTAATTCTACTTTTTTCATACCACACTTCGTTCTTGTCTTCTTGTTCTTCTTCGTCTCATTGAATCGTAACTTTAAACAACTTTAATCTATCGGAGACCGTTCCTTGTTTCAAATTCAAAGCAAAAACTACCGAGGGGGGACCGACCTGCCTCATTTTTACCTCTTGTATCCATAAGAAACCGAGGACTCCCACTTCTACCTTCAAGATGCAGAATATGGATGTGTCAGGTTTGAAATCGACAAAGGTGAAATAATTTGCCATGCCTAAATTGGATGCCAGGTGTAACCCAGTTTCTAAGTGGCGCGTGACAAATTTTGGTAGAACCTAAATCCAGTTTGTCATGGTGTTTGGTAAGGAAGACGCCTTTTGTAATGCTACTGTAGCGGCTCACTTTCTACCCGTCAACAGGCTTACAATCTGCCTCACTTGCCTACTCTGCAAGACAGGCATTTTGTGGTCTGCATTTTATGCATGACAAATTATTTCAACTCTGACGATTTCGATCCTGACGCTTCCATACAGAACATGCGGCGTACGACAACAATTCCTATTCCATCTATGCAAGAAAAAAACTGTGTAAATGTAAATTTGTGTTGCAGAACATGCAACAGAGTTACTCCTGTCATGCCAGACAGCCACGAAGTCCTCTTTTCAACTGTGTTTTCCCCTACAAGCCACGCATGACATGTCTTCTCTGTCATGTAGAGCAAATTTGTGATGCTGTTTCTCAAAGAAAGTTACACTTACACACTTTTTTTCCTGGATACCATCGTGGCGGCGGCTAGTGAGGATCTCCTCTTCTGCGGTAGCGGGACTTGCTTGCAGCTCTGCCGGGGCAGCGACTGCGGCTGGTGAAGGTGGAGGAACACCGCAACCCAAGGGGCCACCTCCAAATCACCCCGCGCTCAACAAGTTTGTGGAGGAGCACCGAAGCAGGTTAGCAGATACGACAAGAAAAAAATTTGCCGCTGTTACTCACTATTTTTTGCAGGTTTTATTCTTGGGCGATTTTTGCAGCTACTTCTATCTGTTATATTGCGGAAACTACAGGTGAGATCGGGATGGGCAGCATAAAACAAACATATACATTAGTTGTGCTTAAAAACGTTTGTCACAGCAGGAGCCGTGATACTAGTTCCAGTCTCAAAGGACATCAAGAGCAGGGCGTGAAAAAGGTGGCAGCGCCTTGGTGGCGTGCGTTTATTTGCCGCAGGCTGCCGGGCCGTCGTCGATGAACGCACCGACGACTGCGGCCAGCAACCGGCCCCACGGTGGTCCTCGGCAAGGCCAAGGGGGCCGCAGTGGCACTGCCGCCCACGGGATGTCGGTGCACTTTTTCCCTCTTCTGGTTCCCTCTTCTGGACCGCCCTTCCGGGCACCCCCTCGCGGCGATTTGTGGACAGCCTAAGAGAAGCCCCTGCACTTCCTCAGAAACTGGCGCCTTGGCCTTCGACAAAAAGGCACCGGAATTCGCCGTCCATACTATATCCCCCCCCTCTCGACCCATCCCCCCCTGCAGAAGCGCGCGACTTCGGGAGCGTGAGCGCTCTGAGTCCTCGTGCCCCGGCCCCGTTGGAGGAACGGCGAAAAAAGAAGGATTAGAAGGGGGCCCAGGGGCGCGTGCAGTATTGGAAACGGGTCGGGCGTCGGCATTGTTGTTGTTCGTGTATGAAGGGCCGCGTGGACTTGTCCAATTTGAGCAAAGTTCCGGGGCTACATTCTTCAAAAGACGATAGCGATGTTGACGTAGACCGGCGCCGGCATGTTGTACATAACGACGACCAAGGCGCAGTAGCAAAATGCAAGAAATAGGTCATGAAAAAACCTGAAAAGACAACTTGGCGATCGCCTCCCGGTGTTGCTCGCCTCCAAATAGAATGAGGCGATTTGCCGACTCTTCCGGTTCCGCCCAAGCGCAACAGCAAGGGTGCAGCATGAGTAACGCTGCGCCCTTGTTGTTGTCACTTACACACGCACAATGTCATGATGCATTACTTAATCACGCACAATCAAACTAAGAGCTTGCTCACTAACGAAGGATGTCACGCGCGTTGATGCATGACAGTCAGAAGAAAAGATGCTGAATAATGACGGTGCTAGCGCCGGCGAATTTTTTGCGTTTGAGAAGACGGGGACCATTGACGGGGACTGCGGGTGTGCCAAAACTTCCGGGTGAGATATTTTTAGACTTGGAATTGTATATATTGCAAGGAAGGAAGTGTCCTCGTCTTCGTGTTCGTAGCAAGTGCATGGAAGTAAACTCTTGCGCGACGGATTCACGCCCCGGGAAAGCTCTTACATACGATCTACATGATCTTTGCATGCGGAAGCGGATTCTACCAAGAAATACAATTGCAAAAACTCAATAAGTATCGATCTGGGTCCGTCTGAAAGAGTGAGCTTGTTTGTCATGCATCTTTCGAAACACGCGATTGTACTGATATGATAAACATAAACAGAAGATGATCGTCTGGAAAATTTTTTTGCCAAATGTCCTCCGTATCGGGCCCAGTTGATCGCGATCACTTTTGTTCCAGACCCAGACTATTGCTTGCGATGCAGAGAAGCTAGCCTGCCTCTTGTTCAACAAAGAACAGCCTTTGTTCAATATACTTAATCGCTTCCGCAGGTACTGGATATCCACAGAAACTTTGCCGCACACGTACAATAGGCCCGTCTGCATAATAACTAGGTGAAGCTACTTTCATTTTACTAATATACTAGCGCGATGCTTTATTTTCATTGCATACCTTCTGTACTTGTGCGATAAATTCGTGTTGCATAGTGCATCCTTTTTTCGAGATCCGGAGGCAGCAGATGAACGAAGGAAAGAGGCGGACCGAATGCGGCGCCATATCCAACAAGAAAAGAGATGAGCTATGGGATTCTCGAACGTTGCATGGTCAGCTGTTGCGTGAATTTTCATGCAGAATTACCATCAGCATCACACGCAAGCTGCTTGCCCGCATGACAAGTTCTCGGCGCGCTCAGTAGCTGCAGCAGAATCCGTGCCGGATTACTTGCCTCCTGTAATGCAAGACACGCAATCGCTTCGTCTTTCCTTTCACTTTTGCTATTCGTGCATCGCAAATCCATGTAGCCGCTGACTATGTAACGTTTGAGAAGTCCATAAGGGCTACAGTTCACTACACATTTGCTGTCACACGCACAACAACAGCAACACAGCCTTGCCCCGCAAAATGAAGAAAAGTTGCAGTGCGGAGACCTTCTCAAAATAAAGGTACTACTGGTACTAGGCCGCTCAGCAGGTCTCGCATGACAAAGGTTGTTTGTGCTCCTGGTGTTGCAAGAAGAAAGAACCCGTTGTACAACTGTAACTGCAACACGTTTTTCTTTGCATACGCGGTGAACGAGTGGAACGCACTCTGAACAATTATGATAATGACGACGGGCAGGTACAGCTACAGGCTTCGCGTTTTTTTCTTCTATCGGAAATAGAATCTGTCGCAGTGTAAACCTGATGCGAAGCTACTAAAGTGTGCTACATACTAGAAAGATTTTCTCACGTGTTTTGTTTTACGAAGCACGTGCCTTTCTCAGACTTTTGATGTAGTCGAGAGCATGAGCATATAAATATGTCATATTTATTATTATATGCTCATGCTCTCCGAAAGAAATAGGCAATGCACGCAAAAGCATTCCAGAGATTGCGCAGGCTTCCTGATGCCCGCGCCCCATGATGAGGAGTGCGGCACTTTTATTTGTAGCAGGAACAGGAAGTGATAACTTTCGGCATTCGTGCGACGACGTCACAGGTTACTTAATATTCTATGATTCACACTTTTTTGCATAGAAGCCTGCACGTGCACCTCGTGTCTATGCGCTGCACCTGAACAAACACGATTAGGAAACTGTAGAAGTTGTTGTAATGGCAAACTCTTCTCCAAGTTGTACGTGTACCATATCTATGCACTGCAAATTTGTCTGGTGCTGGATTTGTAACGCGAGATCCGATGAAGGAAATGGACATGGAGAAGGATGACAAGATTCATATATATGATCGGCCATTTTTTTTTGTCGTGCACGTGCATGCTGGAGATCAGTTTGCCATGCGTGTTGCGAATGAATATCAATATGCGATCTGCGTCGCAAAACTTGCGATGCTCTTATGCCTTACAGGCGGATACTATGCGATGCGGCATTCAGCAACACAAATCCCTAGACCCAGACGGATTTGCAATGCATATACGAAAACGCTAATGGCATAAGGAAGCGCCAGGTTGGAAATAGACAAAATGGAAGGAATTTGCGAAGCGCATAAATCGTATACATTGCAATAGTAGTACCGTACTAATTCGTAGAAATCGGATATACAAAAGAGAAACGCGAATCCGCCGCTTGGTCTGCCCGTCTGACGCCAGGCCTGGTCTCCCCGTCTAAAGCCAGTCCAAGTCTGCCCGTCTGACGCCAGGCCTGGCCGCCTGTCTGGCGCCTGGTCTCTCTGGCCAGCTGCCGCGCGGCCTGGCCGCGGTCTGAAGCCCGGCCCGGTTCCCGGTTTCGCCGCCCGACACCCGGTGCGGCCGTCTGACGCCAGCCGCCGGACTACCCTGCTCCGCCCGCTCACAGAATTCCGGGCTCCCCCGGCGGGTAGCTGGCCCATAGGATACCTGGTCCCAGGGTGCGGCGCCTGATTTACGCCTGGTTCATCCCATAGATATACATGCTATCGCTATTATTAGTCTACTTCTTATTGCGCGACACCTCGAATTTGATTGCCATTCTGCAAAGTTCCAACCTGATATGGCAGTTCGGCGCGAACGGGAGTGTCGAGGGAGCGGGAGGTATAAAGGATATTATCCTGCTTTGGAAAAACGTTCCAAGCCCATTACTATCTACGTACTCATGCGAAAATATTGTATTCATGCGAGAGTAAAAATATCGGTCTAGAGAGGGTAGACGAGAGGTCGACAGGGGTGGAGGGGTGGCGCGGGAAGTAGTTCGGGAGGGTGGCCGAGTAGAGGGGGCGGCGCGTCGATTATAGCCCACCAGAGGGGCCGCCCTTTGGGGCCGCGAAGCAAGCGGCACGGAGGTGGCAGAGAGGTAGAAAAGAGGGCGGGCGAGAGGTGGACAGAGGCGCCGAGGGGTTGCGCGAATAAGGGGAGACCTCTCGCGCAACCTCTCGGCGACCTCCCGGCCACCTCTGTCGCCCTCTGCCCGCGAGTAATATAGCCCGACTATTAGCGGGGACCCCCGATAGAGGTCACGAAGAGGGCGGGCGAGAGGGTAAGGAAATTGCTAATCCGCATGGTGGTGCGCCGGTTACGGGACTGCGATGGGCCTTCCACCGCCCAACCCTCGCGCCAACCTCTCGCGCCACTCTCCCGCGCCACGCTCTCCCTCGCGCCAGCAACAGGCGGCGCCGCGAAGTTGGGCGCGGGCCGGCGATTTATAAAAAAGCAGAACAGAGGTCCGCTTCAGCACCCGGACGGGCTCTGTTCGCCCCCAATGATGTTCGCTGCAGCTGCCCCCCGCGGGCGCAGAGCGCCCGAAGGCGCGGGAAGCGTGCAAGTGGTCCGATGGGTTGGCATGGTGGAAACAGGCGCCGGAGCTCTAGTCGGTCTTGATCTTGAATGTTGTGCGGAGAACCGCGGCGCTGTGGTCTGATCGATTAACAGTCTGGCCCCGGCGTTAGCCGGAGCATGGCTGGCGCTATATCATGGAAATCTGCACGCCTACAATGTAAATGAGGAGCAGTGTCAAATGCTGTCTCGTGGATGCTTGTCATCATGCTAGAATCAGCATGAAGTGGTCGGCTCGCGATGCGGCTGCACTAGCTTGCGATGTAGCAAAATTCCAAGCGTCTGGACAATGGTGGGGCGGGGACGTTTTTCCACACGATAGCGGACCTCGATGCGGAGATACTCGGGCACTACAAAGTATCCCACAGAAAACAAGCACACCCACATCTCCCACACCAGGGGAAATCCGATTTGCGTGGCTTTCTTTCTGTCAAAATAAAGTGCGTGCTGCTGTCTGTAGAGCCGCAGAACAGGCAGTCTTTTATCATTCTAATTGAGAGGGTAAATAAAATGCGGACCAGGAAGAGAATGATTACATTGATTTTAGATTTTTAGAGAAGACCAAGACGCCGCCCGATGAATTTCCTTGTCATGCTGAGCGGGGCAGCTGGCTCCTGCTGCATGGACCCTGCCCCATGTTGCTCGTTGTGCTTGCTGCTTTGCGCGTCTCGTCTGCATCATTTACCGGCGCCGCTCTTACAAAAGGCCTCGAGATTTCACGTCCATGCACGCAAGAAGCGCTTCAGGAGCATTATAATTCGATAGAATCTAGCGGTAGCGTAGCTTTATTTCCGCTTCGTTGCTTGTAGTAGCCGTAGAAAAGGCAAACGCAAAGGGACGAGCTCCTACCCTTAAAGCATAATGAACAATCACCGTCAGCCAGGGTGGGAGTACGCTTCTTGTGACACCGCAAACAGGAGCGCAAACATTTTTTGACATGGTATGGGTGTGCTGGGTGTGCTTTTCTGTATGATACCGGAACAATGCTGAAGGGGAAGCTCTATCGTCCGAAACAATGCCCCCTGTCCCTATGCCTACTACAAAACGTCTCCAAGCCTTCGGCTGCTTTGAATGTTCCCCCCCACCCGCCGTCCATCCAAAAGAGCCTGGACTCGAAGCATGAATCCTATGTCGGTCGTGTTTCTTGCTTGCTATTGCTAAGGACCGAGAATAGAGATATCATGTGGGGACCGCTTTCTTACGTGACTCTGCCCTTCAACCTTATATGAAAAAGTCAACTATACACCAAATCAACCTTCATGCGATTATATCCTTACTAGTGCGCCAGCGCTGTTGTAAGGCATATGTACTTTTGCGAGCGCATGTCATGAGCAGCAGGCCGCAGCTAGTGTGGCAGATCGTGCTAGTAAAGGCCCTATTGCTGAGCTTCCGTCCCCGGAGGAAATTCGCCCAACGCAAAAGCTTTGCTCTGCTCCATTTGCAAACTTTGAGCCTTGATGTTTTGAATTTCCCAAATCGACGTCGCATTCCTTCTGCTTTGGGGTGCCCACAAACGGGCGCCAGGAAATCAATGCCGGGGGGAAGAGGCGAAATCCGCATAACCTCGGCCGTATTTGTTCCAGCTCGCCTGTGCTGTCCAGGAACGAAGGCGAAAGCGGCTACCAAAGTCGGCAGCTTGTTAGCTTGCAGGGCGGGGAAAGACAGCAGAAAGCGAGGCGCTTTGAAAAAGCGAAGCTTTTTGGGAAAGGCACTAAAGAAAAGGAAAGCCGGCCAAAGCCTAAGCGTGCCGCCTTCCGCCTTCGCTGACGGGCAGCAAGGCTATATGCTATTGGCCCGACTTTGGGTGACCAAGGGCCCGGCCTCGGCGGAGGCCCTAGCATGCACGACGGCGCCCCGCTTTTGAAAGCAACGGGGCCGCCACTTTTGCTCGCGACTTTTGTGGTGCGCCACGCCCTGCACGCGGAGCGATGTTATGCGCGTGGGCATGGCGGACACAAAGACATAGAGGGGCGGCGACTTCCCCGCCCAAAAAAAGAAACAGCACGGCCGCACTACCTGCGTGCTCGTCTAGACGTCGCCTCGTGGCATTATTTCAAGTTTGTAGCAGGTGGGGACGGGGCTTTTTTCGTTGTGAGATATTGCCTATGCGGAGGGACGAGTTAGTGCGGACACGATCCCGCAACAAGGAGCGCACATGGAGATATCACAGAATGAAAAGCGCACTCGCGATAGATGCCGGAACTTGTCATGCAATTTTTGCCATCGCACAAACAAAGAACACCAGCAAAGTGCCTCTTTTCTGTCGAGCACAGAGACTTTTTGCGGCCTTTTCATGGGTTCCACTTTCGCGCATAGAGAGAGTGGCGCTCTTTATGTGCACGAGAAAAAATTGTCTACGTAGGTAGAAGCTATTTGTACTCCTTTTTGCACTTTTTTTAGTGCTGCAGCGCCCTCCACTTCTACGCACTACAACGGGCGAGCCACTGCTTTTCTGTGTGATACAGCCACGTACTCGAAAAGCAGCACGGGAAGAGGCAAGATCGCCTCGACAGGGTGAAACAATGCGAAAAAGAACTACAAGAATGTATGACAGTAGGCAACTACCCCCCTCAGCCCGCAAAATTTTCTGCCCGGCCATGCGGGCGACAGAAGCAGGCTGAACGATGTCCCAGCTGCTGTGTATATCCGGCCACGCTGCTGATGTGCATATCCGGCATGACAGAACTCGTTTGCCTTGTTAGGCCTTCAACGCAATGCGTAACTGGAAGTAGCGCTGTTTTCTTTGCATAATGATGGGGGGGTTGTGTGCTGTCATACTATCTGGAATAGCGGTCGGGTTCGATGCTATCGAAAGGGAAAATCCTCCCTCCCCATACCGGAAGGGTGCGCGTCTGAATGAAATTATGCAGTGTAGATTTGTGACCACTGATCGCCCAGGTCTTCGTCTTGCAACCTGAAGGCAACTGCGCGCCACAGATGGTCCGCTGCATAATGCAGGAGGTGTATGATCATGCTCTTGATAAGCCTGCTACAGCAAGGCTGGCGTCTGTCATGCTGAGAACCAAGCATCTGCACCTCGAAACATCCCTGCCCAGGACTAAGATCTGCCTGCAGTCCCTTACAGCTGCAGGACAGAGCTGACTGGCGTACACGAAAAATCCCGCGCCGGCACAGGCTTCCCTTTTAGCCTGAGGAGGGAGGTTTTCATCTGGATAGGGGGAGGCATGTATCACACAGAAAAAAGCTGGCAGGGCATATTTGTAATGCAAAAATAAACACACAAAAAAAAAGAATCTGCATGGCATATACGAAGCAGCATGCTATGGGGCCACCCATGACAAGTTTTTCTGTGTATTTATTGTTGCATTACAAATATGCATGTCCAGCTTTTTTCTCTGGGATAGCATGCCTCCAGGAGAGGAGTTGCAAGAGGCCGCGCTGGCCACCCCCCAAATGTCAAAAGCCGACGACCGTCAGTGTGAGCAAGCGCTGAAGACGTTGCAAAGGATGCCCCACAGTGTGCTGAAGGGTGAGCGCAAAGGCACTCCAACTTGGGACGCAATGTACCAGTACTGCCAACTAAATTTGAGGCGTGGCCCCCCGGGCCTACCGCCGCCGCTGGGGCAATACATTCAAGAGAGGAATGCGAGGGCACGGAACAACAAGGACAATGCGTCATACCTTCCGGGCACCATGCTTCTCGCTTCGAAAGATGACTCGTTTGCCATCAGCCAGCGCACGGCCACGGCCCCGAGACCATAGAGTTGAGGGGAAGTAGGGTTCTGGGGCGGTTTAACCCAGCTAACATGTCCAAGATTAGGCGGGAGACAGGAGTTCCATCCGATTGCATTTTTTCGACTCCTGAGCGGACCAACAGGAGACCGTATCTTGTACCGCGCACACTCTGAGAGCTGTGCGTTGATTACAGTAGATCTTTATACGCATTTTTGATTTAAGTATACTATACACCGTGACCAGGAGTTGGAGTTTTTAACCAATGGGACTTTTACTAACTTTACTCAACATGTGTGACGCCCACGCCCTGAAGAGGCGCACTTTTTTTTTTCGCTTGAGAGTTGCTTGTTGTCATGTCCTTTCCACGCTGATTCAAACCCCGGAAAGGCAAAACTCCCTCCGGATTTTGTTTTGAAAAAAATTTTGTAGTCGAAAAAACAGTTTGATTGTGTATTTTTGCGTAGCTTTTGTCTCGTCTTTGTATTGTCTTTCAAGGAAGGGCGAGGTAACGGATCTAGTACCGAAGATATCTTTTTCGTCTTCATTGATCCACCCTGTTGAAGAAGAAGATCGCAAATGAATTCTCTTCCAAAATAAAACCGTCCAAGCGGGAAGAACATTTGTAGTTGTTCTTGCACGCGTGACCGGTCTACCCTCTCGAAAACGGAAGCAAAAAAGCGACCAATCTCGCGCGAGTTGGGAGAGGCACAGAAACAACCACCGGAATGCCTGTCGCGTTCAGGCGGTGAGGGCAGGTGGGGCGGTTGCCTACTTTCATATTCATCAGCTTCGCATCTAAAGAAAGTAGTAAAAAAAAAGTAAAGGATCTGGAACAAATAGGCGCGCTGCTGCAGGGGTGCCTGCTACTGGGAAGCAACAGGCGTGGCGAAGCACTGCTACTACAGTGGCGCGCGCGATTTACAATTAGCGCCAGCAGGTGCGCAGCGGTTCACAGGGTTGCAGCTGTGTTTGTATGTACCAAGCGACCACCGGCGACCCCTACCTCCACAAATCGCAGCTAAAGGTAGCCGAAACGCATGTACCCCGAAGAGCAGCAACCCTGGCCCTAGCAGCGCGGGGGTGGCTGCAGTGATGTGAAAACAGAGAGGGCGGCCGCACCTGCGGCGGATTTCTAGTCGCCAGCCGATAGGGGGCGCGCCTGTCACCGAATGCAACGGGAACAACCTGGAGGGCGCGCGCTTATTTTCTGCCTCGATTGCTGGGCCCTGCTTCTCGTTCTGGCGCTACAGGCGCCGGCCGGGCCAAGCGTTCTAAGTTTTGGGCTGCTGCTGGCGGTTTGCGCCTGCCAGTTTTCTTTTGGTTTTTTCTTCTCTTTGTCTTTTGTTCGTGCTTTTGCGAGCATGGGATAGCTGAAGTACTTACACACTTTGCTGCTTCGCCTTTTGCCGCTTGGCAGGGAAACTGCAGTTTTTTTCGTGCGTCGGCTGCCCTTCCCGCCAAAGCCCCTCGCCAAAAAGGCGCCTCCCCTTCGGCCAAGCTTCTTTATTTAGCCGCTTCCAGGAGATCTAGTTGCTGCTTCCAGTGCTATTGTTCTATTGTTATGTGCAGATCCCCGCGCCGCTGTGTCTGCACTGCGGCGCGAGCCCCAAATATAAATTCTCTTCCAAAATAAAACCGTCCAAGCAGGAAGAACATTCGAAGATAGCATCCAGATGCAGCATCACAAGTTGCATCCTTCCAGACCACCCAGACATATTTGCAATGCATAGAGAGTATTTCGGTACTACTTCTTTACCGCCGCTGGACCCAGCTGGGATTTCTTTTTTTACTGTGCAACACCGCTGTTGCTTCCACCGGACGTCGCAATCTTCGACGGGATTCACCAGAAAAAGCTATCCAAGGAAAAAACTGTGTTAGTGTAATTTTCTTGGAAGAAAAATAGCATCACGAGTTTGCTCTGCATGACATCAGAGAGAGCCTGTCATGTGCGCGGCTAGTACGGGAAAACACGTACGAAAAGATGACGAGCCTCTGACGCAGGTCCAGCATGACAAGTGTAAGTATAACTCTGTTTTGCATTTTTTGCATCTCAGACTTACACTATACACAGTTTTTTTCTTGCATAAAAGCCACTGCATGTCTTCTGTGTTCCATTGGACGTAGGGCAAGAAGTCCCACTGCCCGTTGGTCTTGGTCCACCAGTTTATGGTGTTCTCAAGCGTTACACTCTGAACAACTGTTGCGCGAATTTGTCATGCTAAACTGCCTTGCGTCGGTAGATGATCAAGCTGCTTCGCATGACAAATCTCCGAAGGGCTAGACAGCATCTAAATCTTCCGTGCCAAATCTGTGATGCAAAAGCAGCAAGCTTGTGCCTTTGACTGTTGCGGCTCTTGCGTCACAAATTCATGTAACAGTTGAGAGTATAACGTTTGAGAACGCCATACATTTCCCCGAGAAAATGCGTTATCCTGAGTAAAAACGTACCCACACCAGAGTTGTAATGCAGATTTGCAAAGACGCGAAGACTTGTAATGCGCATCCCCATGAGAGCCATTTCCAATCGTGTTTTGGAATTTGTGATGCTGTGAACAGGATGAGCAGACGAATCTGTGATGTGGCTGCACTTGCTAACCTGCACTACACTGCGTAGCGCAACTTGTCATGCGTGACTCACAAAGCTCCTAGGTTTGTGTTGCAAAATCCTCATCCTGACTCTGGTGTGGGTACGTTTTTACTCAGGATATAAATTCTCTTCCAAAAGAAAACCGTCCAAGCAGGAAGAACATTCGAAGATTTGCGCGAGAATATGATGAGAGTTACGTATTTAGATTTAGATTTTGACTCCCTTATATATATTTTTTTCGCTGAACAGTACATAATTTAATTCGATCAGCACACGACCACCAGCACCACCAGCCCAAGAACACGGGGACAAGGGGTGCATTTTATCATCGTCCATGATGCGTATCAATCTCGCATAACATACACACAGCACTGCGTTTTGTTTGCATCGCGAATATCTTTTAAAGACAAGGAGCGGACACTATGACAGACTTGGTCTCTTTTACTTATTTGCGCCAGCTCATGTTGCACGGAGAGCAAGTAAATGCGTGTGAGATCACGATGAGCAAAAGCGTATACTACAGCATATCTATGGGAAGATTGTGAAGCGCTAGACTGTCAGCTGTCACATGAAGATATATTTGGCATTGAAAATGAAGATTGGCATCGAGATCTACGCGATCGAGCTCCTGCTTCGCATGACAAGTTCTCGACCACTCACCAAATCCACATAGCATAAGAGAATCTGCGCCTAAGCTGTAACGCAAGATGCGCAAGCCCCCGCGCCGCCTTTCACTTTTGCTATTCTTACATCACAAACTCATGCGACAGCTGACAGCGTATCAACGCTTGTGAACTATACTTCATACAGCACTATACATTTATCCGGATCATCTCCCAGACCAGAGGTGGACGTCGGAATTTTTTGCAGTGGATGCGCCGCATGATGTTTTGAAATCAGATATAAATTATATCAACAATGCGGTAACTACAGTGAGCTGGCCTTGGCATTCGGTAGTGCGTCTAGTAGTTGCCACCAGTCCTTGTTGCCCTCACTGTTGATAATGAGTTTGAATTTCGTCCTTCAGCATCAGCTCCAGCGATGAGTATGAGTAGCGTGGTTCGCCGCCAGTAACTTCTCGTGCAATTACTCGTCCACCCCCAGCAACGAGAACAAGTACATTTTGTGTAAGAATTTCGTCGAACAAGACTTCTACTTTCGGTTTCGTCCAGCACTTGAGTTTTTGCGTTTCGTCCTGTTTTTCGACCTCGAACGGTCGTCGGTTGTAGGACGTCAAGGAAATAGCGCTCGAATAAATGTATAAAACAACTAAGTAGCTCTAGGTCCTCCAGTTCATGTTCATCTTCACGGAGTTTTTAGGCTTATTTTATTGGTTAAGATACTGACCAGAATCTAAACTACGCCCCTGGGTCTAAACGTTTGCTCCAGACGAGTAAACGTGGTTTGGAAACAAGATCTCGAAACTTCTTCTCAACTTTGCATACAAAAGCGAAAACGCCACAAGGGTATCGGGGTTGGGGTCTAGGGTTTGGGGTTCCTGGTCGCCGGCGGCGGGCCCTGGCCGGCGACTCTCTTCGTTCTTGCGTTTTTGTGGCGATGCCCCGCCCCTTGCCCCGCCATTCGGTTCTGCTTGCTCATCCCCGCCACGATTCTTTTCACCTGTGCCTCCTTTTCGTTGCTTCTCGCCATCATCGCATCGAGATTCTTCTCTGCCCGCCAGTCTCCGACAACAAGAAAGCACATCGCGGAGTGCAATCTCAGCGAAGCTCGCGCCGCCACGCTGATAGTTTAGGATTAAGTAGGTCCGTGGGCGATCGTTTCGACGAGTGATCGCCCGCCTCGGAAAGTTTCGCCGGAAGCGTTTAGATTTTGGTATGTTCTTAACCATTTTTTATTTGACTGACAGTGACACACATGAGGGCCTTGGGAGAGGGTTTTTTGTCCTCACCAGCGTCGCCAGGGGTTAACGTTTGGTCGGCCTGCGCCGGAGGAAAATGGACAGAGAAGCCAGACACTCGGCGCCTGCCTGGCCTGGTGGTCAACATCATCGGCAGCCGGCGGAGCTGATCGCAGGAGGGTGCGGCCGGAGCGCGCGCTTCTTCTCTTTCGGTAGCATGTGTCGATATGCACGACCTCCCGGGCCCGGGGTCAGTCAACATGTCGCGCTTTTGGCGGCAGACGACTGCACGCACTCGGGTAGAGTCCGCTCACCGCGCCAGGCGGACCGAAATCCGAAGCCGCTAGTACATGTACATGCGTGATGGGCACAGCGGTACAGTATGATGCGAGCATCGGGCCGCCCCCTGCGCCTGCCCTGTAAGCTTCGAACGAACCGGCGTGGGGAGTAGAGTCGCCAGAATCTTGTGTCATCTGCGGCCAATAGGTCGGATTGCGTCTAATGTTCGTCATTTGTGTCACTGTCATCTGATGTGCATCCACCGAGGGCTCACACCTGTGCCAGCCCCCCCTACTCGGAAAAAACGGGAGACGCGCTAACTCTGAAAAAGAAATTGCTGAACCTATCCTAATAATCCAGGACCTCTACTTACCTTCGTTTCGTAATAACACGACTCTACTGGTGCGTCAATGCAAAATCCCCCCTCCCCCCCCGTAAATACTCAAATAAAGGGCATCTCTCGTCGGATGCGCGATATTGATATTTATATCGCAGAGAGTAATATCAAATAGTCTGTGCACAAAAGCCAGCCCGCGTTCTTGCATGATACTAAGCCCACGGAACAAAGCGACGCCATGCAGCTGTCGCTCTCTGACATCGATTACGATTTCTACTCGTAGTTGATCGCGTTTTGAGGCCGCATCTGGAGGCATGCCGAAGGTCGTGCCTCGTGGCCATACAAAGAGACGACGCGTGCTGCTTTGCGCAATAAATAGTACTGGCGTTTAGATGCCAGTTTGAGTAGGGGGGGTGGGGAGGTTTTTCATTTTGATAGTGTGAGCCTTGTTGTACCCCAACGGAGCTTATTCTTTTCTATTAATTTCCTATACGATTTCTCCTTTAGTTTCCCTGTCGTAAGCATAAGTAAGTTTCAGCCTCGTTGTACCCCAGCGGAGTTTGTTTACTTTTACTTTTGTAGTTGTGGCACGAGGTGGCAGCCACCTGCAATTTACTAAAAACACTTCTAAGGAGGATATTTTTATTCGAAGATTGTTGCTACCAGTACAACTTGTATTCGTGATCAAATGCAAATATGTGTCGCTCTGGAAAGACGGAGAATTTGATATAGACATTGGGTCTTGCATGACAGAGCAGTGTTTTGTACCGCAGTAAGGCACGACAGGTTTGATATTTGTGGGTCCCCCGCTTGCAGATTTATTTACGAACCACAGCAGGACGACGACTCACTGCGTCCCAGCACGACAAAACGCCTCGCCACTCGTCGGCCTCATGCAGCAAAGACTACCTTGTTATGCTTGTTGCTGTACTTCATCGACAGGACACTCTCAGCTCTGACACGATATGTGCATCACAAATCCAGGCCTAGAGGACAACATATTTGCAATGCATAAACGTTAAGTCTCCACTGCGTACCCCGTAGTGGTGCTGTTGCGACGAGCGACGACATTTGTTTTTCCGAAGCGTCTACTATGCAGCGCAAATATGTCTGGGTCTGGAAGAATGCGGATGATGGTTCTCATGCGGAATTTGCATGACGATGAGGATGAGGACGGCCCAGTCGCTTTTGGCATCGACATGCAAACGAATAGCATCAACACAGGTTTCGCGGAGCAGGTTTCTGAATGCCTTTAGAATAGTTGTGCCGCATGAGAAATATGAATACGCGACTCTGCAGATGGCAAGAGTAAACAGGGTGCATTTATTGTAAATTCGTGACAGATTTACTATACTATTCGTATCTGATCTACGAAGCATATGACGATGATCCTCGTCAGGAGAAGCTCATATCCGTCCAGACCCAGACGTGATTGCAATGGATATACATTTTGGTGGTGAGGAGCCAACGAGCACTGCGTATCCCGCGGTCGTGTGTGTGTGCAGAAATTTGCGCGGTCGGAAGAAAGCTGGAGAAATTCTTCATTTTTTTACAGTTTTTCCACCCAGAACATAGTACTTATTTATTTCACGAATTTTCATTTTTCATCAAGTAAGGTAGACGCGGCTCGCGTTCGGAGAACGAGAAGCACACGAAAATGCGTGACAGCCGGCAAAGGGACAGGGACGGCCACTATCCTGAGTAACAGTAAAGACAAAGGCACAACCCCAGTTTTTGGTTATTCACAGGTCTTGCATTTTTTCTTGAGATTTCTTATGTGTGTGTGCGTCCTCCTCCTCACGCGCCTCTCCATCTCTCGTCACGGGCATTGCCTAGTTGTTTTTGGGCATTGCTCATGCAGAGTAAATGTCGGGGAAGTTGTGATGAAGTTGTCGATTTTTGTTGCAGCAGTTTCTGACACTAGCTGAGCACGCCCATGAGGCGCATCCAAATAATTTGTCATGAGATCTCCCACATAAAGAACACCTCCTGGAGCGTCATTTATTGTCTAGAAGTGCAGCCGGACTTTGTTCCATCTTGAGCATACAACCGGGGTCGTGCTATGAGTATCGCTTTTCCCACAGGATAGCCGCGACGCAGTGGCGTCAGACCATGAACGCGATCGCGAAGAGATCCAGCACAGCAACCAGGACAACCACCTCGATAGCTGCGTGACCGCCACCAGCAGCCGTGGCGCGACGAGGGACTCAACAAGCGTGCGCCGCCGGCACCCACGGGCAAGCGTCCAGCTCGAGCAGCAGGCCGAGAGAAATTTCTGCTGGAAAGAGCATATCGTACGAAAACCCTGTTTCACTGTAAGGATTCTGCAAGGTGGTTTGCATCACAAGTTATTTGCCTAGCATGACAAAGTCAAAGAAGATCTGCCATTCGTGCACCCGAAGGGAAACTGACAAGACCAAAAAAGAAACCACGATCTTGCTGCATGTGTAGCAAGACAAACGCTTCTTTTGATTTTGTGTCGCAGCATGACTTTCTTCTTTATACCGTTCGCATCACAACCTTACAATCGTGAAGCACTTTTTTCGTATGACAGAGCAAGCCGACGCCGTGGCCGTGGGCGGGGTGCCAACCTTCGACTCCTCATTGCTCCTGGTGGACGGGGCGGGAACTGCAACGGAAGCCATATCATATGTGAAAACGGCCCCACCGCAAATTTGTCTGTGCTTTATTTTGGTCTTCTCCAGTACATGAAGATAAAACACCCCAAATTTGTTTTTGCTTTATGTTGGTCTTTTCCAGTACACAAACCCTACCATAGACAGTCAAGTTGGGAAATCTGCAAGACAAATTAGCAAGCTTTGACTGTTTCTCTTGCGCATGACAACTACATTGGGGTCGCAATGTGTCGCGATTAGCTAGTGCAGCAGCATCGCAAATTTTGCATTTCGTGCTGATTGTAGCGTCCCAAATTTCAAACAGTACGAGAAAATGCGTCGCATGGGGCTCCGCATGAGAGAAATTTTGATTTTCACCCTGCAGATTTGCACGACAGCCATGGGGTGTGGACGTTTTTACACAGGATAAGCCATGATCCCGAATCTTCCTCGAGAAGGAATCTCTCTATCCACTGCATATATTCCTGGATGTGTGGAAAAGTGCAAGTTTGTATTTGTCACGCACGTTTTGCATGAGCTGCAGCTGCTGGAAAGATCGATCTGCGATGTCTGTGGTCCTACTTAGCATCACAGAAAGATAATTTTCTGAAGGTTTCTTGATGCCTATGCTATCCCGCGCATGACAAATCCCCTGTCCACCGCGTAGTGAAAGTTGTACTCTTTATTTATTTGCTGCTCATGCAGCATAAAGAACACAGATGGGATATTTTTTTTTCGAATCCCAATGCAGCATCACAAGTTCATCTTGCAGCACTGTTCCAAACATCCAGGGATGTAATCTGCAATCTATACTCTCCGGCGCCCAGCAGTTTTGCTTCGGGGACGACGCGTTTGACTGGCTTCGTCATCACTCCAACAGCATCCAGTTCCAATTTTTCTGTTGGCCCCATGCATGGCCTGATGTACAACGACCATCACCACGCTGGCAGCCCCGACGTGCGCTTGCGGCGAGCTTTACAGGCTCCACAGGATTTTTCTCAACAACCTCGTGGACGAGATCGTGCCGCTCGTCACCCCCGTCCGGAGGAGCGCCCCCCAGCGCACAAGAAGAACCCATGCACCAGCTCTGCATCGTGCTGCGCAGCGGGAATGGTGTCGCTGACCATGGTGCGCACGACAAACGTATCAAGTGCAAATGTCGAAGCTCTCGGTCCATCTGGATGAATAAAATAATCTGTCTGTAAAAATGAAATATTTTAATTTTTGCTCCAAATTTTGGCCCTTTAGACGTAGAGGGAAGTACGAAGTAAACGGTTTCCGGCTAAGCGTTTCCCTTGAGAGGCCAGTCTAAGAGAAGGGCCGTGGGACGCTTCTTCAGAGAATTTTTTCAAGAAGCTAGGAAGCTGCTGCAAGCGTGACGCGCGTCCCTGCAGCGACGGCCTGCGGCTTCTTTCCGGGTGGCCAGCTGCGAAGAAGCCAAAAAGCCCGCCGCAAGAGAGCCACAGCAAAAGACCCACCACAAAAGGAAAAAAGCAGCCTGCGTTGGTGCCCTAAAGAAAGGCTTCCAGGAGGCTCGCAAAGCACCTGCAGGGGGCCGAAGCCTGATGAAGGTCACCAAGAAAGCCAACCATGTTGAAACAGGGCCAGGCTTTTTTGTACCTTTCTCAAGGCTTTTCCACTCTCCTGAAGATTCCCCTGAAGGTTGATCGACCTTCTGGGGAGCGCCGTCGGCTTTTTCCTAGAGCCCTTGTTGGGGTTCTTCGTATAGAAATTTAGTTATTTATTAGTATTAGTAGACGCCCCGCCGCCGGCGTCCTTGGCGCCAGCGTATAATAGTCTAGTAAAGGTACTACGACGCTATTACTAGTAGCTCCTGCGTGCCGTCGTGGACGAGAAGATCCTGGTAAGCAAGCCAGCCGCCTCCGAAGTCTTCACGCATCGGAACATGTTTTCGCGAGGGGCGGACTACGTCTTCTCTAGACCACGCGACTTAGGGACGCCAGGCTCAAAATCAACAAAATTGCAATAGAAATACCTTGGCACCGCTGCGCATAGGAATTCGGGCTTCGGGGTAATAGTGAAGCTGCGGGGGAGCAACACAAAAACAGCCTGCCTTGCCCCTAGCAGCATTGCAAATTGGGTCTTTGATATCCTGCCAAAATTTGTCACGCACCGATGTCATGCGCCGCTGCGCTGCTCTGCAGCTGACATCAATTTCAATTTGAATACAGTTACCTTCAGGAAACTTAAGCAGTTCGTGAGCAGTTTCTGGCTCGCCTTGGTAGCCATTACAGTACTAAAGAGGCTTGCGCCATGTTGAGCTTTTATGTACTGCGAATTATTTGAAGTTTGTTAATTTCGACCCTGGCGCTCACATAGTATGAGAGGGGTCGTGTGTATTTTGCATTTTCTTCGTCAGGGGTGGCGATGTCTTGCCTTTAGAGTGTCAACATATAATTCAGCCCTCGTCTTGATCCTGTATGTGTACATGATCGCAGCACGCATGACAGATTTTTCTATACCTGGTATCAGCCGAGCACGAGAAGCCTTCGGCTGTTCCAGAGAGACCCGGAGATCGATGTTTGAAATGCATAGTACGCGGGCGACGAGAACGTCGAGGGATTGCGCGAAAATGCGGGTACCAACTTTATATAATAGTACACACCTTGCAACTTATACTTATGAGGGTGCACAAGTCCCCCTCCCTCTCATTTGTATGGCATGAACCGTTCATGCGCCCAGCGTAGTCTGGTTAGGGCTTGTTCCGGAATTTTGCATGCCTTGTCTGTATAAAAAACGCCCTTGTATCCTGGAGACAAAAATCGATCTTTTTTTGCTGGCTGCGCATAGATCCGAAACACTATAGACTTTACATTTTTAATAGTGTCTGGTCCTCCAGCACCTCCAGAATCCGCACAAGTCTTCCCCCCAGACATAAACTTTGGACCGCATCTGCATAGCTTCCGCGCCAGTGATAAAACAGCGGGTTTGATAGTCATGATATTACTTTAACTTATTACTTACACTGCATGAAGATTGATAAGTAAATACTTTAGCTCCTACTTGTTCATCAGCTGCAAGAGGACAAAAAATTTGATTTCAGGGCAACAAGACGCAACTGCTGCAGCGTCGACGACCCTTCGGAGCACGAGCACGACGGCTGAGATCCAAAACGCGCTGGGTGGATATGGAGTTCTCCAAGGTTGCAAGACACAGATTGCTGCTCTCTACTGATTTGTCATGGAAAACATAGAATTACTTTATATCAGCTTCAGCCTTCGCTTCCGCTTCCCATGGCAGCGGAACACGGTTACGCCACTTCGCATGACAATTTAATTATATCGGCGCGCTTCCGCTTGTAGTTGTACTTGTTCCTAGGACGGGTGTAATCCGTTTCAAAATTTTATGCGAGGCCCCTTCTTCTTTTTACTTTTGCAGTTCTTGCATGATTCATGTAACAGCTATCAATGTAACGCAACCTCTTGGAAACTTCATAGTGTAGATCAGCAACATCATGTTCCGCAGGAGCTGCCCCAGCAGGCCGAGAAAATTATCCTATACAAAAGTACACGTGTACATAGCACCAGACACAGGAAGTTTATGCCGCTAAATTTTTCTTGATATCTGCGGCGGCCGTTCGTTACTAAGGCCGGTCAGAGTGAGACCGTTCTTGCGGCCAGAGCGTTTGCGATTTGTGTAATGGAAGATTAGACATTGGAAAAGTATCTTACTAGTACTAGCAGTTCAAATTTGCTCAGTGTGGCAAGTCGTGGAATTTTTTATGCCAAAGACGCCAGATTTCGGAGATTTGTCATGCAGTAATGATATTGCAATTATTTTTATTACTACGATAACTACGATAATTGTGCAGAAGTTGTAGTTTATGGAGACGTCCTAATTGATTAACATGTCGGGCAACTGCTCTATAGCCGATCAGACGCGTTCCAAACTGCCCTCTGCATGGCAGAAAGTTACCATCTCATTTCTTGCGGTCGTGTCGTCCGCATCTCGGAGATTATTTCTGTGACGCGATTGGAGCAACGCAAATTTTTATTCTTTTTTCCCGGCATGGCCATGGGTCGTGCTCGTACTCGTGTATTTTTCTGAAGGACAAGATTGATGAAGCAAACCGGGGGGCGTAGTTCCACTATGCACTGCAAATATGTCGGTGTCTGGAACACGAATGCAACTTGTGATGCTCTGGCGTAGACAAAAATCTGTTAGTGAGAAAAAGAAACGAGCGCGCGCTGTCGCTTTTGCTTTTGATCTCCAGAAGAAGGCACGATTTCTCAAGCGTGTGCGTGGATTATAGGCTGGCATCCATTTGGAGAAGCCTCCGCGCATCTTGTCATGCTCTGCGTGTATTCCAGATCCAGACCTTCTTGCAGGTCCAACAAGTGCATGGCAAAAAATGTCTGCATTCTGCCCAGCCCAGACGTGTTTGCATTTGATATCCACTTCGGGACGAGGACCAGGACGGGGGGCTGCTGCGTCTGACGACTTGGAGGGAAGGGACGAAGGCTACCGTGCAGAAAAGTGCCCTCGCCTCCTCATACTCAAAACAGAATTCGGTAGTTACTTTGTGGCCAAAGATGCTTCTGTTGAAAAGCAAAGCGGCAACTACGCCAGATAAGGTGTCCGTCACTTTCATTGTGCGGCTGCTCATTTCTGATCCTGGTGGCCATGCGAAACAAACGGCTTTATTACGCAAAAACATCCACCTGCAGCTGCACGCGATTGCCCATTACTGCAAGACAGAGATGATTTGCATTTGTGTAGTACACGGAAGATGCGGCGTCACAAATTTCGTTTTGACCGCTGTGGCAAGAAGGGGGAGACTTTTCATGTTGACAATGGTGGCGAAGCTGGAGCGCCAGCGCCGCGCGTGGCCAGCGGAAACAATGACGCAGGAATTGCATCGTCCCACCTGCAAAAGACCGAGGAAACCAGCACCCCCACCCGCACCGGCGAGGACGAGACGTCGGGCGAGCTCGAAAATCGTGGGGCCGACGAAGGCGATATGCATTGCAAATATCGACTTGAGCGGTCTGGGAGAGTTAGACACTGTCGCGCTAGGTCGGCGTGACAGGAAGATAAAGATATCTATTTTATGTCCGTGAGCAAAAAAAAAGTCATGCACTTTTAGGCACCTAAAGATGGCGATTCTTCTCCAGAAGAGGCATAATTGCAGATCAGCTTGACGAGGAAAACTTTTGATGCTGCTGCTCACAATGTTTGTAGACCCTTTGGCCGCCCATACGAAACCTGTATGATCTGGTAACCAAAGCAGCCCCCGCGCGCTCGCAAAGCGATCCTTCCGGGATGGTCATCCATCGCAAACGCAGCGCGAAGGCGTGGCCGCTGCCATACGGGAGGGGCTCGAGAGTGTGCAATCACTCGCAAAGCCGGGCACTTTCTTGCATGCGGTTTGTCCGTCGGAAAGTGGATTTCGGAAAAGCCGGTCTATTTTTTGAAAAAGCAGAAGAATCTGGCGCGTAGCCAGGTCGAGAAAAAGGGCAAAAAGCGGATTTTTTCGGCTCCGCCCGATGATCTGTTTTCGAAGAAAGAAGCCTGAGGCTTGGGCTGCGCCCGATGCCGTGCCGCGATTGGCAGCCGAAATTGTGCCATCCGTCGGCCGAAAAATCGACCGCCGAAAGGCGCACTCTTTTTGCGGTATGCAGAACCCGGCTGAAAAGGGCCGCCGACGTGCTGTTTTTAAAGGCCCCACGCCATCGGGAGTGAAAGAAAAAAAATGGTCTGCATTTCCTGCGGAGGTGTGTCACACACGCACGGTCTTCGACCTCTCGGAGGTTCCAAGGCGAACACCCCCCCCCCGAGTGCGAATGGTCTAGTTGGGTTGCCCAAAAGGGCTGTCGGAAGTAACGAAAATTGTGGAAATTTTTGGAGTTTGGGTCTTTTTGCGGGCCTGCCTGCCCTCGTGCATAGCGTGGCGCGCAACGGTATAGTGGCCTCCACAGAAGAGGACTGCTTTGCTTCAAGGGGCCTAGGAAGGATGCCCCGCTGCGAGTTGGCCGGATTCATTTCGCATTCGGTGCGTATATATCGCAGGAGCCTGGGGGCCGCCGCGGGCTGCACCACGTCCCCGCGGCCCTTGGCCGCAGTTGTGCTCGTGGCCCTCTATTGCCGCGACCGCAATCTGCGGCCCGCGGCGGAAGAAGAATTGGTGGGACTCCAATAGGTGGCGCTCTCTCTCTCGTTTGTGCCCGCTGCCGTGCGACGGTGGATGTTAGAAAATGGCTGGCGGGCCTTCGAGCTGATTAGATGTAGTCCACGCACGCATTTGGTTACTAATATCGCCCTGCGGGCGCGACCTTCATATATAATAAAGATCTTGCAACCTTCCAGACCCAGACATCCATGTTTGCAGTGGATATTAGACGACTCTGCAGCTCGTGGAGGCTCCAGTGCGAACTCGGCCTCCCGGCACAAAAGTAAAAAATCACGACGCAGTATGGGAGTGCCAGGTTCGAAATCGGCAAAGTTGGAGTATTATCATGACGCATGGAATCAAAATCGACACCAGTTCTTGGGCCCACATTTTCCAGGCGGCGCATGACAAGTTCATCTGAGAGCGCCCAAGCCCCTTTTGTCATGCTGCTATGGAACTACCCAGAAGACCGTTTTTCTCGTGCTCCGTCGCAGCTCTATCCCTGACCGTGAGCATCTTCAGCAGGCTTACAATCTGTTTCGGTTCATGTCATTGATTCCTGCTGCAACTACCCAGGCGTTCCTTCGGCTCTGCGACTCTATGCATCTAAAAGTCCAAATCAAGAAATAGCTGTAGGAGTCTTTCTTCAGCTTTGCACATTTCAAACCTGACGCTTCCATACGGGACCGGGACCAGAGCACGCGTGGTGAGCGGTCGTCTATCAGATGCAAATATGTCTGGATCTGGAACAAAGGATGAAATTTGTGATGCTGATTTTCGATCGACGTGCAGAAAGAAACAAACCTGTACTGCATGAGCAGCACAAGAAGGCACTCATATTTTTGATACCAGGATTGGCATTTTGATTTTTTCTCATGCAGGATAAGGATAGGCGTGAGGAGCTTCTTTGCGCAGCCTTTCGGCTTCGCGATACCTGTAAAAATGCTAGAGCATGCATCACTGACGTCGCAGGTTATGTAAAATCTGCATGAACGCAGTGGCTGTTGAACAGAGGTAGTTCGTTTATGCGGGATGTTCGACATTTATAGATTAATCGTGGGCAGTGCTTGGCGGAGCTATAATTGCGGGATATTCATTCGTGTTATCCCGGCCCCGGGACATCTGTATTCCTTACCCTTCCCTCATTTCCCGGTTGATCGGTTGATATGATTTGATCGACTCCAGGCGCCACCCTCGTTTCTCACCTGCAGGGGCCCCGGGCGCCTCGCCGTTGATGTTTTACTTGGTGGAGGAACGCAGGGCTCTACGTGCTATTAGGGGCAGCTTCGTCGATCATTGTAAAATCAGCATGACAATAAACACAAACAAGAACTCCCCCAATCTTCCAGTAGGACCCAGACATATTCGCGGTTGATACCATCTTCGCGGTCCCGTGGCCGATATCAAAGTGAAAAAAGCCCCTTTATTCCCACATATGTCGAAACGAAATTCATTTTTGTGTAGCGTGATAGATTTGCCTTAAAATTTGTCTGTCCGGCATGAAATACAAGCGTTGGATGCTGGTGCTCAGCATGAGGCGAGAAAGTGACGGCAACAACTGCAGTCTGCGGAAAAATACCATGACGATTTGCTTGCACACTAGGCCGGGAGTGTGGCTCTTTGTCTTGTAGCATCAACACAAGTGGACAGCTTTTGTGAATGCAAACGACGCATGAGAAATCATCCTTGAATGCGTTGAGGTGGGGGAATTTTTCCTGACAAGAATAGGCGGAGGAGCAAGTCCAGTCGATCGGGCAAAGCGGAGCGGGGCCAAGCTTACCTGGAGATATTAAATGTAAAAATGTCTGGGTCTGGAAACTTGTGATGCTGTGTGGCGTATATCATGAGGAGGCGACAATTGCTGGCTCAGCATGACAAGTTTCTGAGCTTCTAGGTGTTGCCTATTCTGCATGACAAACTACGTTTCTGCATGACAGAAAAGTGGGGCTCTTTGGTAATGTGCATGACAGATTTAAGAGTCATGCCAGACAAGCATGACAAACTTGCATTCTTCCAGACCCAGACATTTTTACATTTTATAGGAGAAGCAGGCACGCAACGGCAGCGGCAAAGAAGAGGCGGAAGCCGAAGGCCAGGAGCAGCCGCACGAGCGTATGACTTTCTCCTATAGAACAATCTCACCTGGAACAATTTGTGATGCAAAGTGTCCACGTTCTTCTGTTTTGCGTTGGCCCTCGTCTCGTCTAGCTAGCTATAATTATGGTGCTTGACACGACAAGAACTCTCTGAGTCTGACACGATGCCAAACGGCATTGAAAACTGCACAGATGAAGTAGGCAGGCTTAGCCAGCAGAGCAGAGGCAACCAGAGCCGGCTCGCCCCCTTCAAAAAAATATAGGGGGGTCGCAACAAGCCTTACCCTGTTAGTACAATCCCCACGGGAGTTTCGGACCAACCGGCCGGATGGTTCGTAACTCCGGTGCCCCGAGAGTTACCGCTTGCGACTGATGGTTGTGTAAGGCAAAATTTCGGGCAGGGGTGCCGGAGTTAAGGACCACCCGGCCGGTTGGTCTGTATCTCCGGTGCGGAGCTGGCGAATCGGTTTACAAAGTGGCTTCGCCTTGTACTTCTTGTTCCACTTAAGATTGTTTCAGCTGAGCGCGTCATAGAACGAGGCCGGTCGACGCCTGCCCAGGGGCGGACCGCCAAGAGCCAGCAACCGGGAAAGAAGCGGCGCAGCATATCGAAACGAAAAGTGTCCGGTTGGGGGGCGCGCTCAGAAAGGCAAAGCATAATTACATTTACTGGTCTTGTTGCGAGAAAGTAAAGTAGTTGGTTCTGGTTTCACATGAAAATTTTGTTCGTGTTTTGCACAGTCAAGACGAACAAGGCGCATTGAAGTATAGTGTTTATTTTGTTGCAGAATGCCAATGCCAATGCTTTCAGAAGCACAACGGGTACAGGCTTCGCCTCTCCTGCTAGAATGACTAAAGACCTCGCCGCTCCTGCTAGGCCAGGGCGCAAGAGGATAAACAGACTTCTTTGATGCCCGACGCTTGTCGGTGTCGAATCGCGACATTTGCCATGCTGATCCCACATTTGCATGTTCTTACAATGTGGCAATACATGTTTCAATCAGTTTCGATTGGAGGGTGGAATATTTGCAATGGATTTGCATTTTCGCTCTCGAAGCCCGCCAGTGCCAGAGGCACATTTCATCGTGATGCAGCAGCCGGTATCCTGCGTGAAAACGTCCCCACGAGAACTTCAGATGAGTCAAGACGTTGACCTTGCTACACAAATGAACAGTGTTTGCGTCGTGTTACGCATGACTACAAGTCTGGGAACCCAAAGTTACTAGTCGCGTTTTTTTAGCTAGTGGTAGCGCAGTCGCATCGCGGATCCATCATCTTATCCTTGCCAATTCCGAGAAGATAGCATCAGAAATAAGAATGCTCCCTGTGGACAACTTGCGTGTGAGATGAAATGTTTTATTTTGGCATGCCACGCCTTTGCATGACGAGAAGTCATCTGGTTCTGGGGTGGGGATGTTTTTACACATGATAGGCGGCGCCGAACCACCAGGAGCTCCACGGCCACGTGGCGCCCGCAGTTTATCGAATGCAAATATTTTTCGGCCTGGAATCTTGCCATGCTTTCGCATCGTAAACGCTGGATCGGAGGGCCCGGGAATGATTTTAAGTGAAACAATTTCAAACAACTACTTTCAAAATGTGGGGCTTTTCGAAAATCATAACGCCAATGACGCAGCCTGTGTGCTAGAAGGCGCTGCGATTTGGTCTTGATGTTTCGGAGGGTTTGCTTCTTTTTCGCCCAGCCATGGTTCCAGCAGAGCAGCTATTCGCCGCTGTTTGAGTTTGGTCGCGCCGTAATGCGTGGCAACACACCTGGGCCGGAACGCGGCTGCAGTCGCTGGCCAGCTCTACACTGTCTGCCGGGCGTCGCTCCGATTAGAGCGGCCAAAGGATAGGCCCGCAGGAGCTTCCATGTGGCGCTGGGTTTCTCGGTTTCGTTAGGTGAGCGCCTGCGGGCCCCGCGAGCTGTTGCAGTGGGTTCGCCCGTGCCCTTTTTTTCGTCGCAAGGAAAGCCAAGCAGCACCTTGCGACTGTGAAAAGTAGAGGCCGTGCCCGGACGTGGACAGCTTCGCACAGGGAAGCAGGCGTGGCGGGCTTCGGGCTAGACAGTAGGGCCGGCGCGCGCGCGACTCGTCGGGAAATGTTCCACTTGCTGTTGCAGTTGTCCGCGCGCCGGCTCGCCTAGGTAGCCAGTCTACCTGAGACGGAGCGGCAGAGGACGCAGATGAGGCCGCGGCGGAGATGGTCTCGCGGCTCTGCAATACGTAGTTGAGCAGGTCGCGCCGCCCAGGCGAAGGGCTGCCTGGAGTGTGCGGCATCCTGTAGCGTGTGGCCGCTCTTCGGAGCAGCCTTGCGGCGCCTAACAAGGAGGGAAGCCGGAGGGGAGGCCTCTCGTTCAGCAGACACCATCGCGCGGCGAAATCTCCTGGGCACAAGAAAAATCCTGGGCCCTGGAAAGTTTCAAAGCCGCAAAGCCAAGGCATTTCAAAACTCTGTCAGAGTTGCGGTCTCCGATGGTTTTCTCGGTTCTGGCGGAATTCTGACGGAATTTTGAGTATCGTCTTGATGGAGTTTTGAAATTGGCCAAAAACAAAATGTCTGGCTGATGCGATTTTGAAACTGACCAAGGCGGGCGATGGGGTTTTGAATTTGCTTAAGAGGCCTGATGGGATTTTGAAATCATGCGAGACATGGCCGATGGCGTTTTAAAATCAGCGAAGGCCGGCGATGGGGTTTTGAATTTCCGAAGTGCAGCCGCTGGCCGTTGGTTTGGCGGGGCAGGCTCCGCGGAGCGGTGTGCGAAGCGGCTCATCGGGCAGGGGCGTGCCGCCCTTGGCCCGCATCGATGCCAATAGCGGCGAAGCCCCGCAGCGCACGGCCAGCGAAACGCGCGGGCTGCCCTTGGCAGCGGCATTACCTACCCGCTTTAGGATATGGGGCGCGCGGATGAACAGCCGCCGCTCCGGCATTCTTGGGAGAGGCGCCGCGCGTGCCCGGTTCTTTCGCCTCGTCTCTGCCGAGTTGCAGCGGGCGTGGGCGTTTCGTGTCTCGCTGTTCTTGGCGCCGTATGCCTGCATGGGGTTCGTTGCCAAACCGGCACGGCAGCCCGCCGCCTGGCGCCCGTTCTTTGCCTGCGTCGCCCCTGCGTGCGAGACGGAGGTGTGCTCCGCCGGTGCAAATCGCCTGCGCTGTGTGCTGACACACATTGGCGCCAAGGCCGGCGGCGCACTGAAAGTACGGGCCCAGTGCGGAAGGGGCGGAACAGATGTGCGGGCCCCGGTATTCGTGGCCGCGGGCGCCCCGTCGCTAGGCCCGCCAACTCTTACTTTGGTGGGCTTTTGGCATTCCCGTTGAGGTCAAGTTTTTCGAGCGGTAGGCAATGAAAAATCGCACAACGCGGAGGCCCGCGTGGAATCTTGTCGCGATGCTGGTTCATCGAGGTGCTGAACAATGTGAATCAGTATCACCAGCACGCCGTATCCGTAAAATTAATGAAAATGACCGACAAGCAGCACGATCGCGAGTTCTTGTTTAGCCAGTGTTATTTTAGCCTATTGCTCTGCATGACCACACGTTTCACAGAAAAAATAAGACAGTGGGGCTTTTGGTGGTACTTTACCCAATAGGTAAAGTGCGCGACAGACTTCGGCCTCATGTTAGTAACCAATCTGCACAAGAAGCAAGCTCGGTATTCTTGTTCCAGGCCCTGACCTATTTGCAGTTGATACAGCCATGGATGGAGCAAACGTATTGGGATGGCGTCAAAATTACGCACTGCAAGAGCAAAGTGTCTGGATCGCGATCGGGAAAACAAGTTCAGGCTCGTGAAATAAAGTCGGCCTCTATTTCTTTGTATTTATGTAAAACATAAAGTAGTTCGTAGTTGTAGATAAAAAAAATAAGAATCGTAAAAATCAGTGAGCTTGCATGACTCGCAAATAAAGTTGTCCAGTTATGATTACTTCTGGCGCGGCACGAACATTCATGAAGCGTACTTGGGTACTTACTTTGTTCTACATGCAGGACACTAGCCACAATTGCAAAGCCTTCGCAGAATAAGATTTTGTGATGCTATCGCTAAGCCATGTGTCCTTCCAGAAGATTTATTTGCGAGGCACTCTGCTAAAATCGCTGCTGCTGCATGATATCTATTTAAGCGCCTGGTGCATTTTTTTCCCGGACCCAGATCGATGTTTGCATGTGATGAACGAACAAAAAAGAACGCAAGAAGCCATGGCAGAAACGGGCCAGCGGAACAAGGCGCAAAACCGCCCGGGAACCGACGGCGGAGAACCTGGCTCCTTCGCTATCAAGTGCAAAAAATATGTCTGGGTCTAGAAACAAGGCGCAATCTTGTGATGCGCTCTGTCAAGAATGGTCTCCGTCGCACAAAAATCTGTCATGCGTCGACAATAAAAGGTCTTTATCTTTTCGCCAAGCAGAGAGGGGTAGATTTCTCATGCTGAATAGGCTTTGCAAAGCTGTCGTAGTGCTGGAACTACGACCTGTGATGCTAGGCTCCGCACTCCACACCTTCTGGAAGATAAAAAACCAGCACGAAAATAACCTCTGCGTTTTTTTTCCCAGACCCGGACATATTTGCAATCCATATCCGCTCTGGGGGAGCGGCGAGATGAAGGTGGCGCGAACGCTATCCGGTGTAAAAACGTTCTCAACCAAGACCAACCATAGTGAAGCGGTCGAAGTCTGCTCCACCTTTTGTCAGTGTAGTTGAAGCTTCTCAATCCTTTAGTTTGGTCTTTGCAGTACATCAAGAACACCTTGTTGTCAAAGTCAACGGCGCTAGCTGCCCTCAGGTAGAAACGCCGACAGAACTTGCAACGCTGCATGTTACAGCAAAAGCACACGACAAGGAAGGGCCGCGGCGCCCCCGCTGTGCAATTCTAGAAGACAACAGCTTTCCCGTGGTCTTGATGGATAGGCATGTCTCGACTGCACTACTGCCCCAAATCGAATTGTCGTCACAGCAAGCACATTGCAAAATAGGCCGTGGCCGCGTTGTTTCCCATACTAGGCGCGCGGCGTGCCTCTCGGTGCGTTTGGCATGATCACGCCTGACCGGCGTAGTTGTGGCGAGCTAGTACGATCATGTATCCACGACGTCACAAATAATTGAGCTTCCCAATATTGAACGCCATTTAAAGGCACTCCCGGTCGAGCTGCGCCCGACACACATTATAACTCAGGGCAGTCAGATTATTTGCACGACAGCTCCGGGGTGGGGACGTTTTTCCACGGGATAGCTGCCTTCAACCACGACGAGGCAGGCGCAGCACTACAGAGAGAATATGGAGGGGAAGTCAGTGATCTTCCCGACCGGTGGCTGTCGTACGTAAAGACGTATTTTGTCACGCGGCTTCGCACACTTGGCAGCTCTATTTTTCGTGACGCACCACCAAAGAAAATATGAATCACTCTGGAACGCATGGGAGTGAGTAAGTTGTTTTCACGTGTTTTTGTTTGTACTTCGTAAAATTAAGGCAGTCGCCCCGCATGCCAAAGTGCGGCGCTTTTTCATGCTAGCAGCACTCCGTAAATAAATCACTTGCTTTCCCTCTATAGAGAGCTTGAGGCAGCGTGGGGGTCCGGCGCTAGCTGGAACGCTGCGAACTCTATGGATTGTAAAAATGTCTGGGTCTGGAAGATTCTGATACCTGTCATGCACGTTTTGCATGAGCCATGGCATGATGTCGGTGATGCATGCCCTAGCATCACAGATCTTTTGAGGGCTTCTTGATGCCTAGTCCGCATGACAAATGCCCTCTCCACGTAGCACACATTACTTTCTCTTTGCTGCTCATGCAATACAGATTTTTTTGGAATCCAAGTGCAGCATCACAAGTTTCATTCTTCCAGACTCAGACATTTTTGCGTTTGACAAACTCCACCATGGAGCAGGGCGGTAGCAGCGCTCTCCAAGAGCACGAGTATGCGTGGCAAAAATTTTGTCGGGTCCTGGAAGGGAGTGACGCATGGCAAGTTGTGATGCTATCTCTGGACGACGGACCAGGAAGGACCACACAAAAATATAGTAAGTCTAATTTGTCATGCCAAAGAACAACAAGCACTAAGGCGTCTGATTTTCACTCCTTCGAATGAGGGCGGATCTGTCATGCGGAATTGTACAGAGTATTGAAAACCTCAACCTCTCAGCGGCGAAAAGTCCTGGATTGCTCTAGTAGTACTGTACATGACACCATGATCTGGATGGAAATCCTCGTAATGCTCATACTTTTCCAGACCCAGACTTAAAAAGTGTTTGCGTTTGATAGCGAGCAGGTGGAAAGTATCTCCATGGCCAAAGCGGTGCTGAACTATGCCGGCGGGAAAGAAAAGGCGAAATTCCTACATTTATTTCAAACGATATTCCGGATCTCCGAAGAGCAGAAGAAGCAGGGAGCGAATAAAATCGTTTTCACGCAAGAAAACGTAGAGGAGATCCTGAGGGAAGATGAACAAGGGCGGACGCCGATCGAAAGCCCTCTTGGGAAAGGATCCGTATTGGAGTATAAAAGTGGAAGTGCTACCGGCACTGAGGGCGCTGAGCCAAAACAGAAACTCTTCGCAGAACAGGACGCCGTGTGGCAGTATGCCGAGACGGTTTTGTGGAATTCCGGCACGGGCGATCTGTCCGGCAGCCCGCTCGTCCGAGCGAACGCGATTCCGTTAGTTTTGAACGCCATTGGGATGAAGGGCACAGGGGCATTGATGCTGGGCGATTGGGCTTATGTCTTGCAGAAACATGCGGCAGCGATGGGACTCGATATTGCTGGACTGGATCAACAAGTCGACGGAGGGAAATCTCCTACGGCGCTGAACCTTTTTAAACCCGAAGGGGCGAAGGCTGCGCAGGCTTTCAGAGAAAAGTTGGCACAAATTAGCGAACTAGTGTCCTCGCAGGTGGAACAAGTGGGCACGGGTTCGGCGCCATATGTTGCAAACAACTTAGAAGCACCGGTCAAAGATTTGGCCGAATGCTTCAAAAAGATTGCCGATAAACTCCAACTCAAGCAGCGCTCCAGTACTTCTAGTTCGGACGGAAGTACAGAGGGCGGGGCCATTAGTTCTAATGAGGACTTTCTGAAAACCCTGGCTGCGCATGTGCTTAGTCCAGCCTCCACAACGGGCGATGCGCCAGCGATCGAACAGCTACAAAAGGATGTCGTTGCTGCGTTTCAGAGATTGGACAAGAAACTGGGCAACGGCGACGCGTCGAAACAACAGATCGCGAAGTTGCAGGACATAGCGACGAAGATGTCGCAGCCAGCCGGAGGAGGAAAGATAACGGAGGGCGCATGGATCACATTGCTGAAGCCGGACAATTATCTTCCTGCCGAAGCTGCAGGATTAGTGTCGAGTTGTCACCTCGGAGTCCTGTACGAAGTACTCGGCGTCGGCAAGAACCCCGTCGGACAAAACGGGGCCACGTCTGTCGAACTGCGGCCAGTCGTTCCGGGCAGCGTTGGGCCGGTCCGGCCTTTCAAAGTCACCCTGCAGCTGCAGCTGGAAGGGTCGAAAAATTATTATGTTTTTCCAAACCCCACTGAGTCGCCGGTTTTTGTGACGGAGGTGGCTGGGGACATTGCGAGTCAAGAAACAAAAGTATGGGCGATCCTCAAAAACGAGAACGAGAAACCCGATGCGAAGACGGGAAAACGCGAAATGTTTACGCTTGCTGACATTGGGGTGGAAAATTCTAAAGCCGGGAAGGAACAGCTGGAGACTTTTCGAGAAGTACTTCAAACAGTATCGAAACAAAAAGTGTTATTGCCATCTCCGCCGCACACCCGGTGGGACGGTGAGCTAGTTGGTGGCGTTTAGGGAAATGGCCATTCGTGTGCCACCATGATGAACTTACGAACGCCACGCATTTTGCAAAAATGCAGGCTGGATGAATAGAGTTCGAGTTCAAAATGACCTCTGCAGGGTTGTCGGTTATGAAGTTTGCATGGTGCGAGTCTATGCGACGTATCCTGCAAGGGCATCAAGCACAGGGGCGGCCGATCAGGTAGTTGAGCCGGCGCCGATTAGTAGCGCGCGCCGGGTGGTGGGCCGGCGGTTTTTTGATCATGTAGTGTGACCACGGGGGGCCGCAACCGCTCCGGCAACTTTAGTTTTATCTTCAGGCGCAGGCCGAAAGATGAAATAACAGTGATTCCCCGGGAGGGTCGTGGGAAAAGTCGTTCTCGGCCTTCCCTAACGCCCCTGAAGATAGGGCGCGGCGCTACTATTGGTGAGAGCCCAGTCGCCGGCTCATTGAACTGCACCGCGTGGCGCCCAGAATCTGGGGGTCCAAAGTCTGGAGGCCCAGGTAAGACCACAGCGTGGCGCTCGTGCTGCAAGATTATCCCTTTGATCTGGCCACCTTCCCGGGACAGGGCAAAGTCGTATCACAAACGCCGCGCTATGCTTTTACCGGGCCCAAAAACCTGGAAGCCCAGGTAAAAGAGTGCCCGTGGCAAGTACTTGCGCCACCTTGTTTTACGGGCCGGCGCAGTCTTTTTTACAAACGCCGCGCGATGCTCTTAGCCGGCCCTCAATCCGCGAAGCCCAGGTAGGAGCGGAGCGTGGTGCTTTGCATGCAAGATTGCCCTTTTCTGGTCGCTTTTTCGGGCCAAGAAGTGGCCCCCAGAGCAGGATCGGCTTGCTTAGTCACAAACACCGCGCAGCGCTCTTATCTGGGCTTCTAGGGCCCAGGCCTCTGCAAAGGCTTCGCGCGATTCTCAGCAAGCCGTTACAGGGCGCCATGCTTTTACCTGGGCCGCCATCCGGAAAGCCCAGGGAACAGCGCAGCGTCGTGCCTGTCATGCAGGGCGGTCCTCTTCTGGGGGCCGCTCTTCCGGCCAAAGAGTGGCCTCCCGGGGATAATGTTGCTAGGCACAAGCGCCCGGCTGTGCTTTTGCCTGGCGTGAGGGCCGGGCAAGAGCATAGCTTGCCGCCTTGTGAGCAAGATTGTCGTGGCCATAAAAAGTGGCCAGATGAAGGGGGGATCTTGCTTCACAAACACCACGGCCATTCGCTTTTGCACGGTCTTCCACGGTTTAGGCCCAGGCGAGAGCATAGCACGCTCTTGCCCGGGCTTGAGAGATTCCTGGAAGCCTAGGTAAAAGCTCAGTGTGGTGCTCGTGGCGAAGATTGTGTCCTTGTACTGTCGTCACTTTCTCGGGCCGCTCGCCACAAGCAACGAGCTGGGCTCTTAATTGAGCTGGGTGCCGGGGCTCTTTAAGAGCTCGCTGCGCGCGCTTTTTGGCAACTCTCCGCAGCCCGCGATGCTTTTGGGCCTCGAAATCGAAACCCCGGCAAAATTCAGCGCGGCCCTTGTGACCAACAAGGCTACCCCGCTTGTAGCCTCACGAGGATCGCAGAGCCAATCTATTTTGAATCTATTGATTCCATCCAAATATCTAGTCGAGAAAATTCACTACCAACTATTGGCGAGAGGCTAGTCGCCGGCTGATTCAACTGTATTGCCTGGCGCGACGGGGCCTTCGGAAGTGCGGAGGCCCGGCCAGTGCGCTTTTTCTTGATTGTATAAATGGTTGGAGGGCCGCGTTGCCCACTCCTTTTGTTGTACGCAGGCCTGCCACGTTGGGTTGCATGCGGATTGGGTGATGGCTTTTTCAATGTTATGTCACGCAGCCGGAGGCATTTTTTCGGAGGTGCGGGACACAAAAAAGGCAGAGCTCGAAAAGGTTGTTGAGGGCCAGGCAGCGTTCTTCAACAAGATGCTTGACTCGGTGATAGCGGGCGCGAGCAGTGTTTTTGACAAACTAGCCAAACAAGAGAATACCCCGACTGACTCCAAGCTTCACGTTCACACGGTTCAGAGCTCGGCTTTGATCGTCCCGGCGGCTGCGCGGGACATTGGCCCAATGCTGCTGAACCGAAACAGAGAAGGCGAGGCGCCGAAATATACACGCGGCTTCGATGCCTTGAAGCGTGATCCGTCCTGGACCAAAGAATTGCTCGAACCGTTTAAAAAGAATGGCAGCGAGGATGAGCCCGCGCCCACCGAAGTTTTCGCGTTTGCCCTGGCGTGCCTGGACTCTTTTTTGCGTCTCCACCATCCGGTGCGCGTGGACTACACCGATTTTCAACCTGGAGCTGAGAAAAAGCGGGGTATTGGTTTGGCGGAAATCATCAGATCGATGCCGACTGCTCCAACAGCCGCCGACTTGGAAGATCCCGCGAAGTACCCGAACTTTGCGCCACTCTTTAATTTGGTGGCAGACCCAGTAGCGGTTCTCACTGGTCCAATTTTTAGCAGCTTACTCAAGAAGACCTCAGGATTGATCGCGGATAGCATGGGAGAAAACCCGGAGGATCTGGACCAGCAAATTAAAAAAGTACAAGACGCCCTAAAACAAGGGACAGAGTCAGCGGCCGATGCCTTTTCGACGCAGCTTCCTCCTGACCAAGATCCCATGCGATGCGAGGTGGGCGGAACACAACGAGCTGACAAAAGCCCCGAGGACACCACATCTTTATCGTTTGTAGAAACAAGTCGACAAATGGAAAGGGATATCTCGTTCCTGCAGCGTACGCCAGCCGCGCCGCCCGTGCAGCGGACGCCATTGCCCTACGACGCAAAATCCGATGCGCAAGCGTGGTCGAGGTACCATGGGGGCAGCAACAGCACGGCAGGAACCTTGTTGGAACCACCCGGACAGGAACTGATGTCCTCGTCCCCGCCCCCGTCTTTCGTGCAGAAAGAGACATCCGCCTTTGACCCGAGCACGACCTTCGCCAAGAAGACGTCTAGCGCTGAACACACGCAGGTGCAGCGCGAAGCACTTCGCGAGGAGGAAAGGAAAGCATACGAGAAAAAGGAGGTGATGGAAAAACGCTTTCTCTCTAGATCACACCAGGCCGTCCCACATATGACTTGGAGCATGGAGATGGAATTCTGGTGGGGCCCGGATTGGAGAACCTTGATGTGGGGCGAGGAACATAACACGTGGGGCGAGGTCGTGTCCACCGAGCCGGGCAAGTGGAAAGGAGCACCGATACCAAATTGGTGGGATGCTGGCTATGTTTTCCGGGGAAAGCCCAAGCTACCGGAGTACACGATCAAGTGGTGGGAGGAGAATCGCTGGAAGTGGGGCCTCGACCAGCGTCGGCAGGTCCTGTACTACACAGTGGCCGACCTCATGAGCTTTGTCTATTTTCGTAATATCCATCTTGTTCGGGAATACAGCGAGCTCGAGGGAGTGATGAGACAATTGGAATACGCAAAGGGGACAGACACAGTGGAGACGCAGCTCTGTGACCTCTACCACGGGACATTTCGCTCTGTCAGGAAGGATCGGTATGCTAGAGACGAACGGGACCCGTCGTCATCGCCACAGTGGGTTTGCCAAGGAGACGAAAGCGGCAATCCACGGAAGGTAATACAACTAGCACCGCAAGATGCATCAACGACGACGGTTACTAACGTCTGCGATCCTCTCGGCGGGGAAGAATACTTTTATTTGCGTTCCAGTCGCGCGGACCTCTGTGTAAGAGGAGAACCCAGCACCGATGTCCAGAAAAACGACTTTAGGCTGGTGGCGCTTGGTGGGAATGAGGAAGGAAAGGGGGCGACAGTTTTGCGACGGCAGCGGGGATGTGACAGTGTGTGCTCTGACATCGCAAAGAACTGCTCCGAGACGTGCTGCGCGTGCAGTGGTGGCGAACATGTGTGCCGTTGCTGTTGCGATTGCAGACAGGGAGGCGGCCGGAGGGTTCGCTCCGACTTGGTTGTGGGGGAAGAGGCAAAAGCGCTCTGCTGCGAGCGCTGCAACTGCCAGCGATATGGCTGCCATAATTGCTGCGAACAGCCCGACAACATGAGGGATAACGTTTTGATGTTGAACCACCGCGGCAAGCCAATAGCCGACGAGGATATCGCGCACTATTGTCCTACCGATACCGAGATAGTGCTGATGTTCTAGAAACGAAAAAAAAGAAAAAGAGCAAGGCCCTGCGTGGCCGCTCTCCGAACCCTTCCCCCCGGGGTCTTGTGCCATTTTTTTTGTCCTCGGATCCCGTTGTCGCCGTGATGAGTGCGCAATTTAATTATTTTTGGCGATGCGCCTGGGCCCTATTTTTTTTGTGCATGCCTATGTTGTCCTTGTCGACGGCGAGTGCAAAAGCACAGACGCGCGAGCTTTTTCGGATTCCAGGCGCATCTCGACAACAATTTTTTTTTTTCACCAGATGCCCGCTTCACCAACCATCAGCCGCAATGCCCTCCAGCTCGCTGCCGCAATGCGACAGCTCTAGCCCTTCTTCGCCGGGTGGCCCAGATGATGGGTTCCAGAGCTCCTGTTGCAGCAACGAAACCGGCGCACACCCGGGGGCCGCGAGCGCCGCAGTTGTAGCTGCTCTCGGCCGGAGCAGGCCTGCAGGTGAGAGCTCGCGCGACAAGTACTTAATAAAGCGCCATCGTTTCGACAGCCGTCGCGACGACGTCAAAAGCAAAGGCTGCCCTTGGTGTCGTGACAGATGACCCTCTGTGTGCCGGATTTTCATAGAGACGGCGCCGAAATCTATAAAACGCCACAAGAAATAAATGCGCGACGAAATGTCATCACGGGGGCGACAAAATCAAAAGACAGGAATGGCAAAAATGTCACAAGGCCCAAGGCGCTTTTTTTAGTCCTACAACGTCAGCACTACTGCGTTATGGGTAGTACACTAGTGAACAATACAGGAGTTCGGCGGCCGCAGGATTGATTTGGATATTGTGCCAGAAGGTCACTTTTGCTGCTGTTGCGAGCCCGCGCTCTTCTGTGACCTTTTCCGCGAGAACGGGTGCGCGCTTGGCGCTTATCACTGTTGTAGGGCCATAGACGGTTGCTGCAGGTGTGACGGCGCTGGGTGTAACACGAAGAGGTGCCGGAACTGCCCCCTGCCCAAACTGCCTTGCTGCGGCAAGTGTGATGGCCATGACGATCGCTACAACACCTGCAATTGCCTAGAGTGCTGCGAAAAAGAGTGTCCTGGTTTTTGCGAAGATACGGAGCATGACGGATCTTCCGCGCGTTCTCATCTGGGTTTTGGTAGCGTCGATACCTGCGAGGACAGGTGCCCGCAGTGCCCCTCCTGCGCCATACTGTGCTACCTATACTTCTGCAAACTCTCCACCATTTTGATTTGTGGAGCATACGGGGGTCCGTTGTGTAAGTGCTGTACCCGGGTGCGCAAAGCGAATGCCGCTAATTTGGGATGGACAGAAAGGAACAAGCGGCAGCGGGCCGTTTTTCTGGAGACATTAGACGAGGTGCAGGAGTACTACAACACAGCAGCCTACATTGCCACCGGTGCGGTTGGCACAGCTGGTGTAGCTGCAGCTGCAGCTGCCGCTGGTGGTGTCGCTGGGGTTACAGCTGCGGTCGGCGCTGCGGCCTACGCGGGGGCTAAACTTGTGGGGGGCGCCGCTGCTGGTACGGCTGGTTACGGCGCTTTGGTGCAAGGTGCCGCTGCTTCGGCTCCTGCGGCTGCGGCGCCACTTGTGACGGCTGCGGGTCTCGCGGCCCTTATCTAGAAGGAAACTGCTTCCAGCACAGAGTCAAAAGGACGGAGACTGCTGGCCAAGTATTTCGCAAACATGCACCCCAGTACTTAGAAGAGCAAACATGCATTCCAGGCTTAGCTGCAACCAACGGCAAAAAGCTGCATTGCAGGGGACACGATTCGCATATGGTCGCGCGCTATGGATGCGCAACGGGGGGCCGGGCGTGTTTTTCGTAAAGACGGAACGGAGCCCAGGCCGTGCGACAAACGTCCGGCCCTTCAACAGCGCGGCTGATTCGCGCCGCGCGGGCACGAATTAGTGGGCCACGCCCTGCCCCGATCGTGGTAAAGCGAAGCACCCACAACACGGGCGGCGCCGCTCCTGCGGGGCCGGAAGTAATTTTCCAGGAAGCTGACGCGCGCGCCCCAGCCCGCGGGCGTGCGTGTCGAAGGTGAGCAAAAACGCACGGCACCGAAGAAAGCGTGGGCCCTGGTCCGCTTCCTGACCACTACGACGCCGCCGGCCGCCCCGCGTTTGCACTGCAAAAGCGGCCAAATAAGTGTGGGCCGCCCCAAGCCAGGTGCCCGGCGCGCTTCCAAAGTGGTTGGCCCGGTAAGAATGCGCAGGCTTCCGCACCTCTGCCGAAACGTGGCAGGAGCCCCACGTAGTTTGCGTCCACTCTACTTGTTGGCCCGGAAAAGCCGCCCGCGCCCTCGTCTGGGTCCCCGGAAGTCTCTGCGGCGAGGCTGGCCGTTTTCTGTGGCCTGCGTTCCCGTGAGGGCATCGCCACTGGCGCAACCGGGGGAGGACCCTCTGCAGAGGACTTTCAAATCCCCCAGGAGATCTGCTGCGCCAAAGTAGCCCACCCGGTCGGCGTTGCGCGCCCGCTCGCTGGCTTTGCCATGGGCACGAGCCCGATTTGAGGAGGGGGCGCCGCAGAGGATTCCTGATAGGCCTCCAAAACTCCCCCAGGAGTCCTCTGTTCCAAGGCCAGCCGCCTTCATTCTCCTGCCTTTCTCCGATGGCGGTCGGTGGCACGATTTTGGGAGAGAAGCTCCTGAGGGTTTCTGGAAGTAACCCAAAATCCGCGTGGGAATTCCCCGCGCCAAAGCTGACCACCTTCGCTTCTATGGTCTCGCCCCGGGGGGCATTGGTCTGATTTGGGGGGAGGCTTCATGGGCGAGGCGGGTCCGAAATCCGCTCGCCCCGCAATCCTTTGCGCCAAATCTGGCCACCTTGCTTTTCCAGCCCTGCCCCGAGTGCAGGAAGGGGCCCGATTTGAAAAGAAGGGCCCGAGACGGTTCCAAAAGCGCCTCCGGAATGCCTTGCGCCAAAGAGAGTCTCCCACCCTGTGCGGCCCTGCGCCGCAGGCTTGGGCCCGAGCGATTCGGGGAGGGGGTTCACTTGCTGCGGCCCCGCCCCGGGGGCGCGAATAATCCGGGGAGAGGTTCTTGGAAAGAACCCCGAGACGACTCCTCCTGGGGCTTCGACATCCCAGCAGGAGTCCTCGTCGCCATCCTGTGTTTTGTTTTTCGGCGCATTAAGTAGGCCCTGAAACGTACGCGACAGAAGGGCCGCGGCCGCGCGGGCCCCGCCCTGCTAGCGAACTTCGTCGCCTAAAGCCCAACAGAAAGAAGCCCCTCCGGGCTTGGCGGGTTTGGGCGTGGTCTTCGGTCATCTCATTGTGGACGCAGGCAATCCGGATCCCGTCCGCAGGCCCGCTGGCGCGTTGGCATTTAGCATGTGTAGTGAGGAAGCAATGGCATCTTTGAAAAAGCTGGACGAGCAAGAGCGTGCGCCCACGGTAGAGGGAGGGGAACGTGGAGGCGCGGCTTACACGCTTCTCCGAGTTGGGCCCCCGAAGGTAGGGCCCATTGAAAAGTCTCCCGCCGTGCAGCCTAATAAATAGGACTGTCGCAGGTCATGAAACTGTATCGGCCGCCCATCGTTTGCATGTCTGTTGTTGCCGTATTGCGAAGGCCATTGTCTTCGACCTGATTGCGATTCTGGGGCGGGGACCGTTTTGGTCAGGATGCTTTCTCTTTTGCCGGCGGCCGGCGTCGGGTATGCGTATACGAAAGCAGCGGGGCCGGTGCAACAAGAAGCGCGCAAGATACGAACGCACAACCAAGGTTCACGCGACAGGGCCAGCGCCGAGGGGAACCGCAGCGAGCCGCGCGCCTTTGCTCCTCACGGGTTGGCTTTCTTAAGATGTAGCTCGGATTTTTGGCGAGTGTGCCAAGCATGCAGAAAACGTTTTTTAGGCGGAAGGGCAACTGCCTGGCGCGAGCGAGCTCGCTTGGGCCGAATGCAATCGAAAGCCACGGCATGCCCAAATCAGCGTGCCCCATGCTGGATCAGAAATCGACCTTGATCAAACAGCGGAAAAACCTGAACCGCCTACGCTAGAAGCAGGGGCACTTTAGCAGCCCGGGGACCTTTGGCGCCGCTGCCCACGCGCTGCGCAAGTTGGGGGGAGGAGTACTTACGGGGGGCATGCTGCGGAGCGCTCGCCCGGGGAAGGTTATGCCATGAGTGGGGCTCCCTGCGCCTGCCCAAGTTCACGAACTTGGTGAGACCCCCAGGCCCAGGGCTTGCCACTTCCTACCAGTCCGCTCCGTCCGATCGGCCATTCTGGTGAAAGTCCACGCCAGCGCCGGCCCGCCTCTGGGGGGGGTCGAGATTGTTTTGGCATGCTTGTGACAGTTCAATAGCGCGAAAGCTTCGAAACCCCACCGGCCGCCGCCCTGGGCTCTCCCTCATTTGCGTTTGTGGCGCGTGTGCGTGTGTCGGTGGTCCTTTCCAAATAAGGGCCACGGCAGTGCCCACCCTTTGGCCAGCCCGTCGCTTTCTTGGTTTTGGGAGCGTGCCCGGCATTGTTTTGTTGTTTGTATTTCTCCCCCGAACATTTTTGTCGAGTCCGGTTTCGGGCCAGTGGCTGATTGATTTCCCCAAGATGTTTCGGCGCCCGCCCGCTGCCCTTGGCGTGCAGCTTCCCACCCGGGGCCTTGGGCAATCTGTGCTCTGGCATGGACGGGTGAGGCGCGTGTACGTCGGCGGCGCCCTGCGTCCTGAGGGCCTTCCGGGAGGCTTTCGGGATCACGATCGCGACCTTCCCCCACATGTGTTGGCAGCTTCCCCGCGGGTCGGCGCAGTGCCTTCGGAATATTATTCATTGCGGGGCGGAGCACCCTCCGCTTTAGGCTGGGCCGGTGTCGTTTCAGCCTCGCTGCCTCTTTCGGCTTGGCTTTATTGGGCGCACCATGCCCCCAATCCGCTTCGGCGTTCTGGCTTATGGGTTCGCGGGGTCTTCTTGTTGTTTGTTTGGTAGTCTCTCTGGCGCAACGCGTGTGGCGGATTTGCTAGCAGGCGCGCTGCAGTCTTTTGCCAGTGTTTGCTGGTTGTTTTGTGGCTTCTGGCGGGTTCGCCAAATGAAATTCCTTTTAGGGCCGCGCAAATCATAAGGGCAGAAGCGTCGCCGCCTGCCGACATGAAAGAAACCGCCACCCACCCTGTGGTGGTTTCGTCGCACTTCCGGCAAAGCGGGCCACGGACGGCGCCTGCGGGCTATCTGAACGCCTGCCCTGCCCAGGCCAGACGAGGCGCCCCCGAGACACGTAGCGGAGCACTCCGGGACTTGCTTCGGCCTTCTTTCATACATGGCCGGGCGAAACGCCCCCGAGGCGTGCCGTTGGCTTCTGCTTTCTTTTATGCATGGCCGCGCGGCTCTTTTCTCCCTTCGCTCTCTTTCCTTTGCCAAAAGCCCCCGGCGGTCTTTCGCAAAAGCGAACGCTGCCCGCCCGGGTGTCGCCCGCTCTTCGCTACCGGGCTTCCAAGCGTGTATGCGGCTGCGCTAGCATTAGCGCCGCGCGCACTTTCGAACCGTCCTGGCGCCTCGAGGCGGCCGCGAGGGGCTTCATCTTGGTGGCCCTGGCGCGGCTCGCAGGGGTATTGTTTGTTGCCTTTTGGCCAGCGGGCAGATTATGGCTAGTGTAGTGTGGCCGGCGCGGTCTCTTCTGACAGGATACTTAGAAACAAGCCGGCCCGCCGAGGCCGTAGGTACGGCGCGGGTCCGCAATAGAGAAAAAAGAAAGAAAGGGGGGGCAGCAGATTGCGCCCGAAAGGAGCCAAGCCTGAGAAAAGAAAAGAGCAGCACAGACCAGGACACAAAAGACACAGAGGGGCGAGAGGCGAAGCAGACAGCACGCGGACAAAGAAAAGCGGGCAGCCCCCTGCGCAAAGGCTGGCCGCAGCAACGTGCGCACAGAAAGCCCCCCGCCGGTCATTAAGCTCGGCGGAGCCATTGTTCCTGTCCGCCTTGCTGCACCCGCAAAGAAGCTGGCGGCCGCACAGTGCCTGGGGCCAGCCTTCTCTACTTTCCTGTCCCCCGGCTGGGTTTCAGATCACCCAGAAGCGGTGGGCTTTGTGTCTGGTTGGGAGGGTGGTAGGAGACGCCTGCTCCCAGCGCTTAGTTAGGGGGAGCCGATCCTCAGCATATTACGCAAGAGGGCGGTGGTGTGTATGGTAGTGCGTAGTAGTAGTAGTGGACCCTGGTCGATCTTCGGCGTCCTTCCATTGTTGCGAGGGGCGGCGGCGTTGTGTCGTTCGAGGTGCCAGGCCCTCAGCGCACCCCATCCGGCGCCGCGAGTCTGCTTGTGTGGGGTTTCTGGGTCGCCTTGGAAGCTTTGTGTAGACGTAGACCCAAACTAGGCAGGCCCGACTCGTGTGGCGACATGCGTGCACGGTCCTCGGGTAGGCGTTGTCCTGGGGAAGAACCAATGGCGCCCCGCGGCGTGCTTCGCGGCAAGCATGGCTTTCCTGTCTATTGCCCGAAGCTATTGTCGCGCCAAGCTTCGAAAGCGTTTGCGCTTCGTTTCTTTTCTCAAAACGTCACGAAAATGGCGGACCAGATACGCACGCCGCCCCGACTCTTCTGGTCTGACTTTTTCGGGAGCATTCGAAGGCGCCCCGGGGTCCGGCGTCTATTCGCTGCAGGGGGTGTTCCGAATAATCCCGGAAGGGGGGCCGGGGGTTTCCTTCCTCGGAGCGAGAGAGCTCGCGTGCTCTGCCCGCGCATCTGTTGCGTGGAGGTTGCGGGCACTTGCGTGGCGGGCAGTCTCGCGTTGGTCGTGGCGAGGAGGACTATCTGCCTAGGTTGTGCTCGTGGTGTGTGAGGGCGATCTCGCACTCGGTGTGGGCGGCTTGGGTTTTTCCGTTGTTCGGCCAGGTTGTGTCTGTATTTTGTATGGCGTCGGCACCGTCGTGCTTTGCGCCCGGCCCCGATCTCAGTGCGTCTCTTTTTTGCCTAGAAAAGAACGCTCTGGACTGCGCGCGCCACGCACGTTCTAAAAAATATGGCCAAGAAAGTGGAGCGCTACCGCCAGCGCACACGGAATAAAGTCGAGCGGCTGGGGCGGTCCCCGGTGTTGGGCCTAGCGCGTGGCTTGTTTGTGTGTGTCGATAGCAGGAGGACGATTCGGCGGCGTAGAAAGGATGGCGGGCGGCGATTGGTTGAAAAGGCGCAACCAAGCGCGCGGATCTGTAGCTCGGTCACGAAGATGGGGCAGTATTGATTTTGTGACGCAATAGCCCACAGGCTGATGCGTCTTGCCTTTCGCTTTCTTTTTTCTGGCTCGCGCAGCGCAGTGTCTGGCCCGCGTGGGCAGCTCATATAGTGCCGAGGAAGCTTGTGTTTTCGTAAGTTGTTTTTTTTTTTTATTTCGCATGTGGTTACGATAGACCGTCCCTGTCATACCTCCTTGGCAGCTAATCTAGTGCCGAGCAATCTTTTGTTAAGTTGTTTTTTCGCATGTTTTTTTTTCACTTTTTTTTGCTATAAATACTACGCTTTAGCCTGCGCGAAACTTCTTTCAGAGAGCTTCGCCGCCGTGAACAGCACGGCAGCAATATTAGATTACTACTGTAACAACTGTTATGATTTCTATTTCAAGACATTAGAAACAGTACTACTACTACTACTTCTCGAGGCGCACAAGGCGCTGCCAGCAGGGGTTGGCTGAGTACGAAACGAGGACGCTCAGCTTTCTATGGTATTTTTTTCGATTTTTTATTTTTTAAATTGAAATTGCGTTCATCTTTTGATGTTTTCGTTTCGGGTCGTGAAGGTTCTACACCTTATGTCGAAGCTTTTCCAGGTAGTGCCTTGTTATGAAAGTAAGTAAATGCTTTTGCAGTCAATTTCAAAGCAGTGCGGTATTGTCATGACGGCGCACAGCAGCACGGCCACGGCGCACAGCAGTACAGCTTGTAGTTCGCTACTAGCTTACTCTTGCTTCAGTTTCACCTGTTTGTTATGGCTCAGCAGCACGACGGGAACGATGAGTCGTTGGCAGTCTTCCTACTTTCTACTCCTCAAGCCAAAACTAGCGCAGGATCTCCAAACCAGCGAATGGTGGCCTTTCTTCATGCCTTACGTTGTGTTCCTGTTCGCGTTCGAATCGATCATGATGGAAAGTCCTGCGACTTGTTTCTGTGGCTGGGTCACCAGTGCAGGAAGTCGTCCACACAGAAGATAGACCCCGAGTAGCGTAGGATGTATGATCATAATGCCGCACAATGCCACAACCCCCTGCGTGGTGCCTACTTCTATTCGGTTATCGAACAGAAACGCCGCTCCTGCTGTTGAGTATTTTTGAGGTTTGAGCAGTTGTATTAGTAGACGAGCTTCTTCCTTGGTTTAAAAGTGACATGTTGTTGAGATGATGAATAATAAGTTTGGAGTAAAAGATAAAGAAAATGACACACGGCGTACCTTCCGTCTGCTATAGTTATCTGTTTTTCCTTTTCGTGTAGTTCGTTGACGTTGTTCCCTCGACCACGGCCTGCTATCATCGTATGGTAGTACTGCAGCTCACGCTTACCCTATCTCGGAAAGAAACTGCGTTCAGTCTAGGGTCCATCTTAAGGTGGCCGCGTGAACAAACGCTACCCCAGCAGAGGGGCGAGATTGGGCAGAGATTCCCCCCAGCCCCCCCCTGCTGGGATGCGCGGGCGCACGCGTAGAAAAGAGTAGAAGCCCCGCGCAACGCGCGAATGCTGTAAGTTGTAAACCTGCACACGATTTTTCTCGGGGGTGTGGTGCTTCCGTGCATCCAGGGGCGGGAGACCCCCCGCAGCCCCCCCTGTTGGGGTTCGCAGCCGCTTTCGCGAGCGATTTGCGCGGTGGCGCAGTGCCTGCTCTCTTAATCCAGGGGGAGAGATCCCCCCCACCCCGCCCACCCCTGTTGTGATCATTCGCCAGCGCACTCGCGAGCGATTTTTTCGCTAGCGCCGTACTTTTGCTTTTTTATCGTGGGGGAGGAGCCCCTTTTCAACCGTCTCCCTCCCCCGTTGGGGCTCGCGCGCGCACTGAGGGACGCCTAGTACATTTTTTCATTCGGCAGGGAGACCCCGCAATCGGGGTTCGCATGCGCAGGCAGCAACATGCTTTTCGACGCTATGGCGCCGCGCTCTTTTCGATGCTTTACCTATAGCCTCCGTCCCCCTTTTGCGGTTCGCATGCTGTTCGTCTTCACGATTGAGGGCCGCCAGCTGGACATGCTCTTTGTCGGGGCCTCCGGCTGGAAATGGCTTCAAGAGGCATCTCCAGCTGGAAATCCCGCAGAAAATGTCTTCAGAGGGCATCCGCATCTGCAGCTGGAGCAAATCTTAGCAGGAGCAAATCGAACAAGTAGCCGACACATACCGAGGGTTTTCAGCAGCATTCCAAGGAATTAGATCTAGAGTACGCTGGGTTTTCCTTTTTGGAAAAAGGAGAAAGAATTTGACTATCGGGCCAAAAGCTATTTGGGTGGTTTCTGATAGTCCTACAGCACTAGGACTAGCAGCGTTTTTGTCTTCAATACGGTAGGAGAGCCTCGCGTCTTTTTTAGTATGGCAGTAAGCGACTGCACTCCCAGGAATTCCATAACAATTTCGCTGCAAACGAGACGACAAGTGTGGCTCTTCGCTTTCTAGCAATATAAGTCTACTACACAAATACGCAACCTACAGAACACGATTTGGAACCGCGATGAGATGATGACGACTTGCCTGGATCAATGCCATTTCCGATCTGAAGTTGTCTGTGTTGCAGTTTGGTGCCTATGTGTATTTTAAAAAATAAAAAAGTCTACACAAATAATCGCGTACGCGAACTCCTCTTTTGAGTATGGCGAGGGGGATTTTCCCCCGCTGTACTATCCTGCTCTCCGACGTCTTCGGATGACGCGGACGATCCGATGACGTTACGCATTGCAAATGCGCCTGAGCCTGGGTGCGAAAGTGAGACAGGCTGAATCCGTGAGGCAAAAAAAATTTGAAGGATAGCGCGCTCTTTGATGCATGTATACGGGTTCCGGGCTGCTCACTCTAGTAGGACCACATAAGAGTATCCGGTTGGCTTTTCGTTTTCCACCCACCTTGAGAAGCGCGCGCGCAATTTCGTGTTTGTAGTGCTGGAAGACTGCCACTGCCTCTCTTTGTCATGCAGAATATGACAAATAGAGATAGAACGGACCTGAAAAAATTGCGGCGTGTTCATGTCCTTACAAAAGACCGGAGCACAAGACTCAGCATAGGCATAGCAAATTTAATTCGAGTGCCATTATTCAGACCCAGAGGGCATATTGCAGTGCATAGAAGTCGCGTCTTCGCGACATGACAAAGAAACGAGTGGCGTTTAACGGAGCGCGCGGGGCAGAATTTTGACTCGTCGTCTCCATTTCCAAGCCTCTCTCGTTCTGGATTTGGATCGCGGAGCAGACATGATGGCTGCAGTTGATGTCAGCGTGATGCTCTTTCTAGCCTTGGTATCTCTACTGGGAGCAGCTGCCCGGCTGCCGCTTCACCCAGTCGTGATGCCTTTCGTCGTTCCGTCTGGTGTTTACGGCGTCAAGACGATTGGACACCGTCCGGGCATGGGGGCAAATGGCTGGAGCGAAGCCGCAAGCAAGAGCGCCGGCGAGGACCACAAAGAGACGTCGAGAGAAAGCGGGGCCGAATTTGATAAAGAGGACGAGTGGACCACGCGAGGCCCTACTAGTGGACGAGGGCCAGGGCCGACCGGCACGGCCGCGCAAGCGACGGCCCCCGCCCCCGCTTCCGTGATGAAGTTGGTCGAGCGCGAATTCGCTCTCGTGTTCGCGCCAGTGGAGGAGTTGCAGCGCCAGACGATCAATCGCACGGACCTGCTGGCCAGCCAGGTGCTGCGGGAGGCCGTGGGGCTCGGCAGTCTTGGATTCATCTCCGAGGCAGTCGGCGGGAAGAACGGGGGTGTTTCGCGACTGCAGAATCATACTAGCTCAACAAACAACCTAGTCAGCGAGGAATTCATTGCCGTTTCGGAGTTGGGGAGCGGTAACGGCGGCGCCTTTGAAGTAGTTTTCAAGTTTGCCCTACAAGTGCCGGATGACGTTTTGCAGGATGTGGATAGTGTCTGGGACCCGATGCAAGGTTTGAACGCCACGCAGCTGCGTGCCTTGGAGGCGGCAGTCTCCGCAGCAGTTGCTGCAGCGGGGCTCCGTGAGGTGGCAGTGTCCGTCCCCGTCGTGGCTGCAGCAGCAGGACGGGCCGTCTACCCTGCTCCCCCGAGCAGCAGCAGCACCACCACGACCACTACCACGACGGGGCTGGTTTTTATCCAAGAAAAAAATTGCTAGTGTAAATTTGTGATGCGCAACATGATGCAATTTGATTGCGCCTGTCATGCTGCGCCTGCGTAGTAGGGTCCATTCAACAAGCTTGTTTTATTCACGTACTATCTGCGCATGACAAGCTTTTGGTGTCATGCGAGAGATATTTGTGATGCTAGTAATCCTCCAAGAATAATAGAAAGTTACACCTACTACAACCTTTTTTTCTTGGATAGTTTTGCGACAGTTTTTATTGGTCTTTTCCGTCAATGTGACGTTGATTCCAGACAGAGCGGCCGTGCTAAAGGACCCGAGTCTGCTTGCTGCGGTGCAGGAAGGAACGTTGCACTTCCTCGAGCGCGGCGGCTTGAAGAACGTGACAGGGTCAGCGGAGTTTTCTGCCCAATCGTTGACGCCCGCTCCGAACGCCACCGACTCCGCAAACGACCTCGAAGCGATCTTTTCTTTTGGAATTTGGGGCGACAGCGAGACCCTGGCCAGCATGGAGGCCGCCTTGCCGCCGCAAGCACTGACAGCTGCAGAAGCCGCAGCACTGCTGCACGCGATTAGCGCGGCAGTGACTGGCATGCAGTCCCTTCGGGGGGTGATGGCCAGAAGGGCCGCGCCGTTTTTGCCGCCCCCGGCTATCACGCCCGCGACCCGAACCACAGCGAGAAAGTTCAAACTGAGCGTAACAATTGACGGCAACTACAGTGCGAGGACAAGTGCGCCGGGAATAAATGACTCGGAGACGGGTGCGGAGGTG